GTCTGGTAGTTTAAAATCGGGCAATGACATCATAGTCTGATAATCCAAATATGCTAATCCGATGTGTTAGAAACGTGGTTAGCCACCATCCTAGGTGCCCATATAAGTATACTGTGCTTAGATCCAGCGTAGCGTCTGTGCATCTGACCAATCCGATAAAGGAGGTACCTTGTGAATTTCCCGGGGCCCAATACATGAGTCATGCACGTAACCTCTATATAAAGAACATGCGGGATTTAAGTTTTTTTAGACATTGTTGAGAGGCTGGGAGATAAACGTCGTTCGGAGCTCAGGGGGAACTGTTAGGTCTGAGTTGTAAAGGATGCTAAACTCAGACCGTGGATATTTTAATAACTCCTAAAGTTTCTATAATAGATGTTGTAGTTTTCCTGTTTTTGTTATATAAACTTAATAACAACATAAATGGTGTTCCAGAGTCAGTTAATTGATGATTGAAATAATTGATCCCACAACGTGAAGTCAAAGAAAGTCCTAGACGATAAGTGATCAGGATAGTCACAATTCGTCCCCATAGTGTCACACATCTGCCATGGGTTCTTTTACGTGCACGACAACGTGTACACGTGACATTGTTTTTTCCCTGGGGGCCATGATGGCTAAGTGAGTAAGACGTTAGCTCGCAAAGCGGGGGGTACCGTGTTCGATCCCTGCGTTGGCCGAGAAAAATCATCGGGATTTTCCGGCGTGGTTCCTGCTTGTCAGTAGTGCAAGGGAGAACGTATAGTCGTTCTGATGGGACGTAAAAATTGAGGTCCCGTGTACACATTGGCGTGCACGTAAACGATCCCTTGGCAGTTGGAATTCGATGTAAAAGTAGGCCGTAGCGCCTCCAATGCCTACTTTCTTCGGCGACTGGATGGTACTCACTTTAAAGTTGTAAAATATCAAAAATATTACAATTTAAAAATAAACTATGTAATTAGCCTAATTGATCTGGGCTGCGTGGTTTGTCTTTGATACAACAGTATCGCAGTTAGAATTGCCCATTATAGGTTGAGGTGGGGAGGGGAACTCCCGCAGAATGTTTTCAAAGCAGTGGTGGCTTAGTGAATAAGGTGCTGTTTCACTAGCCGGGAGGTCCGGGGTTCGATCCCGGTGTAGTTCGAGAAGGTTTTCCGTGATTTTCTAGCGTGGATTTTTCCTTGTCAGTCACTGTGCAGGATGGAGGGCCTGGCAATAAGGAAAGCGTCTAATCATTCAGATGTTGCGAAGGATTCATGTATACCTTAACGAGCACGTAAAAGAATCATTGACAGTTGGAAATCTATATGAGTAGGCCGTTGTTCCGCTGTCAGGGGGGTTGGTTGGCCGAATGGTTAGCATGTGCGCGCTATATCATAAGGTCTGTCATTGAGTCAATTGGCGCGGTTTCTATTCCCCGGTTGTACGTGACAACCTCATGGGTTTTCTCCAGGTCCTCCGGCTTAACCTCCCACTGTTAAAGATCCCTACTCGCAAGCGTATTATTGAAATAAAATTGACCCATGTGTTAGTCCCGAAATGACCTATTTTGTGTCCAGTGAACATCTCTCTCTCTCTCTCTCTCTCTCTCTCTCTCTCCCTCCGCCGTCCAGGCAACACTCCCCTCATAACACACTGTATGGCGTACGCCCGTCTTCATTAACCTAGTCGGAGTAGAAAAGTAGGACGCTAAAAACCATTTGATTTTCTATTAGTCGTACGCGAATTAAATAAATCGGTCATATCCGTGACATTTTAGCAGTTAGTAGTCATATTTTCTCTACATTAAAATACGAAACGGAAAAAATGTAGAGCTGAAAATAATAAGTTAAAAAGAACAATATGTAAATAAATAAGTAATACAACCCGATCAGCTATTTGTCGTACGTGATTGTATTGAATACGGTTAGATTATATGCAATATTTGAGAAAAATCTTCAAAACCATCTGGTATAGCTATTTTAAAAGTCGTAAACATTATACTGGTCTATATATTTTGAACATATAATTAATTGAATTTATTTTCTGCAAAATATCACGAGACCCAAATAATTACCGACACCGAAATAATTGAATTTATTTTTTGCAATATCACGAACCCAAATAATTTCCGGCATCGGAATAAAGGAGGGAGAGAGAGAAATAGGGTTTAACGTCCACTCGACACAAACTAGGTCATTTCGGGACTAATATATGATTCAATTTTATTTCCATAATTCGCTTGCGCGTAGGGTTCTCTAGCAGTGGGGGGGGGGGGGAGGACCCGGAGAAAACCCACGAGGTTGGACAGGCGACCCTACTTGTCACGTACAACCGGGGAATCGAAACCACGCCAGTTGACTCAATGACAGACTTTATGATACAGCGCGCACGTGCTAACCATTCAGCCATCCAACCTCCCTCGAAATAAACGATTCGCTGATTTTTAAATTCGCGCATCTATCATTGATAGTTTATACTGTTTAATAACTTAAAGTAACTATGCGTGATTCTCATATTTCGGATAATATCAAATTTCTCACGGCTAAATCCACGCTAGTTTAAAAATCTCTCGGCTTGGATTCAAACGAATTAAAAACGGACCAATCAAGTAAATGTCGCAAAGCGTGTTATAATATTGTGACGTAGCGTAGGTTAAAATGGCAGAAATTTCAACTTTAGACACACGTGTTGTGGACAAATTCTGTCCAAAAAAAGAAGAAAAGAAGCGATAAAAGTGTACATTTAAGGCAACATATATATATATCGATTAAATTTCAATCCATTGTATCTTTGTAAATAATGAACGGAATCCAACCATTATTGGACCGATATTTCTATTGTAGTTTACAGAAGATTCCCATATCGCTAAAAATGACGCCAAGAGACTTTAATTATATGCATATACATTAAAAATAAAATGGGGGTATTTTTCTGTAAATTGTACACATGGGACTCAGTTTTTTAGTTTTTTTTGTACCATCCGAACAACAAGACGACTTTCCTTGTCTTCTTAACCAGATCGGGCCCGAGGCTGTTTGGTTAGTGAGCCCTGAATGGGAAACGTGATTTTGCTATTATATCCGATCATTTAAAATTGTTTTTTTTTTCAAGCTAAATTTGATGTTTGTGGTTTCGGAAAAATAAAAAAAATATGCCCAGGAAAGAATAGACTTCGGACAAGCCAGGAACAGTACTTTCTCATTTTTTTTAGGGTAGCAAGAAAAAGGTATCTACCGTGCTTGGATTTTCTTCAATATAGGCAAGATGTACATTGTATATAGGGGAGCGTCGATTACCCAAGAACCAATAACACACCGCGTAGGAGGATTGTAACTTACGAACGTTAGTTGGATTTACTGTCCAGAATTAGTCGATTACAAAATGGTTACCAAAATAACCTATTTTTGTTCAAATTCTCCTGAAATTCTGACAGGATATCTAATGTCTATGTCCATATTTTCAATACAAGGAACATTATGGAGGCATGAAAGTTTCGGTCAAACAACCGCCATATAAAATTTAAAGATGGCTGCCATGTTTTAGAAATTCATTAGTATCTGAAAAGCTATAAATGCCAGAAACTGTACCTGGTGGGTATGTCCGACTGTTAAAATTCGCTTACAACAGTCACCATATTGGATTTCAAGATGGACGTCGGATTATATACTTCATTGTTTGTGGTTTACAAATTATGGTATGTGTTGAAAATTGGTGGTTTGAGGCTCAATCTGATTAAAACACAGATCCTATTTCGTTTCGTTTTTTACAGTTCAAAATTTCTTTTTAATTGTCTTTACTGCACTAGGATCTAGAAGAGTTGTTATCATTGATATGTTCTTGATGGTGTGAGGGATTAGCCAATGAAACGGTCTGTAACGGAAAGCTTTTGGCGTGAGATGCACGGAACTGTGGGTAATCCACTAAAACATCAATGCTGATTGGTTAATCAAATGTCTGACATCATAGGGTCAAAAGCAACTGGTATGACTTCTGACATGACCTCCCAAAACAACTGGTCAGATCTTCATGTAGTGTAGGCCATTGAAAGTATAAGAAAACAAAACCAAATATAGATCTGTATTTTATTAAGATTGTTTGAGGCTATTTTTACTTTTGCAAAACATCAATGAATGTACAAATTGTTCAACCTCGTGGGTTTTCTCCGGGTCCTCCAGTTTCCTGCAAATTGCAGCCAAGATGACATTATCTACTGTGTATCAGACAGGCCCGTAACTAGGGGGGGGGGGGGAGGCTTTGCCAAAAGTTTCGCCCCCCCCCACAACATTCTGAACATCTGAGACACGCTACCTGCGGAGAAGTATCTCAGACACAGTCAATAGCCATGATATCCATATCACGTGATCTACACATCACAGGTCATGACATTCGCGTCAATGGGTCATGAGGTCAACATTGTAAACAATAGGTTTATCTTCAGCATTGTGTCCTTTGCACCCATAAAGACTATATAATTCGTACAGTCCCAACATGTTCTATCTTCTTCCAATGATTTTTCACAAAAATAACACTACAACTCATAGAATTGACATCGTCTTCAATGACAGCGTTTGCAAATGGTAGCTGCCATCTTGGCACTATTTTGTGCGTCGGTCGTGTCTATTTCAGATATACAGAATCAATTCTATTGATGTTTTTAGCATTGGGATTGACTAATAGCTAATTTATTTCAGTTCTAAAACAAATATTTTAAACTTTAACCGAAATTTAGAAAATAGCCAAATTCTGGCTGGGATTACTAAGCAAAATGGCCAATCACTGTATACTGCGAAAAAAAAGCTAGCCACCAATTAATTTTCGTACGTTAGTTATGTACGCCCCCCAACTGTGAAAAAATTGTCGACCATTACAAAAATAGATATACATTGTCCGTCCATTTTACAGCACCCCTGAGAACACTCCCCCCCCCCTCGTTTCTCTGAGCTAGTTACAGCCCTGGTATCAGCATTACTCTTAGTGAGACAAAAACATTTAACAATATTATATTCTTTATTTATATAATAAACAAAATGCAACAAAAAGAGATTACATCGAAAAAAATTTAATACCACAGCCCTAAAAAAAAAAAACAACAAAAAAACAAATCTCTCTCCTTTAATCTGCACTTATATATAATAAAATAAATTAGATATGACTTCCTGTTTTTGGCTTCTCTGTGTTTGCACTAATCTGTTCGTTCGTTCATTCCTGTAGTTTTACGTTCACTTCCACCAAGGGTGACATCATAGACAAGTGTTTCCTAAGAAACTTGCCAGAGAAAGCCACAAAATAGGCTGGACCCAGCTTTTCAACAATCTGTAGAGGCCCTTATATTTTACAGTGGCGCAACAGAGGTCAATCGTGGCCATGTTTGAAATGAAGTTTTGGAAAATATGTTCGTTTTACTGGATATACATTGACCGATTGGTTCTAAGAAATTTAAAATAAGTGGTCAAGACCGGCATATATTGCTGAGTAGGAATCCATTCACTAAATATGTGCACATAAAATATATAAGATATCAATAGGTCACATTATCCTTGTCTTCCAGTCTCATGTCACATTATCCTTGTCTTCCAGTCTCAATACCTCACATTATCCTTGTCTTCCAGTCTAGACAGGTGTAATTGTTTACTGGGCAGGAAAAACCTTGATAGTGCCAGGTGATTTTAATGTACAACAATACCACAGAAGGTCCAGTGCCTCAATGGCGTTATTTCATGGCAATATTTGCAATTCTATTTCATGTTAAATGTAAAACAACAGTCAACTTAAAAAAAAGAGTTAATTAATGCCCCGAAACAAGTTTTCTTACAGTAATATGTTTTGACCAGGAAACTGGGGTGTCTTGAAAGTTTCAAGTTGAAAAACAGTTTGACCAGGAAACTGGGGTGCCTTGAAACCCAGTTTGACTAGGAAACTGGAATGCCTTGAAACCCAGTTTGACTAGGAAACTGGGGTGCCTGCAATGGAACTCAATTTGTCTTTGCGACTCCAAAGAAACTTAATATCTTTTACATAAATATTTTTTTCACAGTTTTCATGGTACCAGTACCAATTTCAGAACAATCATGATTTGATTTATCCTGCTGTTTCAGGGTGCCAGTTGCAAAAATAAGGAAATGCAGATTTATATTTCTGACAACATTAACATGATCCCTTGTTATAAAACTTATTTAGTAAAATTATTAAATATATTTTATGCTAGTGCTATGTTCACTTTTATTTATTATCACTACAACAATATACCTAGAGACAAAGCAGGCATCAAAGCAGGCATCAAGTCGTACAAGGTACTCAGTTAAATTAGGTATCGAGTTCATTCGTTCCTGGAGTTTTACGTCCACTTCCACCAAGGGTGATATCGTAGACAAGAGGTATCGAGTCAAACCGGTATCCATTTAAACCCTGTTGTATGCCAACACAGATATCGAGGCAAACCAGGTATTGATTCAAACAAAGTGCCGAATCAACCAGGTACCGAGTCAAACCAAGTACCGAGTCAAACCAGGTATTGATTCAAACAAAATACCAATTCAAATCAGGAACAGAGTCAAACCAAGTACCGAGACAAACCAGGTATTGATTCAAACAAAGTACCGAGTCAAACCAGGTACCAAGTCAAACCAGGAACAGAGTCAAACGAAGTACCGAGTCAAACCAGGTACCGAGTCAACCCAGGAACTGAGTTAAACCAGGTACCCTGTCAAACCAGGTAACCCTGTCAAACCAGGTACCAAGCTAAACTAGGTTACAGGTCAAACCAGGTACCAATTCAAACCAGGTATCGGGTCAAACTGTGACACCAGTTTCCTGTTTATGTCATAAAACAACGACACCAGCTTCACATCGACTGTTAAACATGGGGGGAAACTCCGTCCATTTATCGGTGTTTGGATCGTAACATTCCACGCTATCCGTGGTTACTGGTGCTGTATAGAGATCTGAGTAATATCGACCCCCGATAACGTATAACAAACCATCCACACTGATAACAGATGGTCCCGCTCTTCTCATTGATAAACACGATACATCACTCCATTCATCCTGAAAATATATAAAAAACAGTGAAACCAGGCATTGAGTGAAACCAGGTACCAAGTCGAATCAGGCATCGAGTGAAACCAGGTACAAAGTCGAATCAGGCATCGAGTGAAACCAGGTACCAAGTCAAACCAGGTACCAAGTCAAACCAGGTACCAAGTCAAACCAGGCATCGAGTAAAACCAGGTACCAAGTCAACAGGGTATCAAGTGAAACCAGGTACCAAGTCGAACCAGGCATCGAGTGAAACCAGGTACCAAGTCAAACAACAGGTATTGGGTCAAACCAAGTACCAAGTCAAAAACAGGAACCAAGTCAAAAAAGGTATTGATTCAAACCAAGTACCAAGTGAAACCAGGTACCGATCGAACCAGGCATCGAGTCAAACCAAGTACCAAGTCAAAACAGGTACTGATTCAAACCAGGTACCAAGTCAAACCAGGTAATGATTCAAACCAAATACCAAGTGAAACCATATACCAAGTGAAACTAAGTACCAAATCCAGCGAGTTTCATAAAGTCGTGGTCATTACCACCCACTTAACCCAAAAATTGTCATATCTTATGAACAAAACTTAGAGTGCTAGGTTTAAAATGTGCACTTTTGAGTACTCAACTGTCCTTAATGTTAAAAGTGCTCTTAACTTACTGTTATGATATTGTATTTATGGACGGTGTTTAAAGGCCCTTCATGTTCATTCCATCCACCCACTACATATATCAAATCATCTATTGCTGCTGCTCCTATATACGCTTTCCTAGCTGGCATGTTGGTAAGTCGAACCCACTCCTTTGTCACTGGATTAAAACTATCAATAAATTTTAATTCCGTTCCCATCTCACTCAGTCCTCCTATTACATAAATCAATCCTATAAAAATCAATCAATCAATCAAATAAAATAAAAAAAATGAAAATTTTTTAAAATTTAATTTTTTTTAAAAAATTAAAAAAAATGTAAAATTTTTAAAAAAAAATTAATAAATAAATTATACGGGGTTTCTTGTCCTACTATTCTTCACCACCTAGGCTGATAAACAGAGTTTCTTCTGACAGTGGCCCTACAGTCTACTCTTATTTGACTTTCCAACTGTCAGGGGATCTTTAAAAATGGAATCTCGGTTCTTTACACAACAGACCCCCTAGTCCAGCATCACAGCTGAGGGGAAACCAGGCTGAAAAATCCTGAGGAACTTTCTCAAACAACGACCAAGGCAGCAGGGAGCTAACAGGGAACTCTGGATACTGAGTCAGCACTTTCCTGAGCCGCCGTGGGGAGAACCATCTGAACGGAAAGGACAAAAGTAGATGAAAAAGTTGGCTTCATACCTTGTGTCTCTACCAACGCCATTCCAAACCTGGGTGTTGGCATTGTACCCACAATACACCAGGCATCTATCTCCGCTGTATACTTCTCAACTGTATCTCCTATCACAGACCCCACCCACCCACCAAACGCATAAATACAATTGTTAAATGCACAAACATTCAGACCGCAACGGGGATCTGTCATATTTCCTAGTTCCATCCATTTTCCATCGTCTGGATCAAACATTTCTACACAATCGTGAATCAAGGAATCGTTTTCCCCGCCAACGATGTAAATTTTTCCACACAAGACGGCAGCACCAAGCCCACTGCGTGGTTTCTTCATGTTCGGAAGCTTATGCCACTGTTTATGAAATGTGTCGAATCGCTCAACGGATTTTAGCGTATGCATGTCACTCCATCTATCTCCCCGTTTTCGACTGTAGCCTCCGATAACGTAAATATTTTTTCGGGCACATAAACGGGGTTGAAGCATGGTGGGATCTATTCGACTTAACTGAAGTTCGAGGCACAATTTGCGAGTCATTTTGTAATCCTGAATTATTTTATGCACAGCAATTTTTAGGCTTATGTCGGTACATTCTTCTTGAAATTTCTCCAAATGTTTTTCGTGAATAATTGGAAATCTTATTGGCTTCATGACATCAAATATTTCTTTACGTCTGGAAATCAAATCGTGGTTGATCCAAACAATTGCGGCATTGAAGGCCTGAATTTCATTCTCAAGACGTAAGTTTTCACTAGATAAAAAATGTATCAGTTCGTCTTTTGGCAGCTGTAAAAATTCCTCCGTTTTTGACACCTGCAGTAAAAAAAAAAAAATGAAATAATTTAAGGATGCATTATGTAAGATTTAGATAAGAAGCTGACAGTTCTTGCTTTAACCCTTTCCCTTGCAACATATTTCATACATGTACCTGATCCTTGACAACTGGGTGTAACACACCCTTATGTATGCTAATTATATAGGAATAATATTTTATACCTGATCCTTGACAACTGGGTGTAACACACCCTTATGTATGCTAATTATATAGGAATAATATTTTATACCTGATCCCTGACAACTGGGTGTAATCCACCCGAGATCTCCATATTTTTGTTATTACTCACTTTTCGTTGTTTGGATTTGAACGAAACTCTTTCTAATCTTCAAGATAGTTGTTGTGCATTGCCGGATTGGTTCAATTTATCGTCTTTGTATTTTGGTGGAATTTGTGGGGGTTCAATTTTTTTTTCTACAGTCCCTGACAACTGGGTTTATCACACCCATATATCTTTTAATAGACATTACATTGAACAAAAGTAGTAAGTAAGTGTTTTTTTTACAAACAGATGGTAGTGGCAATTTAATTTCAGACAAATAGTTTTCATGTATAATCAAAATAATTATAAACATACATCAGATAAACATCTACGTGCGCTTGAGGCACGCGCATGCACACACACACACACCTCTTACTTCTTCTCAGGGAAAGGGTTAATAGTTCAGAAATAGTTCAGCAGCATAAATCGATGAAATTGCAATTTATCATAACTTTGTAAATACTGAATGGAATTGAATCATTTTTGGACTGATAGTAAGATTCATTTTTGGACTGATATTCCTAATAGAGATTCATCTTTCTCAATATTGACGCTATATATTATCAAATAATCAATCTGAACACTTTATTTTTGTGTGGATCAAGCACTGCCATAATTATCCAAGGGAGATAACTACCTGAAGGAAATGTTTCTGGATATATAATTCTGCAGCTTGTTTTACATCTTGGCAGGAATGGGCATCACAAAATAGATAAATTCCTGAAAATATCAAAGTTATTTTCTCAACAAAAGCTAACACAAATAATGCGCTATAAAGAAATTTTTAGGAACAGTTGAAGCAGTAGCAGATTACTATAGTCAGTGCAGATGGAAATGAAATGAATTGGGGTTTAATGTCCTACTGTTCTAATCAGTGCAAAGAGAGAGAGAAATGGGGTTTAACGTCCACTCAACACAAACTAGGTCATTTCGGGACAAACATATGGTTCAATTTCATATCAATAAATCGCTTATGCATAGGGGTCTTTACCAGTGGGAGGAAACCGGAGGACCTAGAGAAAACCCACGAAGTTGGACATGCAACCCTACTCCTTGTCACGTACAACCAGGGAATCAAAACCACGCCAGTCTACTCAATGACAGACCCTATGATACAACGTGCACGCACTAACCATTTGACCATCCAACCCCCACCCAATCAGTGCAGACGGACAAAGTTATAAGAATGGGGCTTAAAGTCTTGTCAACTCAAATTACTCAATAGGGGTCTTTAGCAGTGTTAGGAAGCTAGAGAAAACCCACGAGCGACCATATGGTCGTCTTCATTAGCCCAGTCAAAGCAGAACAATTGGACGTCAAGCCCCATTTCATTTCATTTGTCAGCCTCACTGATGAAACCACTCATTCTTTTCTGATTACAACAACTTCTAGATCATGAAAGTTGAACCACTAGTTCAGACTGTTGGGTTAATTGACATGGAATGACAGTGTACTACACTTACCAATACAGTTTTCTGTGTTTAAATGTTGTTGTAAGAATTGACCACAAGCTTCTGTTACATCCACTAAACCCAACATGTCTGATGATGATAATAAATCTTGTACGTTCTCTAGTGTTATCTCTATTACACCTAGAATAAAAACACAATTTATAGAAACATGTCTGATGTGTATTATACCTAAAATATATACACAATTTATAATCTCTGTTACACCTAAAATATAAAATTTTGCCTGGGCAGCGGCACTATGGCCTTCTCTTATATCAAATTCCAACTGCCAAGGGATCCTGTATGTGCACACCAATGTATACACGGGACTTGGTTTTTTGCCCAATCCGAATGACTAGACAGCTGTCCTTGGTAGGCCCTCTGTCCTGCACCACTGAAAAGGGGAAACCACATCGTAAAATCACCATGAACTTTCTCGGACAATGCAGGGATCGAACACGCGGCCTCCAGACTAGTGAGCGAGCGTCTTACCCATTTAGCCACCATGGCTTCCCCTAACAAGTAAACACAATTTGTTATCTATAGTACACTTAGAATATAAACACAATTTATATAATCATGTCAGGTAATGGAAATATGTCCATTAGGGACACTGCAAAGGAAACTTGAGGAATCAACAACTTTAAAAAAAAAAAACTGTTAAAAATCAATGCATGGCTCCGAATTTCAATAGGGTTCCTGGTTAAGACTATGCAAGTCTGAATAAAAATCCAAAAAAAACTCTGACAAGGACAGCTGTCTAGTCCTTCGGATGAGATGAAAAACCGAGGTCCAGTGTATACATTGGAATGCACGTAAAAGATCCTTTGGCAGTTGGAATTCGATATAAGAGTCGGCGATAGAGCCGCTGCCCGGGGAAATTTCCCTCATAGCCCTCTGTATGGTGTATGCCTGTCTTCATTAGCCCAGTATAAGAGCAGAAAATTAGGACGTTAAACCCCATTTCATTTCATTTCATTTCCCAAAAAACTATGACTTGTAGAGTGTTCAGAGACCAGGGCAATGCCTTTAGATTGGATATAGTTTTGATGTATTACTATTAGTTACCCATATCCCTTGTGGGAGGAGCAGAATGGACTACACACTGAATATTGATGGGGTTGATGATCCCACAGTGGACCATCACAATCTTTGCAGTCAAATGCATTTTGATTATAAAGGGATATGTTAGTCCCAAAATAACCTGGTTTAAGTTGAGGGAATGTTAAAACAAATTCCTTTCCCCCTTTCTCTATCAAACACCTTCACTCACCAGTATAAATAAAAGACAACAGTTCTTGTATAATATCTTCATCAATGTCGTGTAAATAAATTTCTTTCTGACTGCCTTCCACCATGCCTGATGTGAACATGGCTTTAAAGAATGAACTGGAGGCTGCTAAAATATGTCGGTGGGCACTGAACGATTTGCCGTTGGCGATGATACTGATATCGCAGTATAATTCTTCCTTCCACAGTAGAGAGAGTCTCTTTAATAAATATTGTGGGTATGACTCAATAAAATGGGACACTTTGTTTGCTTTAAACACTCTGTGATTAAATTCTTCCCCTCCGCTTGGTTTTCTTGTCATGTGTTTTGTGGTGGACGCAGCCATCTTTTATTCTGTTAGTTCTACTTGAAGTGTAGGCCGGTTCGTCAGGAAGAAATCCTAGTTGTCTCATTACAATCTGAAGAAATAATAAAAATAAAATGACCCCAAGTTATGAATTTACTCAAAATTTTTCGCCTTATTTAAACTTAAATATAGTCCTTTATAAAACATTGTTGTTTTATTACTTATAAGAAACTATGTGAAAAGTTTTGTGTTTCTGGATCAAAAATATTTCTCACTAATATGACTGACTTACATGTATCTAGAATTTGTGTCCTCAAAAAGGATGTCCTTGAATTTGAGGCTTCAAGAAAACAAGCTGTTGCTAGGAAGTTGGGGTTCTATTAGCGCAAATATTGAAAGGATCCCAGATCTTTGGGATATAAACATATATTTTAAGTTTCATCAAAATCGGATCCACATGCTTGGTATTACATACTTTTAGACTATTTGCAGACAAGGAGCGGCCATTTCATCCGGCAGATTCAGTCGGATTTTTACGAAATTCTAATTCAACTTTCATTGGGGTGTAACAGTGATATACTTAAACGTTTTTTAAAACTGAATACAAATTGTGACTTCTAGAGGGTACACAAGCTAAAAAACGTGTCTATACAGATTATTCCTGTCTACACGGACCCATTTACTGAATACTTAATGGCAAATTCCTTCTGTGTAGGTCGTGGAACTTTTTCAAAATCTGCTATAATTTTCGGCTTGACATCCAATGTCAGATCCGTATGGGCACGCTTTGCAGGGGAGAGAGAGAGAAATGGGGTTTAACGTCCACTCGACACAAACTAGGTCATTTCGGGACTAACATATGGTTTAATTTTATTTCAATAATTCGCTTGTGCGTAGGGGTCTTTAGCAGTGGGAGGAAACCGGAGGTCCCGGAGAAAACCCACGAGGTTGGACAGGCGACCCTACTCCTTGTCACGTACAACTGGGGATTCGAAACCACGCCAGTCGACTCAATGACAGACTTTATGATACAGCGCGCGCACGCTAACCATTCAGCCATCCAACCCCCCACGCTTTGCAGGACCATCACACATTATGAACACAATATTATAATGATAGTGGTTCTTCATCTCGGCAATTTATAATAATGTCGCTGTATTTGACATGAGAAACTCAAACCAAATACCAAGTGCTCTCTTCTTACAAGAGATTACAAAATTATTAAGGTAATCAACAAAGACCGACATGTGTTTTAAGCTCACCGATAATTGATTCGTAATTGCTTGTCGGTTAACACCCACTGATTGAAGGCCGGATTATTCAATGTTAATTCAACGTAAATCATGGAACGTGACCGCTGACTTATCGTAATTCAGAATATAGACTACTCAAAACTTTTTTGGTTGAAGTAATAAGGAAATAAATGATGAACGATTGAACTAAATGTTCCTTTACATTGTACAGGCGTTCAAAGGGACTGACACGAGGCCGTTTAGCAGTAAAAACTTGCCCAGAAAAATTGACTGGGGTTCGAAAGTTTTTCGACAAGGATTTAATAGGGCAGTTCCTGAACGTACAGGGTGAGTGTAATGTCAATGAGACCTACGTTCAGAGCTGAACTAATCTAATGGACGTATTACATGTCATGTTGACATTATTTGGATCATTAAAATCATAAATATTATCAAATTGAAAACAAACTAGTAAAATGACTTCAAATCACTTACATTTCAACATTTAAAAGTTCAGGGGCGATAATTTTTATATTTAGGTATTACAAAGCACGATAGAAAATTCCAATACAATGGTTTGGATTGTTCGTACTTGGTAAGTTGGTTTTATTTTATTTATATATAATATATATATGTGCATAACCAACGGAGAGGACAGTATTCAAGTGAAAAATGTCATTCTTACATCAATTCATGATCAATCATGTCTGGAAAATAGATCACGATTTCAATTGCACAGGCTTTTGCACGCCACGCTACTGGATCTTGTCCGGGCGGTTGTCTATCTACTTTTGTTTACATGCATAATTTTACCTCTATGACAAAAGAGTAATTCAAGGAAAATAACTCGTATTGTAAAGTCATTGCACGGGAGATTTCCAGCCAATCATGATTTGGATTTTATCATGTGATTCAAGTCCAATAGTAGTATGTATGATGTATTGTTTTGTAAGTAAAGAAAAGGCTGACGCAATACATTAAACACCTATTGAAATCTAACAATGATAAAAGCAAGCAATGCAAAAGACGTCTGCTACTTTGTCGAAATTGGTCAGAAGGGCTATAACTCCCATTGCGTCAAGTTCGACCTCGTTCTCAATCTGGAACACGTGTGGTAAACTTAACATGGCTGAGTCAATAGAAGGTTTGAGTAAGAATGAACAGAAGAGACGTCTGAAAGCCGAAAAAAGGGCTCAGGAAAAGGCGGAAAAAGAAGTGACAGATGAATTTCCCAGCAAGACAGATGGTGAAGTTAAAACCAAACCCCCAGTAGAAGAATTGGACGAAACCGCTTACTTCGATTACCGCTCAAATGTTGTGGCTCAATTGAAAGAAACCAAGGAACATCCGTACCCTCATAAATTTCACGTGGATACGTCACTGACAACATTTATTGAAAAATACAATCATGTACAACCAGGTGATATCTTGGACGAAGTTGTCAGTGTATCAGGTCGAATCCACGCCAAAAGAGAAGCCGGGGCCAAGTTACTATTTTATGATTTACGGGCCGAGCTGGTAAAAATTCAAATAATGGCGAATTCCAAACATTACCAACCAGAAGAAGAATTTGAGGCTATTAATGACAAATTGAAGAGAGGTGATGTCGTCGGTGTCCAAGGGAAACCAGGGAAGACGAAGAAAGGTGAATTGAGCATTATACCGACCAAAATGGTGTTACTCTCCCCTTGTCTCCATCAATTGCCGCATATGTATTATGGCGTTAAAGACAAGGAGACTCGCTACAGGCAACGATACCTAGATATGATCATAAATGAAGAGGTTCGAAACAAGTTTATAACGAGAGCTAAGATCATAAACTACATTAGGAAATTTTTGGACAATATGGGATTTTTGGAAGTTGAAACGCCCATGATGAATATGATTCCAGGTGGAGCCAGTGCTAAGCCGTTCATCACTCATCACAATGATCTAAATATGGACTTGTACATGCGAGTTGCTCCGGAGTTATATCTTAAAATGCTAGTTGTCGGAGGTTTAGATCGTGTTTACGAAATCGGCAAACAATTCAGGAACGAAGGAATAGACCAGACGCATAATCCAGAATTCACGACATGCGAATTTTATATGGCATATGCAGATTACAATGATCTAATGGATATTACGGAGAGTTTGGTGTCCGGATTAGTCAAGTCTCTCTTTGGGGGATATAAAGTAAATTTTCATCCCGATGGACCAGAAGATGAGGCTGTTGAGATCGATTTCACTCCACCATTTAAAAGGATCAGTTTAGTTTCAGAACTAGAAAAGATCTTAAAACGTAAATTTCCAGACCCACAAACATTTGATAAACCAGAAGCTCGTGAATTTCTAGACAAGCTGTGTAGAGAAGTAGACGTAGACTGCACCCCACCGAGAACCACTGCTCGATTACTTGACAAACTGGTTGGAGAATATATAGAAGAGCAGATAATCAATCCAGCTTTTATCATGGATCATCCGCAAATTATGAGTCCCCTTGCCAAATGGCACAGAACTATACCTGGCCTGACTGAAAGGTTTGAAGCATTTGTAATGAAGAAAGAGATCTGTAATGCTTACACAGAATTGAACGATCCAGTTGTCCAAAGACAGATGTTTCAACAACAATCTAAAGACAAGGAGGCTGGAGATGACGAGGCTATGTGTGTCGATGAAAATTTCTGCACGGCCCTTGAGTATGGTTTACCTCCGACAGGTGGCTGGGGTATGGGTATCGATAGGTTAACGATGTTCCTCACAGATTCCAACAATATCAAAGAAGTTCTTTTGTTTCCGGCCATGAAACCAGATGATCAGAAAGCTCCAGGGAAGGCAGATGAAGCTCCATCAGATGGCAGCAAATAATTTAATTTGATAAGTTTTGTTAACCAGCATGTCTCCTCCCTGAAAACTTTTGAAAACGATAATTGTTCGCAGATTTGATCCCAGTAAGACACTTAATTTATTTATTTGTGGATTGACAGTGTCGTAATACGAAGGTGCAATGTTATTTGTGTGGTAAATGAGAAGTGGTACTAGGTGTTATTGACTAAAAGATGATGAATTTAAAATCTACTGAATCGTGTTAAGACATTGTTAATTATCGTATTGTAAATAATTGTCAGATTTACTGGAAACTAGAAGTGATTGAATTTAGTTTAAATTTTAAATAAATATTTGATTATTAAAGAAAAATGAATGAGTAGATAAATTACATGTAATATCAATTTAAAAGTTGCTGAATCATGTTAATTAAGACATTGTTAATTTTGTTTAATTACCGTATTGTAAGGAATTGTCAGATTATTACTGAAAACTAGAAGTGATTGAATTTAGTTTAAATTTTAAATAAATATTTGATTATTAAAGAAAAATGAATGAGTAGATAAATTACATGTAATATCAATTTAAAAGTTGCTGAATCATGTTAATTAAGACATTGTTAATTTTGTTTAATTACCGTATTGTTAGATTATTACTGAAAACCAGGCATCGATATTTCCGCGCAGGCACATTTGCTTGAAAATTTTTTATTTTTGCAGGCACATTTTTAAAGATGTAGCCACGCCGGGCGGCGCCTGCGCCCGGCACTATTTTTTGCCGCCCAGCATAAAGAAAAAATCGAAAAAGGCCCAGTCGTATTTAAACCCCTTCGTCCTTCTCTGTACACAAACTCGAAATTTACCACAGCAATTAAACGGCAAAGCCATGGTAAAAGCCGACGTACGCAAACCATGTCTGTCACGGCATAATTTATTTTTGTGTGCCGTAGTAGACCCTATCATCCCAAATTAGTTTAAAGAAAGATGTATTGGTATTTTGTTTATTTATACTTAGAAGATGTGTAGGCCTAGGTCTATTCATTTTACAATTATTCTACGGTCTTTATATTTGTTTATTTGCCGTAAATAGGTCACCCAGACCAATTTACGGCACTCCAATGTTAAAGGTTTGAATGTCGTAATTGTCCAACACGTGCCTGCAAATTTTCACGATGATCTTATTTTATTTCTTACCTGTGTTGACCGTGGATTTGCTATGGCCCGAGAGTAGGTCCTCAACTTATCTATCCAGAGAAACAGAGTGGGGCCGGACAATTTTATGCTCGGTCGGGTGGTGTCAAAAAGTTTTTAGATCCCTGTATCATTGATGAAAATTAAGTGAATTTGGTAAAATTTGAATATATCAATGGAAATTTGATTTGCACTGAACCAAATACAAAAGGCAGCAGATGCTCTGAAAATACACCAAGAAGGGTTTAATTTTCATAAAAGACCACGCCCCCTCCCAAATTTTTTTTTGCCTCGCTCCGCTCGCCAAATATATTTTAACACCAGTCACCAAATCCTGGCTACATCCCTGTGTTTCAGTATGACCCTGCAGGCACACTCAACTTTTATACAGCCCTGCTGAAAACTAGAAGTGATTGAATTTAGTTTATATTTTAAATAGATATTTTGATTATTAAAGAAAAATACACAAGTAGATAAATTACATGTAATATCAATTTAAAAGTTGCTGAATTATGTTAATTAAGATATTGTTAATTTTGTTTAATTATTGCGAAAACTAGAATTTTTATTTTTTAGATAGATATGTTGATCATTAAAGAAAAATGCACTAGTAGATAAATTAATATCAATTAGTTAAATATTATTTTTTTTGAAGATAATAAAAGTTGAGTATTGAATAGTTCATACAGAAGGAAAATAAAATGATAAAAAAGGAAATTGAATTGATAATTTAATCAAATATAATTCAATTGGATAAACCCTGAACCTTTTTAAACCTCCACTGAAGCCCCAATTGTCAATCACTTTAGTTAAGCCTGGAAATAAGGCGCCTGTCACAGACAATGTCAGGCACAGATTCTGGCACTAAACCCCTGGTGCCTGTCATTTTGTTCGGCATTGATTTGTCTTTCTTATTAATACACATGGGGATCACGATGGCTAAGTGGGTAAGGCGCTGGCTCGCTAGCCTGGAGGTCGGGTGTTCGATCCCTGCATTGGCCGAGAAAGTTCATCCAGATTTTCCGGCGTGGTTTCCCCTTGTCAGTGATGCAGGACGGGGGGCCTGACAAGGACAGCTGTCTAGTCATTCGAATGAGACGAAAAACCGAGGTCCCGTGTACACATTGGCGTGCACGTAAAAGATCCCCTGACAGTTGGAATTCGATATAAGAGTAGGCCGTAGTGCCACTGTCCAGGCAAAATTTCCCTCATAGCACACTGTATGGCGTATGCCCGTCTTCATTAGCCCAGTTTGGAGCAAAACAGTAGGACGTTAAACCCCATTTCATTTCATTTCATTTTATTAATACATATATACATGTCCGGCACTAAGTTGAAAATGTCAGGTACTATTTCATTAGTGCCTGACATTTTTTCAGGTACATCTAAAACCGTTATTATATTTTCTGTTTGAATTATATTATTAGACACAAGTTGCCACAGGAGCTCGTTTTGGGGGCGTATAATTTAATTATCTGTGAAGATATGAAGAGAAATATTGATATCTATTTTAAAAAGATGGCCAATTATTACAACTGCACTGGACACATATATAAAAGGTTGAAATTTGTAAAATAAAAAGAAAAAACTCCCCAACAATTTCTAACAAAAATAAAGAACCAAAATCTAAATTTATTTTCATTATATACAATGTATTTATTGCTGGAGTTTGTTGTTATAACTCACCAGTTGTACGGTCTTGGTGCTAGCCTGTCTCAGAATTGGGATTCATTTGTAGAATTTTTATGCAGCCCTCCCTTTTTTATACGCCCACATTTTCATGTGGACGTATATTGTCGTCGCTCCTGTCCGTCCGTCCGTCCACAATTGTTTGTGGACTCTCTACAGGTCACAATTCTTATCCGATTTTGACGAAACTTTACATATAGGTTTATCCCCAAAAGATCTCGGCTGCTTTCGATATTGGCATGTATCGGATCAAAACTTCATGGATTATGGCCCCTGTTTGTACGAAAAATCACGTTTTTAGCTTGTGGACCCTATAGAGGGCACAATTTTTATCCGATTTTGTTGAAACTTGAAATGTAAATTTATAACACAAAGATCTCGGTTCCTTTCGATATTCGCGCATATCGGACCGTAACTTCCTGAATTATAGCCCTTGATTGTACGAAAAATCACGTTTTTAGCTTGTGGACCCTATAGAGGTCATAATTTTTATCCGATTTAAAAAAATGTATTATTATATCACCCTTACACCCTAAAGACGGCTGAGTTCGAATTTCGTGAAAATCGGCCCAAAACTGACAGACAAAATGGCCGCCCTTCGTTCTCAAATAGCGTAAAAATATGGTATATCAAGGTTGTGGACCCTATAGAGGTCACAATTTTTATCCGATTTTGTTGAAACATTAAAATGTAACTTTATAACCCAAAGATCTCGGTTCCTCTCAATATTCACGCATATTGGACCGTAACTTCCTGAATTATGGCCCCTAATTGTACGAAAAATCGTGTTTTTAGCTTGTGGACCCTATAGAGGTCATAATTTATATCCAATTTAAAAAAAACGTATTATTATATCACCGTTACACCCTAAGGACGGCTGAGTTCGAATTTCGTGAAAATCGGCCCAGAACTGACAGACAAAATGGCCGCCCTTCATTCTCAAATAGTGTAAAAAATATGGTATATCAAGGTTGTGGACCCAATAGAGGTCGCAATGTTTATCCGATTTTGTTGAAACTTGAAATGTAAGTTTATAACCCGAAGATCTCGGTTCCTTACGATATTCGCGCATATCGGACTGTAACTTCCTGAATTATGGCCCCTGATTGTATGAAAAATCGTATTTTTAGCTTGTGGACCCTATAGAGGTCATAATTTTTATCTGATTTAAAAAAACGTATTATTATATCACTGTTACACACTAAGGACGGCTGAGTTCGAATTTCGTTAACATTCGGCCCAAAACTGACAGACAAAATGGCCGCCCGTCGTTCTCAAATAGCCCAAAAAATATGGTATATCAAGGTTGTGGACCCTATAGAGGTCACAATTTTTATCTGATTTTGTTGAAACTTGAAATGTAAGTTTATAACGCAAAGATCTCAGTTCCTTTCGAAATTTGCGCATATCGAATTGTAATTTCCTGAATTATGGCCCTTGATTGTAGGAAAAATCACTTTCTTTTTAGCTTGTTCTCTATCCATCTCTCGAAAATGTGGGCGTATCCTGCCTGGCAGCCGCTGGTTTTTTGTTGACGGAAGTCTTGTCTGGTGTGATAGAATGGGGCACGATTCGTGATAGTGGGAACTTAGCATTAAGTCGGTTGTATTAAAGTAGCTAAGTCTCTAATTCAATATCATCTAAATTCTTCGACATTGAAAACACGAATAATTTGTCAATTTAATCAACATTGATGCTGTGATTATAGCGGGAAAAGATGGCCTTCTGATATCAATATTTAAGACAAAATAAACATTTTGCCATTGGTACAAGAATCGTGTACCATAATGCGTTTCAGCGCCATTTGTAATAAGGGGTTTGAAGAACGAGGCTAAATATATCCCACCAGTCATGTCAAACGGTGACGCCATATTCTTATCTGGAAAGCATGCACAATAAATACTATCGGTGTAGACTGGAATAACCAGACGCTAGAGATTGCCATTCGATTGAGACTTCTAGCGTATTTCGCCGAACATAAATGATTTGAAATTAGAGTAAAATGGAAACGACTGAATGTAAATCAGTTTATATACATTCATATTTCATCATTATATGCGTTGCGATCCATTTGTGTCAATTTCTAGGTCCCATATATTAGCGATTTAGCTCCTTTAACATCTATTTCTATTGCAACACCTCACTGTTACATGTATGCACTAAAAAAATGAATAGTCAGACCTTTTTTCATAATGCTGTCACATGTATAAACATGAATTAGATATTTGAGAAACTTCCTTGTTAAATAAGTACATGTATACCAATAATAATATAAAGAAGACGGTATGTGAGTGAAATTATATACGTATGTTTAACATCAACGATAAATATACTATTCAAAAAAAGTAGGGGATATTTGATTTTTAAGTGTTATTAAAGTCACCTAATGAAACTGACGAAGAAACAAATGACAAAATGAAATGAAGTTCACATTCATCGATTTATTCCAAATGATCATTAGACTAAGTAAGGCACAGACTGACCATTATAAGGGTAAAATGATACCCGGGGTCAAACAGCAAAGTTACCACAGCATCACAACCAAGTCAGTAACGGGTAAATCCTCCTCTGTTTGCCAAACAAGCATTGATCCGACGTGGCATACTCCTAATGAGACGTCTAAGGTCATTTTGGTCCAGATTGTCCCATTCCTTTTGCAACGCAGCAGCAAGTTCTTGGACATTGGCAGGACGTTGTTGACGTTGACGTAACCTCTGTCCAAGCATGTCCCAGACATGCTCGATGGGGGAGAGGTCGGGACTCAGTGCTGGCCAAGGTAATGTGGTGATGTTCTGTTGTTGGAGGTAACCTGTAATGATCCTGGCCCTGTGACATCTTGCGTTGTCATCCTGGAAGATGAAACGGCGGCCATGACGTCGTGCGAACGGCACAACATGGACTGCCAAGATGTTGTCCCGGTAGTACTGGCCTGTAACACGCCCTGCAACAACATGTAAAGCCGTTCTTCCAGCAACAGTGATGCCTCCCCACACCATAACAGAACCACCCCCAAATCGATCATGTCTGATGACGTTAACGTCTTGGAAGCGCTCGTTTCGACGACGCCACACCCTCCTACGTCTGTCCAAAAAATCAACAGTGAACCTTGACTCATCTGAAAACATCACATTGCTCCAGCGTCGATTATCCCAGTGTTGACGATCCCTACACCAACGACGTCTTGCCTGAATGAGATGATCTCTCAAACAAGGGATCACGCGAGGACGTCGGGCGCGAAGGTGACCCCTATGCAGTCGATTCCGAATCGTCTGGCCACTCACTCTCACACCAGTGTCTGTTTGAAGACGAGCGCTGATCTGATTTGCTGTGATGACACGATTTCTCAAGGCCAAGGTACGGATAAATCGATCCTGGGCTTGAGTTGTCGCCCTTGGTCGACCTGAGCGTGGTCCGTCCTGTACAGATTGTGTATCACGGTATCTGGACCATAGCCTGCTTATGACAGACTGAGAAACATTCATCGTCCGCGCCACAACCGCCTGTGTTGTGCCGATCTGTAGCATGCCAAGGGCACGTAACCTTTCATTTTGGGTAAGCCGACGCATATCAAAATTTGTTTTCTGGTCACTAAAACAATTAAACTGATGTTTCCACCCTGGAATTCAATGCCACAATGACTGTAACATTCAAAGTCAGAGTCGTGCAAATCTTGGGTTGGACCCCCATGATGATCCCAAGCATCACCTGCATTCCATGCGGTAGCTATTGGTGCGTTTGGGCGTCACATGTAACTGGAAATGTTTCTTCTGTTAGGTTCTATAGTGACTTTTTTCGTAGTCATTTGCATATTTTAGTATTATGCCCCCAAAATCAAATATCCCCTACTTTTTTTGAATAGTATATATGGTTGGTGTAATTGATTATTTATACATGAGGTGACTTTTAGATTACCAGAAGAGATAACTTATAAATTTATACATAAAATGGTGTACAGGCTCAATGTATGTTAGAGGGGGGGGGGGCAGTACCTGAAATGACCGAAAAGATTTCAGTTGGGTTACAGACGGCAGTGCCGATCATTTGCAAGAGGAGAGGCAGACGTCTGCAAACTCATATTCCTGGTATTCCAGCCCGTGAATACAGCAAGTACAATGTGGTCCAATATAACCTACCTTGGGGGACTTACCCAAATCTAAAATCCTAAACAACCAATCAATTGTTGCGGTGTATGGGGGCCTTGCGCTCCCCCAAAAAATTTTGAGTTTAAATTTATACACAGTGTTGAACGTCATGCGACTAAGAAACCTATTGATTTTCAAACATTTCTGATAATTACTGCCAGTTATGGCCCTTGATCACCTTGAAAAATCTTGTGGAGGCTTAATTAAGAGGCTAAAGTTAATATCAGATTGACTTTATATTTAATAAAGTCACTGTATTACAGTGTTTAAGGTCATAAGACAAAGAAGCCTATCAAATTTCAACGATTTCCAATGATTATGCGTTTGCAATTGATATAAAATGTTTTGTATGACACATTTGAATTAATTGCACATTTATCTTTTTCAAAAGTATCAAGAACTCAAACTGATAATCTATGCTTAGTCTAAGGAGTAAATGTTCACAATCAAACTCAGTCAGGGTTTTGAAGTACCTTGTTGTAGTGAAACCCTCCATCAGATAGAATCAAAGTTATCTTGTCCCAAAGCATTCACCAAATGCTTACCCCTGCTTAGATTTAGTGGGAAATGGTCATCATTAAAAGTTTAAACATTCTACCAGATTGACCAATCAAATTGCTTATCGTTACCTAGCCTAAGTAGGAAATTCTCATTATCGAACATAGTCAAGGTATTGATATCTATACTCTGATTTTCATCACACTCACCCAATTTGAAGCAAAGTTATCGTGTCCCTAAGCTCAACCAATCACATTGCTTATCTCATGCTTAGCCTTAGTGGAAAATTCACATGACAAGGTATTCACCTGATAGAGACCTACACCTAGTTTGAACATTCTACCTCAATTAGAAAGAGAGTTATTGTGTTCCAAAGTCTGGATCAATCAGATTGAAGTCTGATCTTTGCCTAAGCAGAAAACGCTCATTATTGAACTTAGTCATGGTATTGATGTAATGAAACTATACATTAAGTTTCATCCCTCTCGATTAGAACCAAAGTTATGGTGTCCCAAAGCATGGGGGGTTTGGATGGCTGAATGGTTAGCGTGCGCGCGCTGTATCATAAAGTCTGTCATTGAGTCGACTGGCGTGGTTTCGAATCCCCGGTTGTACGTGACAAGGAGTAGGGTCGCCTGTCCAACCTCGTGGGTTTTCTCCGGTTCCTCCGGTTTCCTCCCACTGCTAAAGACCCCTACGCGCAAGCGAAATTATTGAAATAAAATTAAACCATATGTTAGTCCCGAAATGACCTAGTTTGTGTCGAGTGGACGTTAAACCCCATTTCTCTCTCTCTCTCTGTCCCAAAGCATCAAGCAATCAAATTGCTTTTCTCTGTTTAGATTAAGCAGAGAGTGCTCATCTTCGAACCCCATCAAAGCATTCACTTAATAAAAACCTACACCAAGTTTGAACATTTCGAGTTCAAGAAAAAGAGTTATTGTGTCCCAAAAAGTGTGACCAACAGACAGATGGACACACAGGAAACAGACCCATTTTAATAGATTCATAAACAGGCTTGTAAGTAACAATAACGATTCATGAAAGTCGATATATCGCACTAGTTTGATGAATGACAACTTTTTTATTCTGTACCACTGACCAGGAGAAACCACCCCAGAAAATTCTGATGAACGTTTTTTGGTCAACACCGCAACAAACAAACAGATGAATTACATTTTACAGTAATATTATTATGCCTTAAAAAGAAATGAAATGAAATGGGGTTTAATGTCCTCCACCAACTGGGCTAATGAAGATGGGAAATTTTGCCCGGGCAGCGGCACTATGGCCTACTCTTATATCGAGTTCCAACTGCCAAGGGATCTTTCACAGGGACATTTTTTAGTCTCATCCGAATGACTAGACAGCTGTCCTTGTCAGACCCATGCCTTAATACATGATTATGTTTTAAAGCAAACAACATACAAAATTATTTCTTGATGAATATAAATTCCTAGCCTAAATAACATTCATGAAAACAAAAAATATGCATTAGTCAGGTCTTAACAAGTTATATAATTTAAGATGATGCAATCCACGGAAATTCTAGAACATTACAGTCATGTAGACCGTCACGTAGACCGATATATTCCCTGGAAATTCAAATTCTAACTAACTGTACTGTAGGTGCACCATACAATGCAATATGAACAGGTATGATGTAATCTCATAAATATCAAAGCAAGGTTTTTATTACAATTTAATTTATACACTATATTATACACTAATTTACAAGTCAAGGCAGATCATGGAGTGGTATTTAGGGCTGAGATCAGGGGTTAAGTACATGTTGTTGCTTGTAATATCCTTTGTAAGTATATCTACACGAAAGTCAGGGGCGTACATATCATTTTGTTGGTGGGGGGGGGGAGGGGTGTTTAGCAAAAATGACCCCAACTGTCACTGATGCATGGGCCCCTAATACGATTGTCGCACCCAACCCCTGGAGGAAGTTTGAATCTAGAGTTCCCGAAATGCCATTTTCTGGGCTTTGCGGGAAGATTTTGCAGAATTCTGATGGTCAGAAAAACACTTATAACACGAGTAAAATCGAGTACTACGCATGAGAACTCATGTTATTTATTAAGAATTTTACAAGAACCTACAAAGTACTGTAAATCTGTGACAACTTCTGAAAGTGTTAATAATTACATGATTTACATGGCTGTCTTGGCTAACCTTGAGGAGTCTGGTTTGAGAGAGAGAGTCCAATCTCAACTCCAGGTAAACTAGATCATTTCGGGACTAACATTTTTTAGTAGAGGTCTTTAATTAGCAGTGGGATGAAACTGGAGGACCCGAAGAATATCCACAAGGTTTGGCAGGTGGCCCTATTCCTTGTCACGTACAAGTGTGGGAGCAAAACCATACCACTTGAACCTATAACAGACGTTCGGACCTAACGTGCACATGTTAATCCACTAGACCTGCCACATTGAGAGTGCAAGAGAGACCACTTATTCAATTTTATTTCAACAATTTGTTTGCGCATAGGGGGTCTTTAGCTGTGTGCCACTTGAATCAATGACAGACCTTGTGATTTCACTGCATGCATTAAACCAGGCTAGGCACTTTTCTGCACCGACCTGAGCCAATGAAGGGAAACCCCGCTGGAAAATCCCCTGACAGGTTTTTAGGCCAACTTCGGGATTGAAGACCAAAACTTCCTGGTTAGCGAGCAACCATGGCTCCCAAAGTTTGAAACAGACAAAAGTTTGATTTAAAATTGAAATTTTATTTCAACACATCACAAAAGAAATAATTTGTAAAATTATTTGAATAACTTTCCGTGGTTTAATACTGATATACTATAGTAAATTGTTTATTTATAGACAATTCCATTATCTAAATTACATCCTCCGCTTCATTTCCATGACAACATCTTCAACAATCAAGTCAATTTTGTAATTAAATCTCAGTGATGACACCCCTCCTAAAAATTAATATATGCAATTTTTGTTATGAGCCAAATCTTCCTCTTCCTAATACCAAGAAGTCCAACTACAAAGCCAATTCTGTAGTTAAAAAGATTTCAGTTTAAAGACTAGTCAAATCTTGATCGCACTGCTCCTCCCCAGAAATAAAAATAAATAATTCATGTACCGGTATGTACTTTTCATTCGAAGCAAGCCATATCCAATTTTTTCACTTTTTCTTCAATGTTAAAATGACGTTATTATTTTTTTTTGATCGAGTTCCTTACCTAAGACATTACAAATTGTGGATATTTTTCTACAGGAGTAATTTCAAGAATATTTCTCTTGTTCGAGTGATATTCCAGATATTGGAAATTAATCAAATTTACGATGTTTTCACTAATGATCGTTACAATTAAATAACTAAACTACAACTAAACTAAATTTTCTAAGAAAAAATACATTTAACAAAATTAAAATATACAAATAATGGTTAATAACAAACATGTACACAATTTAAATAACATCAGAACACAAATCTCAATTATCATTATACAGACAATCGGATCAGCAAGGTAGTCTGGCAACAAAGGGGTTCATCTTACCAGATGTAAAGGGAGGCAACTCCACTCATCCGACAATAATCCAGGATTCACACCACAGTATATTTTCTATCAGCCTGTGACTAAAATTTCAGTTTCATATCTTTATTAATATTACCATAACAGAAAGGGCAAGAAACTTGAGGTCACATTCTTTCGTCTAATAGATTTGTAATTCACGGTTAATACTTATAAAATGCCCTTTTTGTTGTAAAAATAATAAAACATTTTAATTAATAAAATTATTTAAATCATAAAATGGTTTCAGAGATTACTAAATGCACCGTTTAGGACTAAATTCTATAGTTTTATTTTTGGTAAGGTATTAAGTAGACTAGTTCATAAATACAACACCTAATATAAGAAACAATAAACAAATGAGATAACTAGACTATAAACATCAATATAACAAATAATAAACAATGATATGGGTTCACTATAAACAAAACAACAAACAAGATCATTTTCTAGATTCCGTTTGTTATGCAGCTTACTTTCTAATTCACAGTTGAAGAATATGATTCATGTTATACCTCAGGCTTTTTTATCGACTTGCCAAATTGATTTGAATTAATGGGGATGTCCATGTGACAGTATAGCCGATTACAAAGTACTTGGGCCAGTTCGTTAAATGCGCCGATTAGCTGTAAATATTTCGTTTGTTATGCAGCTTGCTTTCTTTAACAGTAATTTCATTCATGTCATACTCAGTTGTAGGTTTTTTTTATCCCGCACCGAATGAAGGTTATTCAATTTGTTATTTCCCGGTCTAAAGCCTACTGTTTTTAGTCAGCAACAACAAATAAACAAAATCCATAAGAAACCTCAGTACTCATCCATTCTTAAATTTAGACATTAAAAAAACATAAACACAAAACACCAATTTTCAAAATATTCTCAATATAAAAAAACCCCAACAAACATGGTCCATGCATCCATCATTACACTAAAATACACAACAGTTCTACAAATAACTACTATCAAAAACTTGAACTAATATAATGTGGGGGAGGGTGAAAGGGAGTGAGGGGATATATTATTATAAATTGGTAAATAATTCCACACATTAAGCTGCCTTTATCCTATGATTCACATTATGCGATGTATCAAATTCATAATTATAGTCAATTAGGAAATGAGAGAGGAAATGGCAACACTCCCTTAAATAGTAGCAGAGGCTGGACAAGCTGGTACAGTCATTATTTTTTTAGGCCCGAGTGTTTTTACAATATATTAAGCAATGTCTTAAGATCGAGACCATTAAACGACTTAAAATACAGACATTCCGCACTTGGTTTTACAGTGAAATACGTCACGTGAGTCCAATATTTCACTAGTATAAATAATATACTAATCTCCTGTACGATTATTTGAAATAATGGTAGGCCAACATCAAAGGGTGACGTCACATCTGTATTTTAAATTGTTTCAATGACATTTAGTTATTGAACCAGAAGTATATAGTACACAATTCAATGGAATACAATTACTACTTTTTACTGAGTGATGATTTTTTATCTAGTAGAAACATCACCCAGTAATAAAAGTACTTGTATTCCATAGAATTACTTTCTGTGTATTTCATTAAAGGGGCTGGATAATTATTTTAACAAGGCTTTAGACAACGCCCCCTTCCTCCAATATGAAACAACAGTAATAGAACCTCTAACCACATCTCTATAGTGAATTCTAAGATTTATTGGGGTAAGGCTTCCACAGTCGTATTCCATTAATATTGACTTAAATACAAAACCAAACTTATGCGTAAAAATGTTAACCAGCTTTTAATAAATAAAATTTAGGATTAATCTCACTTATGGAATCAATATCCAAGGTAGTCTGACCAAAGGGAATGCTTCCATCAAAACAATTATTACACATGACTACAATTAATAAAAGTTGTTTTCTATTAGGCAAGGGTTACCAATAGAGTTAATAAGTAATGAAATAGGGCTAATGAAGACAGGCATACGCCATACAGTGAGTGTGCTATGAGGGAAATTTTGCCCGGACAGTGGCACTACGGTCTACTCTTGTATCGAATTCCAACTGTCAAGGGATCTTTTACGAGCACGCCAATGTTTACACTGGATCTTTTACGAGCACGCCAATGTTTACACGGGACCTCGGTTTTTTGTCCCATCCGAACGACTAGACAGCTGTCTCTGTCAAACCTCCCATCCTGCATAACTGACAAGGGGGAACCATGTCAGAAAATCTGGATAAATATTCTCAGCCAATGCAGGGATCAAACACCCGACCTACAGGCGAACAAGCCAGCGTCTTACCCACTTAGCCAATGTGATCCCCTTAAGAGTTAATAAAGATGGGATACAGAGTGCTATGAATGGAAATTTCACCAAGAGGGCATTTCAATCTACTTTAATCAAATTCCAACTGCCAACGTGTACACATGACCTCGGTTATTCAGTCGCATTCTAACGACAAGATGCTGTTCCTTACTTTTTGAAAAACTTGCCTCAGGTAAACAGGATGAAAAAGGATGGCAACCCCTGCTCTAACGAGAACATTTTTCTTTAATTGTAGCATTACGCCCACCACTAACCCGCACTTTTTTCAAGTGCTCAATGCAAATTCTCAAACTAGATAAATACATATTCTAAATCAACATGTATGTACATGTACATTGCCTGGAAATAAGGCACCGGTCAAAGACATTGTCAAGACACAAATTCTGGATACATCAGGTACACACACTCCTGCTCTGGTGCCAGGCCAGTCTTTTTTTCGTATTTTTATTAATATTATTCATACATGTCCAGCACCAAATTCCAAATGTCGGTACTAGTTCGATGGTGCCTGACATTCTTATTTTGTCAGAGTAAAAACGGGTGCCATATTATAGTAGACATATCCGACAACTTAACACATATACTGTACGTATGCGAGTGACCACAACGATGAAATCCTAAAATTCTTACAAACCCATTTCATGGTACAAACATTAAATTGCTAAACTCAATATTTGAAAGCTGATGTAAGTATTACAAAAGGACAAAAATGTAAAAAAAAAAAAAATCAACTCTACTTATATAATCATTTACAATCAGATAAAAACATTTATCCTTCATTTTCAATTCAATCATTCGTACATACGACACAAATAACAAATTTCAATAAGGCTTACTTAATGGAAGAATTCTATAGACGATTAGATTCCTTAATAATAAAAATAAAATATCTTACGAATACAGCTATTTCATAGGCCTCTCAGCCAATAAAAATACAGTATTCTTAAACATGCATTATGCAAGAGCTAAATCTGCCTATCGCAGGTCTTTCTTTAGGCCTGAAATCTTATCTAAATTATTAATTAGACATTAATTAACTTTTCCAGACCATAATCAACTCTCGATGTCAAGGCTAGCCTTCGATATCGAATGGATTAGAATCCTATATGCTGCAAACGCTCATTGATAATTAAATCAAAACAATGGATAATCAAAACTATGCTTTTTAACGTACTAACTTTAGTAATGCTGAACGAGGCTAGGCGGAAATTTACAAAGCTGATATCTCGGTTCATAGTGGACCAATTTGACTGAAATTTTCAACAAATTACCTTTACATTATCTAGTTTTTAACTGTTATAGCGAGAACTGTCAGCTCTTTATCTAATCTCCCATAATGCATCTTTAATATTTTGGTTTTTATTAGTAAGGCTCTTGCTCTAATCATTCAAGCAAAAATTACAGGTTTTTCATCACGAACATTAACATTTAAAATACAAACAGGTGTAAAAATTAATTAAATTATTCCAAAATTTAATTTGGCACCATCAAACGATTCCACTTCTCATTTTATCCGACTTCATTTTGCTCATTCGCGATATTGTCATTCATTTGATCAAAATTTCTTCCGTCTTCAAAAGAATTAGTCCTTCTTCTTTTCTTCCTTGCTCTTGATGACATCATTACGGATGTCGTTTTCTTCCTCTTTCTTTGGTTCCTTACTAACAGCCCTTCTCATCGCGTCCCACATTCCCCCCATAAACAGGGCACAGAAGAGGTTCTCGAAGGGCGAGAAGGGGTCGTTAATTCCCAGGAGTATCGATGATAGTTTAAAATAGACGAAGAATATAACAACACCGAAATAAATAACCGCATGTGGTACTGTGATGTAGTTTAATCTTTCCAACAAGAAAACAGTGGCTGCCACGAAAGATGCTTTTGTTGTACTGAAAGAAAAAAAACAAGGAAATAAATTGTAGCTGTAGACAGAATACATGAATAAAATGGAGGGAGAGAGAGGGAGAAATGGGGTTTAACGTCCACTCGACACAAATTAGGTTATTTCGGGACTAACACATGGTTCAATTTTATTTCAGTAATTTGCTTGCGCGTAGGGGTCTTTAGCAGTGGGAGGAAACCGGAGGACCCATAGAAAACCCACGAAGTTTGACAGGCGACACTATTCCTTGCCACATACAACTGGGGAATCGAAACACCGCCAGTTGACTCAATGACAGACCTTATGAGACAGCGTGCACGCACTAACCATTCGGCCATCCAACCCCCCGACCATTATGCGCCAACTGTGCTAATAAAGACAGACATTTGCCAGTAAGCTATGGACAGCAGAACTATGTCCTACTCATATTTCAAAATTAACCTGTCTTTTTAAGAGTAAATGAGAATTTGTTTTTTCATCCCTTACAAACGACTAGATGCTGTAACTTCCTGTGCCCTCCCACCTGCACCACTGACAAAGGGAAACCACCCCGGAAAATCCTGAGGAAATTTCTTGGCAAAGAGATCTAACTGGGATCTCATGGTTAGCACGCCACTGGGAATCACTGCTGTAGACAGACAGTTTAGAGAAAACTGTACATAAATGCAAATATACTCTTCAAAAAAAGTAGGGGATATTGAAATGCAAATACCTATGCAGGTTGCGATATGATAAATAGTCATGGACACTTGACATGCTTTGAGAGTATGTTCACAGATAAAGAACTTATCGCCCCAACAGAACCACTGAGCTGAACAAACGACACGCAATAGCGCCATACACGTGGGAGGGGTTCATTGTTAAATTTGACAAGGGTTGATGAAAACTATAGCGTGCTGATTTATCTATCCATGTTTGCTTTCCTATCGGTTCTTGCATAAGATTTACTGATTAGTGTATCTTTGCTTTAGTGCGTTACATTTAATTTGATCAGGAGACGTGTTTGTCGACGTCAACGTCAACGGACAACACTGCAAGAATTACAACTCGATATGCACATCGAAAGGAACCGAGATCTTTGGGTTATAAACTTACATTTCAAGTTTCAACAAAATCAAATAAAAATTGTGACCTCTATAGGGTCCACAACCTTGATATACCATATTTTAACGCTATTTGAGAACGAGGGGCGGCCATTTCGTCTGTCAGTTTTGGGCCAATTTTTACGAAATTCAAACTCAGCCGTCCTTAGGGTGGAACGGTGATATAATAATACGTTTTTTTAAATCGGATAAAAATTATGACCTCTTTAGGGTCCACAAGCTAAAAACGTGATTTTTCAAACAATCAGGGGCCATAATTCAGGAAGTTAAGGTCCGATATGACTGAATATCGACAGGAACCAAGATCTTTGGGTTATAAACTTACATTTTAAGTTTCAACAAAATCGGATAAAAATTGTGACCTCTATAGGGTCCACAACCTTGATATACCATATTTCTACGCTATTTGAGAACGAAGGGCGGACATTTTATCGGTCAGTTTTGCACCGACTTTCACGAAATTCGAGCTCAGTCGTCCTTGGGGTGTAACGGTGATATAATAATACGTTTTTTAAATCAGATAAAAATTATGACCTCTATAGGGTCCTCAAGCTAAAAACGTGATTTTTCGTACAATCAGGGGCCATAATTCAAGAAGTTGCGTTCCAATATGCACGGATATCGGAAGGAGCTGAGATCTTTGGGTTATATGCATACATTTCAAGTTTAAACCAAATCGGATAAAAAATGTGACCTCTACAGTGTTCACAAGCTAAAAACGTGATTTTTCGTACAATGAGGGGCCATAATCCATGAAGTTACAGTCCGATACATGCCAATATCGAAAGGAACCGAGATCTTAGGGTGATAAACCCATATTTCAAGTTTCATTGAAATCGGATAAAAATTGTGACGGAGGGACGGACAGGGACGACGACAATATACGTCCACATGAAAATGTGGGCATATAAAAACAGCAGTGCATTTCCGCAGTTTTGTATTGTTTCTGAATATCCCCGACTTTTTTTAAAGAGTATATACACCTGTATTGCTTTTTGGACATTAGTTCAATAGGTTATTTCGGGACTAATATATGGTTTAATTTTATTTCAATAATTAGTTGCGCAGAGGGGTCTTTAGCAGTGGGAGGAAACCGGAGGACCCTGGAGAACACCCATAAAGTTGGACAGACGACCCTACTCCTTGTCACATACAATCGAGGGATCGAAACCACGCTAGTTGACTCAATGATAGACCTTATGATGCAACTCGCACACGCTCACCATTCTCCCATTTAACTCTGCATTTCACCTAATGAACATCCACACCAAGTTTGAACATTCTACCTCAATTTGAAGTAAAGCTTGTGTTCCAAAAGGGGAGAGAGAGTGATGGTTTTTAACGTCCACTCGACACAAACTATGTCATTTTGGGACTACCACATGGTTCAATTTTATTTCAATCATTCGCTTGCGCGTAGGGGTCTTTAGCAGTTGGAGCAAACCGAACGACCCGGAGAAAACCCACGAGGTTGGACAGGCGACCCTAGTCCTTGTTGAAACCCCGGCAGTTGACTCAATGACAGATCGTATGATACTGTGTTCCAAAAGATGTGACGGACATCTGACACACCAACGAAAAGCAGGGGATATTGAAATAAAATAAGGTTCTATGTTTCTGCATCATCCATGTGAATAAAGACAAGCATATTCCAACCAATGTGCAACAAGGCAAATCTTGTGGCCTGGCAGAGGTGCTAAGTCCTATTCTTATTTCAACTGGAAAATCTTGAAGACTATCTCGGTCATGTTCCTGAAGCAACGACTGCGAGTTTCACAACATCTGGCCGTTACTTGTTTACTTCACAATTCACAAACTTATAGCTATATTATCTACAGACACGTGAGCAGTAGCGTCCAGTAGCGACCTCCACGGAAACCTTGACATTGAATGAACCTTGAACTTTGCAACTCGATTATCACAGGTAGACATTTTAGCTTGAAAGTGCGAGACTTGGTATTCGCGAGGATCGAGGAATCTGATAGGCTCACAAGTTGGGCTTGTACCCAATCGAAATTAGTGCCGCAATATGCAGGGTATTACGTGAAGGCCTTGATAAGATGTACGTAGTTAAAGCGAGACCAAGCCTTCTATTGAAGAACTATCTCGGTGAGCACAAGGATCGAACCAAGGACACCATGGCTTCCTAATATTTAAAGTTACAATTTCATATTTTCTAAGAAAGTCAAAACATAATTATTTCTATGTCTTTTGCTCAATAGGTTGTCAACTCACTATTATACGATCATAGGTGTCATTCTCACACTTAAAACTCATTTACACCGGAAAAAATAACACAATTACCTCCCTTGTTTTCTATTCTCCACCATAGAGTAGCGATCTTCAAACGTTTGAATTTGAAGTTGTAAATGATATTTTTGCCAATTTCTCAACTGGCAATAGTGAATTATAGGAATAATAGGATTATTCTTTAACAAGGTAAGACTGTTTATAGATACCATCTATTTTAGGGCTTTATTTTAATACATTTTAAAAATATAACGTAAAAATATGAAATTGCAACTTTAACATAATTGTAGTGTTATAAAACTATGACTTACTAAGATGGTTGGAGAATTTCATTAGTTCCTGGAATCCACAGACCTCGAATCAATCGTTCAAAATTCTTCATTAATCCCCCTCCAGACCCTAAAAAAAAAAAAAGTTTTGAAATTTCATTTATTTTTATAAAAATATAACCATCATAAAAAAAGTAAATGGAAATAATCTCTAAATTACACTCAAATGAAATGAAATGGGGTTTAACGTCCTACTGTTTTGCTCCGAACTGGGCTAATGAAAAGAGAGAGAGAGAAATGGGGTTTAATGTCCAATCGTCACAAACAAGGTCATTTCGGAACTAACATATGGGGACCCGAAGAAAACCCACGAGGTTTGACAGGCGACCCTACTCCGTGTCATGTACAACCAGGGAATCAAAACCATGCCAGTTGACTCAATTTCAGACCTTATGATACAACTCGCACACACTATCCATTCGGCCACCCAACCCCACGACCACAAGAATAGAACAACAGAATGTGAGTAACAATTAGGCATGAACGTCCAGTCAACACAACCTATATAATTTTGGAACTAACATTGTTCAGTTTCATTTTCAGTAATTCGCTTGTGCGTAGGTCTTTGGCTTTCGGAGGAAACCAGAGAAAAGTCATTGAATTTCATGTCTTACCTTTAACAGTACCAATAATAACTATAACTAGTAGAGAGTTGGGGTAGATTTTAGCTGTGTGGTACACGCCATGATATACTTTATGCGCTCTCTGACACTCTTTTAACATTGATATTACTATCTTCACTGGTAAAAACTTGGTTACCTTGTAGACTAGATCAAATGGCGAGTAGTAAACTAAATACCTTGAATCAACAAAAATAAAACAAATTTATGAGAGCTAAGAAAAATTATAAATGTAACTGAGCCAAAACTTGATTCACTGACCATTAATGTTTATAATAATCATGTTTTCTTTCAAATTTAAAAATTACTACGACACAAATCAGAGGACACGTCATGGTTAATTTACTTTGAAGAGGGTGGAGTTCGTTCCCTTGTAATACAAGTTTCAAAGATCAATATATCTGTTTTGAGTGGATAGGCGTTAGTCACAAATTTTTTTTCAGATTTAAAAAATGTAGCCTTTTCATTGGCCAAGAGGTAATATTTATACTAGGATTTTAAAGCCCAACTATGAAAAAACTTCATTTCTAAAATATTTTAACTTAAGTTGTTCTGAATAAGCCTGTAGTTCTCCCATATGGAGCGGTGTGTGACACAAATTTATTATGTTTTTTGAACGGCATTTAGCAATTGACACATGTAATAAACACAAAAACATAATATGGAACACGATTACTATTTTAATTAAAGTGACATATCATTGCAGGTTCTCTCTTCGTTATCAAGCAAATGATGATGATGAAAATAATATACAGAAGGTCTACATGTATATACAAAAACAAGTAACAACTAATTAACCAAACTTACCATACAATGGTAAATGTTAATATACTTCGATGATCTTTAAATGGTGTTATAATTGGTTCACCTAATAATAGATTAGCAATTAAACTACCAGCAAAACATATCAACATACTGGATATCCATGTAGATAGAGGATGTTTTCTCCAGAAAGGCTGTTGATTTGGCTGAGCTGAAATTAACAAAGACATAATTATAAGGCCACAGAAACAAAATATTCTGGTTATAAGACAATCCTTTCAAAAATTCTGATGCAGGAGGTTTTCATTTTTGTATTTTTATTTTGTCAAAGTATCGAAATGACATGGGGTTTAACGTCCTACTGTTCTGCTCCAAATTGGGCTAATGAAGAAGGGCATATGCCATACAGTGTGCTATGAGGGAAATTTTGCCCGGACGGCGGCACTACTCTTACATCGAATTCCAACTGTCAAGGGATCTTTAATATGCACGCCAATGTGTACAGAGGACTTCGGTTTTCTGTCTCATCCGAACGACTAGGCAGCTGTCACGTTTATTCTCTAATTATCAAGTAATTAAATTTGAATCATTGTAAGGTCAAGCTTACACCTTGTTTCAATAAAATACAATAAACTTTCAGAGAATATTTTTGAAAAAGAAATGGGGTTTAACGTTCTACTATTCACTTTCTGCTCCGACCAGACTAATGGAGACGGGCATATGACATACAGTATGTTGTAAGGGAAATTTTGACCGGACAGCGGCGCTATGGCCTACTATATCGAATTCTAACTGCCAAGGCATCTTTTACATGCATGTCAATGTGTACACAGGACCTCGGTTTTTCATCCCATTCAAACAACTATACTTTATCCCATGCAAGACCCTCTGTCCTGCACCACTAACAAGGGGGAACCACGCCAGAAAATCTTGATGAACTACATGTACAGGGATCGAACAAGGGACCTACATCTTAGCGAGCCAACATCTTACTGAGTCACCATGGCTCCTACATATGTAGTATACTTAAAACTTTGTATGTATACAATGTATGTAATGTTATTACTGGCAGTTATAGTTAGCTGATAGTACAGGTGTTAACCTAGCTCATTACTCACTCTTACTACTAAGTACTTACATGTATAGACTACTATAAACCTATTCTACTATCTACACACCTACATTGTACATGTCTAGTATTACAACAGTACCTAATATTAATCAGCCAGACCTCCTGTTTTAAAGGCTCAATACCACTCTTGTTGTAACTGAATAATATGTCCCAATCTTTATTCTGATCAACAAAAATCTACTGTTTTACAATATTCCAATTAATTGATGATATTAATTTCATCTTAACACAACTAATTTAAAAAATTGTAAAAATTCAACTAAATGATTTGAAAAGCCTAACATAAACCCTTTCAAATGTGACTTGGATTTTAAAATATTTTCGAACCCTCTGGACAAGTAAAATAGGATGTAATGGATAATTTACACAACAGGTAGGACACTTAAACATCTAGTACTTAGAATAAACCTATTATTTATTTTCTGGAGCTGTCAAGCCAGCAAGAGTGTTATTGTCCCTTTAACTTGATTTTATTATGGCAAAGGGAGTAGATAACCCACTCCCTTATCTTACGACAGCAAATTTTAACAACAGTGTTTCAAAACTTTTTTTATTATTCGTCCATACATGTACAATGTATGTGAATAATCTTAATTAAATCAACCCGTTCATAATATCAGGCATTATGTTTTGGATGTTAAATTTGTAATAAACAACAAGAACATTGCCCGGATGGTCTACATGTACATGTAGATGGCAGATCACCTACATGTATGAATTGCTGTCATGGTTTTGATCGCAGGTGCCTTCTCAACCTTGCGAGTTTACTCTGTTCCCTCCCACAGAAAAGATCCCTGTCTGTCCGCTAATAAGACAACTTGTTTGCGATATTATCTTCGGTTGAAACGAACATTAAACACTACGAACAACAACATCATTACTCACAGACGGGCATATGCCATGCAGTGTGCTATGAGTATGAGGGAAATATTGCCTGGACAGTGGGTGATTGGCTTACACTTATTTCAAATTTCCAACTGCCAAGGGATCTTTTACATGCATATACATGTACATGCCAATGTGTACACAGGACCTCAGTTTTCGCACCATCCGAATGACTATATATTGTCCCTTGCCAGAACCACCCGTCCTACACCACTGACAAGAGAGAGAGAGAGAGAGAAATGGGGTTTAACGTCCACTCGACACAAACTAGGTCATTTCGGGACTAACATATGGTTTAATTTTATTTACATAATTCGCTTGCGCGTAGGGGTCTTTAGCAGTGGGAGGAAACCGGAGGACCTGGAGAAAACCCACGAGGATGGACAGGCGACCCTACTCCTTGCCACGTACAACCGGGGATTCCACTGACAAGAAGGAACTGCGCTTGAAAATCCTGATCAACTTTCTGTTTCTTGGCCAATGCAGGGATCGAAAACACCTAGTCCTAGTACATGTATATTAGAGACTAGAGTAACTGATTATGCTTCATATACATACAGAGAGAGAGAGAGAAATGGGGTTTAACATCCACTTGACACAAACTAGGTCATTTTGGAACTAGCACATGGTTTAATTTTATTTCAATAATTCGCTAGCGCCTAGGGGTCTTTAGCAGTGGGAGGAAACAGGAGGACCCGGAGAAAACCCACGAAGTTGGACAGGCGACCCTTCTCCTTGTCACGTACAACCAGGGATTCGAAACCACGCCAGTCGACTCAATGACAGACTTTATGATACAGCGCGCGCACGCTAACCATTCAGCCATCCAAGCCCCCTAATCTTGTGCGGAATAAAGTAATTTGACATAAATTTCAAATTATTCAGGCTGACCTTAAAAATATCTTTGTTTCGCCTAACGCGACCGACTAACTAAAACCACCCCCGACTTAAATTATTTTATTGCACTTTTCCGCGATCTTTTTATTTTATTTTGTGTGTCAACCTGAAATATATCACGAGAGTTATTTCCCTTTACTATGGCTATGGTTTGATTCATTATTGAAACTGGTTGATCAAGACGAAAGCGTCATAGGTGTCGCTTCTCAACAAAATGGTTGCAGACGAAAGCACGTCCATTCCCACGAAATGATTCTGCCTCTATGTCTGTGGGGCGTTGTTTTAAACATGACGATATTTTCAATATCCGTTTTCGAGAAAAATAAAGGCACAACCCGCACGATCGTTAAAAACGTGTTGAGGGAGTTTCAAACGTGAGTTTGTCGCAATTTGTGTGCGAGTCGTGCATCAAGAAAAATCCCGATGTCATTGATTTGTTTGCCAATAAAAGAAGACGAATGTTTGCACCCGGAAAATTATCAAGCTGTCAAATTAGCTCTTAAAAAAAAAAATCTGAAAAAAAACCCCGACCTACCGACCCTTCTCCTCGATTGTGGGTCGGGTTTGGTGAAACAAAGATATTTTTAAGGTCAGCCTCATTTTTCATTCTCAGCTCTTTCTCTTTACATAATGTATATTTAATTTAAGAAATACTGACGATGTTAAACTTGCAAATGGCTAAATAAGCTTACAGATCAATTTGTTGAGACATTAGCAAAAAATTTGGGATTTTTGTTTCAATTTGTGAAAAAAAATAAAATATGTCTATTCAGCATTGAGAATGGGGAACGAAAATATTGTGGGACCCAGGACTCTTATAAAAGTTGAGTGTGCCTGCGCACACACTTGAAAATGTGCCTGCAGGGTCATACTGAAACACAGGGATGTAGCCAGGGATTTGGTGAGTGGTGAAAAAAATGTATTTGGCGAGCGGAGCGATGCAAAAAAAAATTTGGGAGGGGGGCGTGGTCATTTATGAAAATTAATCCCTTCTTGGTGTATTTTCAGAGCATCTGCTGCCTTTTGTATTTGCTTCAGTGCAAATCAAATTTCAATTGATATATTCAAATTTTACCAAATTCACTTAATTTTCATCAATGATACAGGGATCTAAAAACTTTTTGACACCACCCGACCGAGCATAAAATTGTCCCGCCCCACTCTCTTTCTCTGGATAGATAAGTTGAGGACCTTTCGGTATTTGTTGTTTTGTTGGATTTTTTTTCAAATATTACTTTATTACTTTGAGATTAAAAATTAAAACGATTCTTAAAACGGTGTTTTATTTGAGTACAACGAATTATGACAACAGGTAGATATTGATAATTAAAACACGTTGTATTATTTGACTTGTTTCAATGTTTGTAAAGTTGTTGTACGTATCTCACGAATATTATTATTACGGTGGAATGAGAATCAGGTCAGGCAGAAACTGAGAAAGCTCTCATCGTCCTCCTAGTCCTACTCTCGGGCCGTAGCAAATCCACGGTCAACACAGGTAAGAAATAAAATAAGATCATCGTGAAAATTTGCAGGCACGTGTTGGACAATTACGACATTCAAACCTTTAACATTGGAGTGCCGTAAATTGGTCTGGGTGACCTATTTACGGCAAATAAACAAATATAAAGACCGTAGAATAATTGTAAAATGAATAGACCTAGGCCTACACATCTTCTAGGTATAAATAAACAAAATACCAATACATCTTTCTTTAAACTAATTTGGGATGATAGGGTCTACTACGGCACACAAAAATAAATTATGCCGTGACAGACATGGTTTGCATACGTCGGCTTTTACCATGGCTTTGCCGTTTAATTGCCGTGGTAAATTTCGAGCGCCGAGTTTGTGTACAGAGAAGGACGAAGGGGTTTAAATACGACTGGGCGGCTTCCTTCGATTTTTTCTTTGTGCTGGGCGGCAAAAAATAGTGCCGGGCACAGGCGCCGCCCGGCGTGGCTAATCTTTGAAAATGTGCCTGCAAAAAAGTTTTTTAAAGCAAATGTGCCTGCGCACGCCGTGCGCGGAAATATCGATGCCTGAGTATATGCAAATTTAGGTCCTACTTTAATAACGGAAGTGATTCAAATTTTGACCTGCCTATTATACGATTCAAGATTTTTGTAATCGTAATAACCTTTCATGTATACTATATACAATGGAGGCCTATCCTGGAATTCATTCTATACACAATTGCAGTGACTTCTGAGCATTCCTCAACGGTATAAAATAAAATATTAAAATTATGGGGATCGATGTTCAACTGTAGGGTGTTCAAAAAAAAAAAAACCCAAAAAAAACACACATCTCCTCAATCAAAATTTAGGACTTCATATTACACAATATTTGAATTATTAAATTATTGGAATTGATGTTCAACTGTAAGGTGCTCAGAAAAAAAACCCCTCAACAATGAAGATTTTGGAGGCTCAGTGACAGTTGACCTTGATTAAACATACATTATGCAAGAGCTAAATCTGCCAATTACAGGTCTTTCTTTAGGCCTGAAATGTTATCTAAATTATTAATTAGACATTAATTAACTTATCCAGACCATAGGCATAATCAACTCTCAATGTCATCGCTAGCCTGCAATATTTACTGGGTAAGGATCCGGATTGCTGCTCAACTTTCATTCATGATTTAATCATGAAATGGATAATCGAGACTATGTTTTTTTATCGTACCAACTTTAGTAATGATGATTTAGGCTAGGCCAAAAATTCAATCGCTAAATTCTCGGTTCAGAGTGGATCAATTTGACTGAAATTTTCAGCAAATTCCCTTTATATTATCTTGTTTTTAACTATTATAGTGAGAACTGCCAGTTCTTTATTTAATCTCTCATAATGTATCTTTAAGCACCATAATTAAAGAATAATGACTGAGTACTGATACTTTAATACAGGAACCTACTAGGACTGTATCACTAAATACATTGTACAGTAACATACATGTACATGTACTGTCTTACTAATAAACAGATTAACCATCTGTTACCCCAGGCAACCAAGCTCATAAAACATTCTTACACAAATCAAAATTACATAATTTTTTCAGTGACCTAGATTCAATCCATTGTACATGTATGTACATCATACAGGTCACAATTCGTCGAGTTTCTGGTGAACCGATGAATCTGATATATTTAAGTATTGAAATTTGCGTTCTGTTGTTATCTCTGTAGCCATCAAATAATAACATTTATGTAAATGGCATTCGGTGTCCTGATGTATAAGTATGAAATATTAAATCACAAATGAATGTTATTATTTGATGTCAACAGATATAACGACAGAACGCAAATTTCAATTCTCAATACTTAAATATATCAGATTCATCGGTTCGCCAGAAACGCAACGAATTCTATGGAATACAATTACTGCTTATTACTCAATGACAGGCCTTACGATACAGCGCACAAATGCTAACCATTCGGCCATCCAACCCCCTTTATGATTTCAGTGTTCCACTCTTCACTATTTGTAACATAATTACTTATTTCCATGCAAAGTGTGATGATATGTGTTGAAAATTTTGCAATTAAACCTAATTTTACATGCTCAAAGATTTGAATAGTGTATCAGTTGCAGCCATGGATAAGAATTATCACAACTACAAATTGCAGCTAAGTATAACAATAACAACACTTCAGCCATTCTTAACTTTGGATTGTACAACGACAATACTATATACTGGATATAAAACAACCGAAAAACACCATGTTATACTGAATACCAGAAAACACTGGGTAAACACTAAATACCGGAAAACACACTAAATACCGGAAAATACCCTAAATAGGTAACCCAGAGCCTGGTCGAGCCTGGTCCTCTGTTTGCGGGGAGTTAGGGTTAGGGTTAGGTTTTTCTGGTGTTTTCCAGAGGACCCGGCTCCGAGTTACCTATTTAGGGTGTTTTCCGGTATTTAGTGTGTTTTACGGTATTTAGTGTTTTTCCAGTGTTTTCCGGTATTCAGTATAACATGGTGTTTTCCGTTTGTTTTCTGGTATATAGTATAGCCCTTGTACCAGAATTTTCAATTACAATTTCCCTCATCAAATTCAAAGGTCACCACAAAAAGTTTTTTTCAAGAGTAAAAACTGCATGAATAAAGTTTTGAAGTCCTGTAAACATTATAGAAAGTTTACAAAATGTATCTTAAGGTATGTGTGAACATTCATTGAGCAATAAAGAATAAAAAGAACATTTTCAGACATACTTTCATTAAAGTTTCATTTGATACTGATAGTAATGATTATGTCAGTAATGTATAAAATAATGATACGATCAGTACTCAATGAGCGTCGAGACTGATCATGGATGGGCAGACGATGGTATTAATCAAAACAAAAACAAAATATATAGCCTATATATCTTGTAATCAAGAACGTCCCATTATGCTAGGGAAGTCTGTCACTGGCCGATAAAAATAGCTGCCGTCTAAATGAAGTTGTAAGATGAAGATGGGGATTGACTGACTCACCTTGCGGCATGTCATCTCGAACAGAGATGCACATCAATAAATAATGTGCAATGTCGAAATACGGGTACATTTTCAGTTTCGTTACCACTGTGGCAACTTCCATAAATGTTTGAGGATCCATCTTTTTGCCTCTTGTCTGCAAAACTCCACGAAATATTTTTTTAAAGAGCAAATTAGCAGACAGGGACGATGGAAGATGAGCCGGTTGCTTCTGCAGCGATGACTGCGCCACCTTTCAAATTGGAGCAGATAACTCATTTTTCACTAAGACAGATGAGGAGTCGCACCACCAAATAAAATTACCATTGCACAAAAACCCTGGGGTTTTTTTTTGTATAATCGCCCTTCGGTAGTTTATTAGTTCTATCAAAATAATTTCACTGTATTTTGTTTAAATCTTTTGATCAGGAGAAAATATTGACTGCCCTTGCAAGCTGTCCCTGCCATATTTTGAATTGGTGTTAGCCAAAATTCCCACAAATATTGTCTGAATTAAAACATCTGAATTGGCCTCTTTATGGGTCTGATCAACTGAATTTAAACAAAAATTAACTAGCATCATCTAAGCAATATGGCTACAAAATTGAGTTGGAATTCATAATGCCCTTAAAGTGGCTGTGCCCCAACCTATGAAACAATGTACCAATTTCGTTTGAAACACATTAATCAATCCAGGAAAAGAAGGCAAAAATGTTAGAAAATGTCCAAATTTTCACCATCTAACAGTTTCAATACATGCATTAAGCTTTCCAGTCTTCATTCTATTATTTGAATAGCAATGGGCACAGTAAGCTGATGACCATATCAACCAATAGCGAATTGCATAACATAACATAACCTTGCCATCAGGTCTCATTTTATTATTAGAATAGAAGCCTTATTCACAAAAAATTACTCTAAAATATTTTGGGAGCCACAATGGCTCAGTGGGTAAGACATTGCCTTGCTAACTTGGAGGTCCTGTGTTCGCTCCCTGCGTAGGCTGAGAATGATCATCAGGATTTTCCGACGTTCGTCGTTCGGATGGGATAAAAAATCAAGGTCCTTGTACAAAGTGGTATGCACGTAAAAGATCCCTTGGTAGTTGGAATTCGATATAAGAGTAGGCCATAGTAACACTGTCAGGGAAAATTTCCCTTATAGTACACTGTATGGTGTATGCCCGTCTACATTAGCCCAGTCAGAGTAGAGCAGTAGGATGTTCAACCCCATTTTATTTCATTTCATTTTCATAATTAATTTAAGGATTCAGAGTTTTTATTGGCTGAGAGGTAAATTCATAGTACAGATTTCAGTTCGTAGCCAATCAAAGGCTCCATTCTTAAAATAAGGTCGCAGGAAGTTGGTAGCCATAGTGACCAGTGACAAAACGAATAAGGTTCCCCAACCCCTTCCCTAAGAAGAGAATTTTCAACATCATCAGCAACACTTTGATCCTACCTTCCATTTCTTACCTCAAATTAGTGGGCAAGCACCTTACTCTTACTGCAGGTGGGTGGGGGGGTGAATGGCTGAATGGTTAGCGTGTGGACGTTATATCATAAGGTCTGTCATTGAGTCAACTGGCATGGTTTCGATTCCCCAGTTGTATGTGACACAGAGTTAGGTTGCCTGTCCAACCTCATAGGAATTCTTCGGGTCCTCTGGTTTCCTGCCACTGCTTAAGACTCCTACGCACAAGCAAATTATTGAAATAAAATTGAACCATGTGTTAGTCCCGACATGACCTGGTTTGTGGGATGAAATCATTGGTGCCCTGTATACATTGGCCTGACGCAGTCCTGATAATAACGGTTTTAGATGTACCTGACAATATATCAGGTACTAATGAAATAGTACTTGACATTTTCACCTTAGTGCCGGACATGTATTAATAATATCAATAAAAAAGACAAATCAGTCACGGGCAAAATGACAGGAACCGAGGTTTAGTGTCTGACAAGCCTGAATCTGTGCCTGACATTGTTTGTGACAGGTGCCTTATTTAAGGCTTGGCCTGACAGAATTTGAAATTAGACTGCGAGGTACATGTGGCACCACTGTTATGGCAAAATTTACCTTATAACATATAACATGGTATAAACCTGTCTTCATTATCCCATGTTGGAGCAGAGATGTAGGATGTTAATTCCCATATGATAAAGTCAAGAGATAAGGGCACTGAACTTTAAACTTGAACATCTCGGGTTACGCCCACCAAACAAGTGGGAACCACAATTGAGACACTATTCAAATAAAAACAAGAAACACTTTGTTTATTTTCAGATCTGGTGTATTCCACTTTCTTCTCCACAGAAAAATCATTTTAAAAAGGACCAATAATATACATAGATAGATTATAACATGTAAACATCACATGTAATAATATTATCGATTATTACATAGTAAACATTGCGTGTAATAATATATATCAATTATTACATAGTAAAAATTACATGTAATAATATATATTTGTTATTACATAGTAAACATTACATGTATAAGTAAAAATATATATCATTATTACATAGTAAACATAACATGTAATAATATATATATATCATTATTACATAGTAAACATAACATGTAATAATATATATATTATTACATAGCAAACATTACATAATATTAAACATTACATGTAATAATATATTATTACATAGTAAACATTACCTGTAATAATATATATTAATACATAGTAAACATTACATGTAATAATATATATCAATTATTACATAGTAAATATTTCATGTAATAATATATGCCAATTATTACATAGTAATAATATATCAATTATTACATGTAAACATTACAGTAATATATATATATATCGAATATTACACAGTAAACCTTACAGTAATAATATATATTGTATATAACATAGTAAACATTGCAGTAATAATATATATTATTACAAGTAAACATTACAGTAATAGTAATAATTTTATTTCCATGACAAGAGTAGGGTACCACGTAGTCTACATTCATCATATTTTTTCTACAATTAATTCACAGATCAATGAACTACAGTACAAGTACTTAAATTTCAAGGAACTAACTTAAAGTAGCTAAGTCTCTAACTCAATATCATTTAAAGTCATCGACATTGAAAACACAGATTATTTGTCAGTTTAAATTAACATTGATGTTGTGATCTTACCGGGAAAAGATAGGCTTCTGATAACCAATATTTAAGACAAAATAAACATTTTACCATTGTGTACCGTAATGCGTTTCAGCGCCATTTGCAACAAGGGACTCAAAAAACGAGGCTAGACATATTCCACAATTCATGTCAATAAATACTATTTGTGTAGACTGGATTAACCTGACGCTAGAGATTGCCATTCAATTGAGACTCCTGCTGTCAATTTCTAGGTTAGTCCTGAAATGAATTAGTTCGTGTTGAGTAGATGTTTAACCCCATCCATTGTAAATTCTACCTCAATGAAAGATTCAAACTAACCCCATACCCCTTGGTGAAACATTGTAAATTCTACCTCAATGAAAGTTTCAAACTAAAACATTGTAAAATAGTTAAATACTTGATAAAATATAATTGTAAAAAGCAAATCATATTTCTCTAAAAGACTTACAGTAAAATTGACAACAAAATTGAAATGTGGTTCTATTAATTGAAATCTGAAGAAAGAACTTAACACTGTCTCTATTAACACTGTAACCCAGTTATCATTTAATCTTGTGTATTTAGCACTAATTTCTTTCACATTCATTCAATGTGAAATCTTTGTTTAAAAATTGGGGGGTTGGATGGCTGAATGGTTAGCGTGCGCGCGCTGTATCATAAAGTCTGTCATTGAGTCGACTGGCGTGGTTTCGAATCCCCGGTTGTACGTGACAAGGAGTAGGATCGCCTGTCCAACCTCGTGGGTTTTCTCCGGGTCCTACAGTTTCCTCCCACTGCTAAAGACCCCTATGCGCAAGCGAATTATTGAAATAAAATTATACCATGTTAGTCCCGAAATGACCTAGTTTGAGTCGAGTGGACGTTAAACCCCATTTCTCTCTCTCTCTCTCTTTGTTTAAAAATTTGTAAAAATCATTTAAAATCATCAAATTTCATCTAATTTGTACTTGAGTCCAGTTTAAACCTGACCATTTAATTTTGATGATGAGTGTCTAATTTACAAGCGTTTAATTTTTTAATCACTGTTAAAAAATAAACAACAGGACTGATTATATATGTATAATGAATAATTTGTGAACAGTGGTCAGGAAATTAAATACTTGTAAATTAATCAGTCAGCTGTGAACTGGACACAAGTAAAAATTAGATGATTTGGGGTGATTTTAAATGATTTTTTTACAAATTTTTAAACAAAGATTTGATATTAAAGAAATGTGAAATAAATTAGTGCTAGATACACAGATTAAATGATACACAGGTTACAGTGTAATGTTCCGAACAACTGGAAAATATACAATGTACAGGACAAAATTATATGGTATACAATGACTGTTTACAGGGGCGGATCCCCCCCCCCCCTTGGATCTGCCCCGGGTTTATTAGTTTCAAAGGATTCTCTAGTCTTTATCGAACAATGATAGACAGCAACGGTATTCCATAGAATCGTGTCCCATCATACTTGTTACATGGACGGGAAATCTTCCTTTGTTCTTTTCATTGAATAAGCAGATTGTTTTCCCTTTAGTAGATTGGGTGGGTCTTAACCGTGCAATATCTAGACATGTTCAATGTTATTGCACTCTTTTGCTGGTTTACACTAGTTTTAGTAGAAATCATATAGAGAAGTGGGGTGGGTTTTCTGTGCAATAACAACAAGCATGTTGAGCAGGTGTCAATGTTACAAGTCATTTATAGCACGCTTCATTCGGGCCTACAGCCTCGATGTTTAAACCTGTTAACTCATGAAAGCTGTGCTATAAATATAACTTAACTAATGCTAGGTTCCCACTGTCGTGCGATGCATTACGATAGGACTGTCCCTATTGAGACTAGTCCACGATCTGCTACGTGGAGATATGTTCTGATACGTTTCAATACGATCAACACGATTGCTACAACTGACTTCAATAGACATGAATGATAAGACCTGATAGGATCAGGTTAGTGTATGCGCGCGGTATCATAAGGTCTGACATTGTGTCAACTGGCGTGGTTTCGATTCCCCGGTTGTACTGTGATCAGGAGTAGGGTCGCCTGTCCAACCTTGTGGGTTTTCTCAGAGTCCTTCAGTTTCCTCCCACTACTAAAGACTCCTACACGCAAGCGAATTATTAAAATGACCTAGTTTGTGTCGAGTGGACATTAAACACAATTTCTCTCTCTCTCCCCAAAAGAAAAAGAACACATCATAATAATAGGTATTCATTAGGAACAAAAATTAAAATTGTTTTGGTTGAAATTATTCTTAGTTTACCTACAAGGACATGAACGTTCATCGGTCAGAATTGTACAAAGTGGAGACCACCAAAAATACAAAAGAATAACCAACTAAACTTGAATCTGTATTTTAATTTTGTTTTTCTTGACGATTATCATAACAGAAAGGACATTTGAGAGATTTTTCCCAATGTGATTCAACTCTTTTTTTTAAATAATTAAATTCTTAATGTGGTTTTCACTCAATACTGGAAGGAAAATCTTTCCAGTTCTTAGGACTGTGATACAGTAATATAGCATATTCCTATACCAGTTATACTAACAGTAACAGATTAATGCAATAAATGCATTTAAAGCCATTGCTGGTCATTTGCATTTTTTCAGACAAAATCTAATTTTACGTGGTTTAATCCATGCTAAAACAGACTCATATATAACATCTGATAAAGAAAAAAAAAACAAAGTGACTATTGTTACGACGAGTCCGAGCCAAGTTTAGAACGAATTCCAAAATGGCTGCCAATCTCCCCAACACCAGATTTGAAAAAGGAGCCGTATTTGCAACGTTTTCAGAACTGAAGGCAGCAATTAAGAGATGGGAAGGAATAGGGTTAGGACTATTTTTATGACTATTCAGTTTTTAAATTCGCTGATGGAGGGCTGTGAAAGCATCGTCGTAACAAAAGCCTGAGGACTATTTTTACGACTCGTCGTAACAATAGCCACTGCCAAAAAAACAAACCTCAATGATAGATAATCGGATTAAAAGATTAAACCCAACTGTAATACACTGTATGTGCTGCTGGCTTGTTTATATCATGTACAGAGGATGTCGAATATCGTGCAATTTTCAATTCCTCATATCTTTTTAATAATGAATAGAATTGAACATTTTAGGCCATTACACATGTATGCCTTTTTAGGGATTCAACTATCACGATATTGTAGTTTACAATAGTCAGTGGCTTTAACAGATTTCAATTTATCATATCCATACAAACACTTATCTTGTGTGACGTTACACTGCAGCCATTTAATCAGTCAAGACCTAAAAGGTCATCGCTGAAATGACTTAGGCTACAGTTGCTTCTTAGGTTTCCATATTTCTCCATTTTTACACATTGATCCTCCTTCAATTAAAAACACTAAACATTCAAGTTTCAATCCTTTCACAGTTTTCATATGTCCATTATCACAGTTTTTAGTTGTTGTTTAACTTGTCTCCCTTTAGATCGTTTCCATGACGATCGAGTATCAACATACAGGTATATATATATATATATATATATATATGTTTTTGAAATTGTTTTTAATCCAGTCTAGATCTAACATCCATCCATTCATTCTAATCGTAGTAACTCCACGTCAAATCGTAAAGTTGATTTCGGTGGTATAGTTCACTGAGGTTAAGGTCGTTAATTAATTAGGCTAAATAAATCAATTATTATTAACACTTTAGCATCCAGTAAGGGAGCGACAGTGACTCAGTGAATAAGGTACTGTCTGATTACGGCAATGTGAGGTGCTCGAGGGTGCAGTCCAGGTGCTAAAGAATTCAACTGAAATGTGGAATGGTTTAATTTGAGACTAACAGAGTTTTATTCTGAGACTAAAAGAGTTTTATTCTGAGACTAAAAGAGTTTTATTCTGTGAATAACAGTTTTATTCTGTGAATAACAGTTTTATTCTGTGAATAACAGTTTTATTCTGTGAATAACAGTTTTATTCTGTGAATAACAGTTTGAATAACAGTTTTATTCTGTGAATAACATGAAATGAAATGAAATGGGGTTTAACATCCTACTGTTCTGCTCCGAACTGGCCTAATGAAGACGGAGGAAACCGGATGACCCGGAGAAAACCCACAAGGTTGGACAGGCGACCCTACTCCTTGTCATGTACAACCGGGGATTCGAAACCACGCCAGTCGACTCAATGACAGACTTTATGATACAGCGCGTGCGCGCTAACCATTCAGCCATCCAACCCCCCGGAAAGTGGAAAGCACTGGCTCGCACTGGCTCCTACTATTACGGATCACTGATCCCAACCAAGTGAGACTGCAGGGATTCATAATTATTTTGGTCAAGATCATAATCAACTCTTTGAACCATTGGATGACCAAGATACTGAATGGATTAGACTTGTCACGCCATATAATAAATTAACGTTAAAATGGACGTCACTCAATAAATAGCCTGACAATCAAGACTATTTCTTGTCAAGACTTCAAACACTCATAATTTCACTCAGTATAGAGAAAATTTACTGAATATTTCAACATATTCATTTTTTCATTTCTATTTTTGAACTATTATCACAAGAATGACCAGATCGTTCTTAAAACAATGCAAACCCTCTCCAGTATCAAACAATAAATGAAATGAAAGGGGGTTTAACGTCCTACTGTTCTGCTCCGACTGGGCTAATGAAGATGGGCATATGCCATACAGTGTGCTATGAGGGATATTTTGCCCGGGCAGCGACACTATGGCCTACTCTTATATCGAATTCCAACTGTCAAGGGATCTTTTATGTGCATGCCAATGTATACTCGGTTTTTCGTCCCATTCACCATTCAAACGTCTAGATGGCTGTCCTTGTGGGGACCTTCGACAAACAAGGGGAAACCACTCCGGAAAATCCCAATAAACTTTCTCGGCTAATGCAGGGATCGTACATGCAACCTACAGACCAGTGAGCCAGCGTCTTACCCACTTAGCCACCGTGGCTAATAAAACAATAAACATAGGTTGCCAAGGTAGGGGTATAAAAAGGATATATTCCTGGGTGTCCTCTATTTCCATAAGCATAATCAGGAGTACACGTTAATCTGGCTCTCTGCCCAACACTCATCTATTAAAATATAACAAAAAAAATCACTCAAATAAATCAGGGTTAGGCCACTTCCATTAATTTTACACAGGTCACAATTCTATAGAGAAATGGGGTTTAAGGTCACTGGACACAAAACTAGGTCATTTTGGGACTAACACATGGTTCAATTTTATTCCAATAATTCGCTTGAGCTGTAGGAGGAAAGCCACAAGGTTAGACGAGCCCCCCCCCCCCCAAACCATTTAGACACCCATCGCCCCCAAATATATGGAATCAATAAAGACTACAGAAGCCTAGTCAAAATGTCGCTCAGTACTGAATAGAATTGTCACCTGTGTATTTCCAATTCCATTACTATCAGATACCTCCTTTTCTTCAGTTCTCTTAAGTTTTCGGCCTGACAAGGACAGCTGTCTAGTCCTTCGGATGAGACGAAAAACCGAGGTCCCGTGTATATTTTGGAATGCACGTAAAAGATCCCCTGGCAGTTGGAATTTGATATAAGAGTAGGCGATAGTGCCGCTGCCCGGGCAAAATTTCCCTCATAGCACACTGTATGGCATATGCCCGTCTTCATTAGCCCAGTATAGGAGCAGAACAGTAGGACGTTAAACCCCATTTCATTTCATTTCATTTCTTAAGTTTTCAGTACCAAATTTTGAACAAATAAAATGAAATGGGGTTTAACATCCTACTGTTCTGCTCCGACTGGGCTAATGTGCTATGAGGGAAATTTTGCCCGGACATCGGCGCTATGGCCTAATCTTATATCGCATTCCAACTGCCTGTGCCAAGGGATCTTTTAGGTACATGCCAATGTGTACATATGACTTTATTTTTTCTGTTTGATCCAAACAACTAGACACTGTTCTTGTTAGGCCAAATGATCTTTTACGGTCACGCCAATGTGTACACGTGACCTCAGTTTCTTGGACAATGCGGGGATCGAACACGCGACCTCCAGGTTAGCAAGTCGACCTCTTACCCACTGAGCCACCTTGGCTCCCAAATTTTTAACAAACAATCAGCTAGTTATTTATCAGGGCATAATAAAATATAACTTACTTTTACTATACCTTCCTCCCAGCCTGTAAATAGAAAACATACATTAAATAACAAACAACTTGAATTTCATTTTAAACCATATTCCTGAAACAATGACCGCAAGTTTACCAACATCTGCACGTCACTAGATTACTTTACAATTCCCAAACTTATAGCTACGTTATCTGCAGACACGTGAACAGTAGCATCCAATCAGAGGTTGTGACATAGTGACCTCCACGGAAACCTTGACATTGAACGAACCTTGAACTTTGTAACTCGATTATCACAGGTAGACATTTTAACTTGAACGCGCATGACTCGGTTTTCGCAATGATCGAGGAATCTGATAGACTCCCAAGCTCTTTGAATACCCAATCAAAATTAGTGCTGAAATATGCAGGGTATTAAGTGAAGGCCTCGATAAGATGTACGTGGTTAAAGGGAGAGAGAAAGAGAGAGAAATGGGGTTTAACTCCACTCGACACAAACTAGGTCATTTCGGGACTAACATATGGTTTAATTTTATTTCAATAATTTGCTTGCGCGTAGGGGTCTTTAGCAGTAGGAGGAAACCGGAGGACCTGGAGAAAGGTTAAAGGGAGATCAAGCCTTCTATTGAAGATGCACACAAGACAAACCTACAGACAGGACACATTATAAACAGGCACCTTAAACAACTAACATACATATCATATCAAATGAATGGATCTATACACAACAATTCACACAGGCCTGGAAATAATAAATCTATCATAGACATTGTCAGACACTAATTTAGGCAATGACAGGCTCAATCCCTCGGTGTCGGGTATTTTATCACACAGATTCGTCATTCATCAGTGTTTTTATTAATATTCACAATGTTCAAAATGTCAGGCACTACTAAAATCATTACTTCCATGCTGGGTGGGGGGGGGGCTTATTCATGAAAATTTAAATTAACAGGATTTTTCATACGTACAAACAGGGGCACTGACTAATCCATGAATTATGGTCTAATACATGCCAAAATCAAATCCTTCCAAGATCTTTAGCATATAAACATATATTTCAAGTTTCATCAAAATCTGAAAGGTTGTCCAATAACAAATGTGAATGGACACACGGTCATCCGGACGGAGAGCGGAGACAACATAATACGTCAAAATAATAATATGGGTGGATAAAAATTATAGTTTCTATCAAGGTCACAAGGTTTTTGGCAAAAAGGGGGGGGAAGGAAATTAACGTTGCGGAGATTTGATTATTGGTGGGGTTTGTCCTCCCATCATGATCCCAGCTCATATAAGAGAGAGAGAGAGAAATGGGGTTTAACGTCCACTCGACACAAACTAGGTCATTTCGGGACTAACATATGGTTTAATTTTATTTCAATAATTCGCTTGCGCGTAGGGGTCTTTAGCAGTGGGAGGAAACCGGAGGACCCGGAGAAAACCCACGAGGTTGGACAGGCGACCCTACTCCTTGTCACGTACAACCGGGGATTCGAAACCACGCCAGTCGACTCAATGACAGACTGTATGATACAGCGCGCGCACGCTAACCCCCAGCTCATATAATGCGTGATATTGTAAAATATGTACCTTTAATTACTTCTCCTTTTCCTAAATGAAATTTAAATGGAACCCCTCTTTCTCTAGATGAATCAAATGTGTTTCCGTTATCTAATGTACCTGAAATATACACAATTTACATTCAACACGAACTCGATCATTTCGGGACTAACATATGGTTCAATCTTATTTCAATAATTTGCTTGGCACTTACAAACAGGGGATCGAAACTATGCCACTTTGCTCAATGACAGACCATATGATCTAAACCACACTTGTTAAAGCTTTGTAGACTTACAAAAAATACAGGAGAGAGAGAGATATCCACTCGACACAAACTAGGTCATTTTGGGACTAACATATGGTTCAATTTTATTTCAATAATTCGCTTGTGCGTAGGGGTCCTTAGCAGTGGGAGGAAACCGGAGGACCAAGAGAAAATCCACAAGGTTGGGCAGGCGACCCTATTCCTTGTCACGTTCAACCAGGGAATCGAAACCACGCCAGTTGAATCAATGACATATCTTAAAATACAGCGCACGCGTTAAGCCTTCAGCCATCCAACCCTCTCACTTTATTCACAGGTTAAACATTAAAACAATAAAAGAAAACATAATTTGTGACGTACCAGTGTAATGCACTACTACTGTTTGTCCTTTCTTAGGAAAGGTTCGACCTAAAAAAAAAAAGAAAAAAAAAGATGAAATATATTTTAAAGCAGTTGGTCTCAAATTCATTTTAATTTGATTTTGAAATAGTTAAAGACAATGCTACGCAAAACAAGTACGACCGTACTTTGGACCAGGAACTGACCATGATGTTTTAGTATATGGTACATATAGAGTTCCCCTTCATTCGCATACATATAGTTTTCAACATACATGTACAGATATTGTTCTCTGTATATACAACTATCACTCTGTAAAGACAGAATTCGAAAAGCTTTCTTTAACAAAAGCTGACACAGTTATGACATCATAACTTTGATCTAAAGATGAAATTCAAATGAAATGGGGTTTAACATCCTACTGTTTTGTTCCGACTGAGCTAACAGCGATGGGCATTCCCATACAGTATGCTATGAGAGAAATTTTCCCCGAACAGCAGGGCTATGGCCTACTATTATATCGAATTACAACTGCCAAGGGATCTTTTATGTAGATGCCAAATTTGTACATAGGACCTTGTTGGTTTTTTTCTCATCCTATCTGAACAAATAGACAGATGTCCTTTTCAGACGGTCTGTCCTGCAAACTGACAAGGGGAAACTAGGCCAGAAAATCCTGATGAAAATTGTTGGCCAACACCGGTCTTCCTCACTTAGCCACTCGGGCTACCGCTTGTAAATAAGCTTGTACGATACATGCATGTCAAATTTACCAACTGACACCTTTCATTTTGTGAGTATTTGGTCATAACCTGTGTGCGGGTTTCAGTGCTTGAGGAACCTAAAGGTACAGGTGTGGAACGATATCTAGGCGTCTGGAGTCAAAAGTGACTGGAGGGGTGCTCGATTGTCAGTCTGGAACGTCCCGAATTGACAGAATTGCAATCAAGTGATACAGAATTCGGCCATGTCACAGCTCTGCAAGTCCCATCGCCTGAGATGATGTGAGTAGAATCGTGACATATTATTTTAAATAACAAATATGTTTCTGCTGTCATGATTGGTTGAGATATTTTATATTCAGTCGGCACATGCATTGTACTCCGAAATTCTCATTTTCATTTTCACTCGATTGACACTATTTTTGGAATTGAGAGAATTTAATTCCGAAACGTTTGAATCCAATCTGGTATCCCTTTTGGCCTATATATATATTGTATTATGTAATTTACTAATTATGTCAAGTGCAGATTTAGGCCTATCAAATGAAACCCTCCACATCTGTGAGGAATATCAGATTCCCCTGCCTTCATCTTTCTATTCGGGATAAATTGCACAGTGTACAAAATAACTTTCAAATCAAGCACAAAATTCAATAGCAGCAAAAATAGGCCTTGATCGAGATTCTATAATGATGTCGATGATGATGTCATTTCTCAGTCGATCTCAGGTTACGGTGAACTTTACGTTTTAAAACCGTTTTTCTCACAAACAAAACACAGTTTTTAACTTGAAAATATATCGGCACTGACTAACGTTCTACCTACCATCCCCTGGGCTGATTTCGTCAATTGTTACACCCATTATTTTACTCAAAAACACAACACAAACAAAAATAAAAACACAATTTCTATCTTAAAATGCACTTGCTACCGGAAGTCACGAACAGTTCTCGCTTTACGAGATCTGAATTACGCCTGCGCAGTTCATTTTGCGGGAAGTTGCCGACCTACGAAGACGTATCTGTTGTTTACTTTTGTTGCTTATGTTATCATCGAAAAAAGATATAAGATTTCAAACCAATGCGAAATTTTGAGCATATTGATTATATATAATAGGTATCCAACTGTTTTTCATATTCTTTTATATTCTAATTCATCTGCCACTAAGTATTAGATCTAGATATATGTCTAGTAGAGTCTTTTACATTTACAATCATTTCCATACACCGACGATTATAAAATAAATAGTAGTGGTAAGAAAAGTAGGGCGTTTAACCACAGAAATAGATATTGTATTTCTCTGGTTAAATCCATATATGCGTATCAGGTGGGGGCTGCACCGGAGTCGGGCAAAACAATTTTTTTTCGTGCGATCATCAATTTTTTCAGGTAATGCCCATAAATCATGATGAAAAAAATAAGATTTTAGTGGATATAAAAGGAAAAAACATAAATTATTTGGGCGACATTTCGATAGTATTCTTTCAACGTTATCAACGTTGCCCAAATGAATAAGTAGCTGTTTTTCCATAAGTATGTGTTATAGATTATTGGATATTTTTAAGTTTATTTTGATTGATTTTTTCAGGTCCTAAAGTGGATTAAGGTCAATGGATTTCGACCAGACTCAAGCGATACAGTTATCTTTTGAAGATGAAACAGATGATGAAGATAATAGATCTTCTAAAACACCAGTAAGTTTATAGCCCTGTTTACACATGGCAGCGATAAGATCGTGCCGTTCTCGGCATGGTACCAGCCCACGACAAATTTCAAGAAATTGACCCGGTTACATATTACTCTAAAATAATCGTTCTCGGAACTGTGCCAGACTCGCCAAATGTGAAACTCTTCACAGAAAAGTTAATTTCAGTCCGTATGCATATCACCCAGATAAAAACAAGTATGGCGGTTGATTTAGTTTGGGCAGCCATTTTGACAGAACTGATGACAGAACTGTCAAAGTTCGCGGGAAGAAAGTTCAAGGTTCATTTGGCGCATGCGCAGTAATCCGTCGTACTGAGTACAGTTCTCAGACCGGATAACGCTTACATTACGAAAATTTAATCGTGCCATGCTTGGCACCAAGCCGAGACCACTTCATTCAGTGGGCCAAATTGGCATGGTACTCAGTACGGCATGCTTCTGTTTGACCCATTCACGCTTAAAATTTGTAATGTAAATGGGGTTAATGATGTAATCAGTAGGCCTAATATGTTGATCGTCACTGAAGACTTATCGGTTTCAACGCTATGTTTAGTATCACATTCTAAATGTTGCTTGAATTACAGAGTACTGAACTCATTTTTTGCACTATGATCAAGCACAGAGATATTGTGGAATAGCGCTATTCAAATGTTCACTTTATTTCTGAAGGGATGATTTAATTCTTTAGCACTTGGAGCTCCTGAAACCCAACCACCTGAACCATGTGAGAAAAAGAGAGAGAAATGGGGTTTAATGTCCACTCGACACAAACTAGGTCATTTTGGGACTAACATATGGTTCAATTTTATTTCAATAATTCGCGTGTGGGTAGGGGTCTTTAGCAGTTGGAGGAAACTGGAGGAACCGGAGAAAAACCGCGAGGTTGGACAGGCGACCCTACTCCTTGTCACCTACAATCGGGAAATTGAAACCACCCCAGTTGTGAATATCTGTATGATGTACCAGTTTGATACAGCTTAGGGAACAATCGTTTTGGTCAGTTTCGATAATCAGCTACAAAACTCAATGTAAAAAAAATCACTTTTTGTTGAAAACGGGGTTGGTATAGTGGTTTAACGTGTGACAAGGAGTAGGGTCGCCTGTCCAATCTTGTGGGTTTTCTACGGGTCCTCTGATTTCCTTCCACTGCTAAAGACCCACACACGCAAGCAAATTATTGAAATAAAAAAATATGTTCATCCCAAAATGACCTAGTTTTTGTTGAGTGGACATTAGACCCCATTTCTCTCTCTCTCTCTCATTTACATTAGCTTGGTTGGTAGAACACCCGGGCCATTTTATTTCCTATTCATTGTTCAACTTAAGATAAACTTTGATTTTCAGGTTTCCTATCTGAAGGTGTTCAAATATAAAGATTTACCAGAAAAAGAATATCCACTTTATGAAGGTTGGTTTCTATGGATGTTTTTGATGATTCATGAATATATACCTATTTACTGGGGAGGGGGGAGGGGTGACCGGTGTTCCACAAAGTCAAGGGGGTCAATTGAAAAAAAAAACAGCCATGTAAAATGTAGTATTCAGTATGAAATTGTTAGTAACGGTATTCAGACACTGCTTCTGTAACCTTTATTAATAGTAATAGCTATCATATTTCTTTGCATTGATGTGCCATGTTTTTGATTAAAATGGCTATTAAGATGTCTCCGTATTTATCAAACATGTGAACATTGGTGGCACGCACCTAATTAATTAAACTTGTTAATGGCTCTGATATGGGATATCTGAATGAATCTGATCAACGGATATGGGATACCTGACTGAACAGAGTAAATACTGATGTGTTTATGATCAGGAGTTGGGGTCATTTCAGGAAATTGGAATTGTAGTTTGAGCTACTGTCTTTGTTCGTTATTTGAAATTTCTTTTAATCTAAATAATTTATGGAATCAAATGGGGTGGTTAATTAAAGGTTAAAAAACAATTCTATGGTCACATGTTAAATGCTAGTGCATTGAATTTTGCCGGAAAAGCAGAGTTCCGACCTTTATTTGCCGAACTCCAACTGTCAAAAGTTCTTTAATGTTTTAGGTTTTTCATCTCATCCTAATTACTAGGCATCATTTTATTTGTCAGTGGGAACTGGGATAAAAAAAATCCTGAGGAAGAGAGTCCAGTTTCCTTTACACTTGATTGTTACGGCCCCAAATATAATATGTAGATTTGTACAGATACCTGTAGTATCAACATGTTGTTTCTTTCAGGTGAAAATATTATCGGCAGAGACGAATCATGTAATATTTGTATACCAACAAAAGTAAGTCTTCAATAAAAACTGCCCATTCATTACAGTCATAAAAAAATATGAAATTTTAAACCATACAATATTCAAATTGGTCAATCCTATCTCACAACCTTTTGAAGTTTACATTGGTTTCTGATCTTCGTTTTTACTTATCTCAATGTAAATAATACTTGGGCTATCTTTTTCCTACAAGCAAACCTATTCTTCATGAACATAAAGCATAATTATTTTATCTCTTCACCATTGTCCGGCATGGTTCCCTCTTGTCAGTGGTGCAGGATGGGGCTGGCCTGACAAGGGACAGCGTATAGTTGTTCGGATGGGACATAAAACCATGGTTCTTTGTACAGATTGGCATGCATGAAAACGAACTCTTAAAGGTGCGAATTTGATATAAGAGTAGGCTGTAGCACTACTTTCCAGGCAAAATTTTCCTCTTAGCACACAACATTGCGTATACCCGTCTTCATTAGCCCAAGGGGGGGGGATGACCGAACGGTTAGCACACGCGCGCTGTATCATACGGTCTGTCATTGAGTCAACTGGCGGGGTTTTGATTCCCCGGTTGTATGTGACAAGGAGTAGGGTCGCCTGTCCAACCTCGTGGGTTTTCTCCGGGTCCTCCGGTTCCTCCCACTGCTAAAGACCCCTACGCGCAAGCCAATTATTGAAATAAAATTAAACCATATGTTAGTCCCAAAATGACCTAGTTTGTGTCGAGTGGACGTTAAACCCCATTTCTCTCTCTCTCTCTCATTAGCCCAATATGTGCAGAACAGTAGGACGTTAAACCCCATTTCATTTTTGTCTTGTGTCAATAATTGTATTTGATATTTTCACCATTGTCATGTTTCAGGCATTGTCTAAACAGCATGCTTGTATTGAAGTAAAAGGAGATAGTCATTTAATCTACGATAAAAAAAGCTTGAATAAAACTCGCAGGGGAAAGGTAAGTATTAAAAAAACCATTTAATCATATCTTCTATTGTTGAGCCCGGTTGGCGCTGACTTGCCAATAAACCTCATTTCATTCCATTTTTATTGTTGAGTTCTGTGTCCTTACCTTATCCATCTTCATTAGCCCAGTCGGTGCAGAAAAGTAGGAAGTTAAACCCCATTTCATTTGAATTTCATCTTCACATCAAAGTTATGATGTCATAACTGTCAGCTTTTGTTAAAGAAAGCTTTTTGAATTCTGTCTTTCTGTAATTTCATTCTTTGTCCTTGTAGATTTTAGGGATTGTGAAGGTTGAATCTCTAATTGGAATATCTGTCCAAAATTTCGTTCAATTCTGTTCATGTTTTAGGGGGATGGCCGAATGGTTAGCACTTCCACGCTTTATCATGAGGCCTGTCATTGAGTCAACTGGCATGGTTTTGATTCCCCAGTTGTACCTGACAAGGAGTAGGGTCGCCTGTCCAACCTTGTGGCTTTTCTCCAGGTCCTCCGGTTTCCTCCAACTGCTGAAGACTCCTACGTGCAAGCGAATTATTGAAATAAAAAAATTAAACCATGTTAGTCTCCAAATGACCTAGTTTGTCTTGAGTGGACGTTAAACCCTATTTCTCTCTGTTCATGTTTTAAAAAAGATATCCTATTTCATTTTTGTTGTTGAGTTCTGTAAATTGAATGAGATTAGAGGGTTCAAAGCTTCTGGTCGTCATCTGAGAGACATCAGTTTTAATGCTTTGTTCAAATGTTTTGTTTGTATTTCAGTTATTTCTACAGCCTGATGTGCGATACGAGTTAAAGCACGAAAATAAGTTGATATTCGCTGATATAGAATGTGTTTATAAACTATATATAAAGGTGTGTATAATAGATGCCAAGTTCCTAGATAAACAAATTCCTAATATCTAAATATCTGTCCTTTCTCTGTTGTATCAAATAAGCTAATAACAGATTCATTCAACAGTTTTATTATAGCATGGGTTACAAGTTCCTACATCCATCTGTCTTAACCATTTACACTCCGGCCCATTTGTAAAATTAGGGGGTTGGGTGGCGGAATGGTTAGCGAGTGCGCGCTGTATCATAAGGTCTGTCATTGAGTCAACAGGCGTGGTTTCGATCCCCCTTGTCATTGGTGCAAGACGAAGGGCCTGGTAAGGAAAGACGCGTAGTCTTTCGGATGAGACGAAAAAAACTGTCTACCTATGTACTACGTGACAAGGAGTAGAGTCGCCTGTCCAACCTTGTGGGTATTCTCCGGGTCCTCTAGTTTCCTGCCACTGCTAAAGACCCCTACGCACAAGCAAATTATTGAAATAAAATTAAACCATATGTTAGTCCCGAATTAACCTATTTTGTGTGGACGTTAAACCCTTTTTTCTCTGTATATGATATCTGTAAACCTTAATCACATTTTTAACGTTTGTGGGTTGACTTTTTTCAGGCTGTAAATGAAAGTGGATCTGAGACAGGATCCGAGTCTATGTTAAACGATGTAGTTAGCGGTAATAACAATAATAAAGCCAAACTCTCATCACCGACTATAAATGAGGAAGATTATAACGATGATAGCAATGCCAGTAGTGACATACTTCAACCAACACAGGTAACATCTAGCTCTTGAATCACGGTGGGTGGGCGGGGGAGGCTTAATCGAGCGAGGGGGGTTGGATGAATGGTTAGTGTTTGTGCGTTGCATCATAAGGTCTGTCATTGGATTAACTGACGTGGTTTCAATTCCTCGGTTGTGCGTGGCATGGAGTAAGGTCGTCTGTCCAGCCTCATGGGTTTTCTCTTGGAGTCCGATTTTCTCCCACTGCTAAAGACTCCTTTATTGAAATAAAACTGAACCATGTGTTAGTCCTGAAATTAACTAGTTTGTGTTGAGTGGATGTTAAACCTAATGTCTGTCAGATGTAGTCTATTTATTCTTTGATGGTAAAATTGTAGTCTCTTCGTAATTGAAATTGTTTATGATCAAAACATATAACAATTGTAGTCTCTTCGTAATTGAAATTGTTTATGATCAAAACATATAACAATTACCATTACCCTGCATTGAATCAGGCCCGTAACTAGGGGTGGGCACAAGGGGGGCAAAGCAATAGATATACATTGTCCGTCAATTTTACACTACCTGCCCCTTCGTTGCTCTGAGCTAGTTACGGCCCTGCATTGAATAGTTTTATTGGGTAGTTGATTATCTTGTAAATTATTTGATTCTAGTGTTATGAACCAACACAGCAAGTATTAAAGGCATCAAGGTCACGAGTGTACGCAGCTGATTCAGATGATGACAGTTTTATCAGTGGTAGGTTTATTCATTTTCAGAATGCTAATCTTTTTCAAAAACCTCCTCAGTCCCCCCAAACTGTGGCATGTCTAGTGGTGGTCGGATTTAATGGATTGCTTGACCTCTCAAACCTAGATAAAGACATTAAAATTGGCGCCCTAACATCAATAGTTAGGGCATTATGGTCATTTGTATGGAATGGTGGCCATCTTGGGCGCCATTTTGAATTTCACGTCATAGTGACGTAATAGTGTAAAATTGGTAGAATTTTGGAAATCTGTGGTATCGATTTCCTATGGGTAGACACTATACTTGCTTGGTTTAGAGGTCAATATTCACAAGTTATTTAGGAATTAGTGATCTCGTACGTGATTAGGCAAGGCAAAAATTAAAAATGGTGCCAAAAAGTTTCCCCATGGGGTAAAGATGGGTAACTCCATGGAGGGTTAGTACTGGTCCAATGGATCATCAAAAACCAAGAACCATCTTCTTCACCCACTTAATTCCCGGAAATTCTGCACTCCGACCACACTAAAGAGGTAATCTCTTTTAGTCCTTTCACTAATAGAATCAAATCACTCACTCCCTTCACCAATAGACAGTAACCATTCTACCCTTCTAGGTATATTTCAATTAGAACATCCTATAATGTTATTTTATTTGTTGTAGGTAATAATACGACGAGAGGTAATTTAACAGTAAAAGATACACCAATATCAAGAAAATATTTAGGTAAGATATTCTATCAATGCTTTAAACAATCTGATTAAAACACAGATCCTATTTCGTTTCATTTTTTATAGTTCAAAATTGTGTTTACCTTGTCCCTTGAGATCTCTCCACGCCTAAAGTCCTACATTTTGTGATTGGAGTGAAAAGTAAATGAATAATAATCGCCATTTCTTTCTCTATTAGATAAAAGTGATGACCATGTTCTGCCTGAAAGTGGATCAGAGACAGATAATGAAGAGATACCACGTGGAATATTGAACGCACCAACTCAAGCTTGTATAATGGAAAGTGAAACGGAAGAAGATGAAGAAGGTAGATTATTAAATTATGAAATGAAATGAAATGGGGTTTAACATCCTACATCCGAGTGGGATAATGAAGACGGGCATACACCATACAGTGTGCTATGAGGGGAAATTTTGCCCGGGGAGTGGCACTATGGCCTAGGCCCACTCTTGTATCGAATTCCAACTGCCAAGGGATCTTTTACATGCCACCAATGTATACACGGGACCTCGGTTTTTAGTCCCATCCGAACAACTAGACAGCTTCATACTGCACCACTGACAAGGGGAAACCACATCAGAAAGAATTGTGTAGAAAAAGGAGTTCAAGCATACTGTATGAACTGTGGTCTCATAACAGCCTTGGAATTTTGACATTACACCGAAAACCATAGTCTTTCAATCGATGCACAAATGTCCAAAGAACGAGTATGCCAAGTTCTTGTCGATTGATTAGGTAATTAAGTGATCAAAGTATTTATCGTGTAATACACTCTATGCCCCTGCCTTGATTAATCCTTTGTCAGAGTACGGTATCTTTAACATGTTGCCTTGTTTTTTCTTTTTTACATCGGTTTCAAATGGTTTTGGATGTGAGTTATTCTTATTTGCTTTCTTTTTTTACCATGAACAGACAATGTGAGATAGGCCTCTTTTTAATCCAATCGAAGGATATTTGGATTATATTTTCTGAAATTAAATAATCAATTTCTGTACATTTTGTGGGTTAAGCTGTGAAAGACTTCATGGACTCTAATTATTGTAGAAGTAACTGTCATATTCTGCATGAGCTGCCTTCAATTAATTCTTATCTTTTTCTCTGTTTCCCCCACCCCCACCCCGTCTTCAATAGCCCAGTCAAAGCAGAACCCTAACTAGAATGTTAAGCCTCATTTCATTTCAATTCATTTTCTCTTTTTACCACCAACAGATGATGTGAGAAGTAAAGATTTATTAAATGCTGCTACTCAGGCATGCGCTACAGCTGTCCTAGAATCTGATGAAGAAGAAGAAGTTGATGAACTTACTGTCGATCTTAATGCTCCAACACAAGCATGTCCTGGTGCTGCTGACACTACAGATGATACAGATACAGAAGTAAGTTTAAAGGGAACATTTGAACAGATTCTCAGAAATAAAAGTCTGTGTATGTATAAAATTTATAGAGGAATGTTTTATTTACTTTATCTCAAAATTTCAGCTTGACCCACGTGCTGTACTTGATAAATTTCAACTGCACGTTATTTTTATAGAATAAACATCTGGTTTTATCCAGACACCATATAATACAGCTTGGGACACCGGTCTCCATTTCCAGATGAAGACTGACCGGTTTAAGTTGTTTGAAAATGTATCACGTATATTGAGTTAAAGGATTTTAAGGGTTTTTAACACAAATTAGGCAGTTTGTTAAGGGTTTTTAACACAAATTAGGCAGTTTTATTCTCCAAAATATAATCGAGATTGGCCCTTTAAACATCACCCTTTTCACTTCAAATCATGGTCCACTGTACTCTTGTTTCAATGAAATCGAATGACCGTAGAACTTCTCTTAAATTTAACATGCTAAAATTTGTCATTTTCTTTTTGGAAGAAATATCTTGCTAATCAGTTTTAAACAAAAAACTTCAAAAATTGACAGACTGACTAGAATTTAAAAATGAAAACCCACAGTTCCAGTTGTCGCAATATTAACAAAAATTCTGAAACAATTACATGTATATTGAAAATACAGTCGTTTACGTGAAATAAAAAAAATAACAGCTTAACTTTGGGTTAATTCCAACTGTCAGAAAGTACCTCAGGATTTTCTAGTGGTACAGGAGGAGGGCCTGGCATGGAAAAGTGTCTAGCACCACCCTGCATGGCAAATGAAAGTCTTCATTTGTTCGGTTGTGAACACTTAAACAAAAGTAGGTTTGATGACCTTGGCCAGGGAAGACCCATGAACAAGGAAAAAAAATGTGAAAAAAGATAAAGAAAAATAACAGTTTAAAAATACTAGAATCGAGAAAAATGATTTTTGTTGTATGCAGTCATGAATTAAGGCAATAAATAATTTTTATAACTTGTGTGTCTTTTATTACAGGAAGGACCTAGTGCAACAGTAGCTTACACCATGGATGCTGAAACAAGTAGAAAACCTAAATCTGGTATTGGTAAATTATCACCCATCCCTAAATCAAAGAATACAAAAAAGAAAATTCCTGAAAGGACAGCGGCCACAATACCTTACACCATGGAAGCAGATATCAGCGGTGTTGCTGAGACTCAAAGTTTTATAGCCAACGATGATGATGAAGAACTTCTTATCCCTAACAAGAAGAGACAGACTTTAGAAACTCCGGAGAGTGCCTCTTCAGACACACCCAAGACAGGGAACACTGATTCACCGATTTCTAAAGAAGATGAAGTTTTAGAGGAAGAAGAAGATGAGTCTGAGGAGAGAGATGTCAGTCACCTGTTTGCGATGCCAACATTGGCTTGTGATATGGATGAACCAGATGATTCTGAAGAAGCACCACTGGCTGCTGATACAACTGAAGACTCTACTACTGATGATGGTTCAACCCAGCCTTTAGATGATGGAGCCACACAAATCGTGGAAGAACCTGTTCAAAAGAATTCTGGTGATGATGATGCAACACAACTGGTTCCCAACGTAGGAACTTGTGAGGATCAAAAAGATGATGATGCCACACAACCAATCTCAGAAAATATTCCATTTAGCAAAGGTGAAACGACAAAGAAAATTAAAGTCACTCAAGTTATTACAGAAACTGTTCAGGTTGCTGGAAATGAAGATGCAACACTCTGTGTTGGAGAAACAGTTCCTGTTGGTTGTGAGGATCAAACACAATTGATTGATGGTACAGCTGGTTTTGATCCAGAAACAAAAGATAAGCCAGAAACAAGCTCAGAAGAAGCAACACAGATTTATGAAACAGATCAAACCATTCCCATAAATGATGTCAAAGCTGGTCCTGGTCCTGATGATGCCACACTTGCAGTTGGGGAACTAGATGATACAGCAACAATCCCAATTGATAATCTTAAAGATGAAGTTGGATTAGAGAAAGCCACCAATAGATATGGTAGAGCTTCAAAAAGAGTGCCAAAGAAAAAAGGCAGAGGTGGCAAAAGCTCAGATATCAACACAGTTGATGCAACTGTCCCAGTAGAAGACTTAAAACAAGAGGAAGATGTAAACTTAGCTGAGGAACCAACACAGGCTTATGGAGCATCTCCCCAAAAGTCACCCAAAAAGCTAAGAGATTCCTTCACTAGCCAAATTTCTCCACTGAAACTTGACTGTACTGATGATGGTGATGGAATAGATATAGATGCTACTCAACCTTATGGAAAATCTCCACCAAAGAAATTAAAAAGCTTTCAAGAATCTGCAGATGCTACTCAAGAACTCAGTGAAGCTTCTACAGTTCCCTTAGATGAAGTGATTGAAGATGCTACCCAGGCATATGGTGATGGTTCTCCTGTGAAAAGTTCTGGGGAAAGGGGAAAATTTAACAAGAAGATTCCAGAAAAAGAAGATTCAACAGAAGCTGCTGATGAATCTGAGTCTGATGGAGACACTTTACCTGTTGAAGATATTGAGGTATTAATCATTTTTAAAGCGTATTTTAGTTGGAGCTCGTATTGTTCAACATTCCATGTATTGTATATGTTTTAAATTACTGAATATATCCTATCCATTTTAAGAGAGAGATGGGGTTTAAAGTCCCTTCAACACTAACTAGGTTATTTAATGTACCTTTATTTCACTTTGATGCAGTTAACTTTATCAGTAAGGAGAAACTGGAGAAAGACCACAAGGTTAGACAGGCAAACTTACAAGCTGACGTCCGCTTCTTCTTCTTCTTCCATGGGGCTTAACAACCGCTTCCACCTAGGGTGATATCGCAGACTGTATGATCTAGAATGCAAGTGTTGGACCATGCAGCCACCCATTCTCCTTTTTCTAACGATAGCTATCTTTCGATGATTTAGGATGACTTGTCACTGAATCTCTCTCCATATTTTGTAGTTTGTAGCTGATAGTGAAAGTCCTGAAGATGATCGACCACCAATGATACCTATACCATCTCGTTCTCCACATAAATCGGCTTTAGCCAGTCCGAAAAAACGAAGTCCGTCACCATCACCTAAACGGGTAGCTTTTGTTGGGGTAAGTTTCATAATCTCCCAGTTTGGATTCAATAAGATGAAAAAGAGGGCCACCAAAAGATTTTTTTCCAACACTGACTTGTTTATTATATTTTTAAAGGATGCCAAATGTTTTCAAAATTTACTCAACAGATTTGAACCAATAGATTTGAAGTTCCTTTTAGATATTCAACTTTCACAATATTGTAGCATTTTAATTTTATTTTAGGTGACAGATCAAACACCAGAAGATGAAGATGATGATTTAATGAGTCCTGTTATAGATCGCATAGTAGACTCTGATACTCACTCTAAAAATACTCCAGAAAGCACAGCATCCAGAAGAGGAGGCAGAGCGAGGGGCAGAAAAATTTCACCAGACAAAGAAAAGAGACCGATTGAAGAGGTGAAAAGCCTGCCAGGGAGATCAAGGGGTAGGGGGAGAAAGGGGCCTACTTTTGTTGAAAGTCCTGAAACTTCTACACCAGATGAAAAAATTAGTAAAAATGAGACCATTGTTGGTGGTGCTGCAGTGGAAACTGGTGAATCACCATCACCAAGAAAAAATTTGACAGAGGAATTGACTAAAGCAGTAGGAAGAAGCCGGAGGGGCAAAGCTGTAGAAAAAGCAAATGCAAGTAGTGAGGTGGAATTGGATGTTGGTAAGACCGATCAAGATATTACTGGTAAACAATCAACAACTATGAGAAGAGGCAAGAAATCTGTAGTTGAGGCAGAAGAAACAAAAAAGATAGACACTAATATAGTGCCGGAAATATCAGAAACTGTTGCAGAAATTCCCCAGAAAAAAAACACGAAAAGAGGGCGGAAGTCAGTTCAGAAAGCAAAATTAGAATTGTCACCAGAAAAGTCAACTGAGTCTCCAGAGACAGATGATTCAGCAGTTGGTCCAAAGTCTGGTAGAATCAGCAGAAGATCTGTTGCCGACAAACAGAAAGAAATTAATGAAGAATCTGCAGAGTCTGTTGGAAAAGTCCAACAGAAACCACCAACCCGAAGAGGTCGTCAGTCTCTTGTAGAAAAAAGAACCAGTTCTGCTTTGTTGAAGAAGAATGAAAAAATACCTGCAGCATCTGAGTCTGCAGCTGAAGTTCCTGAAGCTCAGACATCTAGAAGAGGTGGCAGATCTGTGCTACCCACAGAAAAACAACCTGAAGAAGTTGAGGAATCAAGCAGTACAAAGAGATTAGAAGATCTGCCAACTGAGTCTGTGACTGAAGTTCCATCACATGGTAAACGTGGACGCAAATCGGTGGCAGGTAAATCAAATGAAAGCAAGACCGTAAACGTCTCGGAAGCAAATAAAACTGCCCAGACATCTAGAAGAGGTGGCAGATCTGTGCTACCCACAGAAAAACAACCTGAAGAAGTTGAGGAATCAAGCAGTACAAAGAGATTAGAAGATCTGCCAACTGAGTCTGTGACTGAAGTTCCATCACATGGTAAACGTGGACGCAAATCGGTGGCAGGTAAATCAAATGAAAGCAAGACCGTAAACGTCTCGGAAGCAAATAAAACTGCCCCAAAAGTTCCACAGAAGCAGGTGTATAAAAGAGGACGCAAGTCGGTGGTTGATAAAACTCCCATTACCCATGAAGTTTCAGAAACATCAGCAAGTTCCTTACCTGGTTCTGATTTCCCAAAAGGTGAAGAATCAACAAAAGATAAATCCCAGGAATCAGAGACTACAGGGCCAATAGTTAGTGGTAGAAGGGGACGTCAGTCCTCTGGCAGAGATCAAACAGTTGGTGAAGCTCAGGCTACCCAGCCATCTCGAGGTCGAAAACGTAGAGGTCAGGATGATGAAGACCAAATTACTGTGAGTACAAATCACCAAATTCTTTTTAATGGCAGTTAATTATTTCTCATGTGGTCACTTTGATATATTAAAATCTTGTGTACCGGTAGTTGATTTGAATATGTCATGTTAGCATCTAGACTGCCAGAAACTACTGTTCCCTCTAGTGCCTCAAGTCATCTGACGCTTGTGCTGTTAACTATGTAAATATTGTATACAGGTGGGTAAGAGAGCAGTAGTTAAAGTAGCTAAGTCTGTTACTCAATATCATTGAAAAAACGAATTATTTGACAATTTAAATGGACATTGATGTTGTGAACTTACCGGGAAAAGATGGGCTTCTGATATCTGATATTGTTTTTTTCGTCACATCCGAACGACTAGACAGCTGTCATTATCAGGCGCTCCGTCTTGCATCACTGATAAGGGGGACCCAAGCTGGAAAATCTGAACATCCAACCTCCAGACTCAATGAATAAAATGATTACTTCTCTCTAGAATTTTTAGGGAACTGGGGTAGTCAATAGGGTTCAGCTGGAACCATTGGTCTATGGACATTGCAGTGTGTAGACATTGCAGTATGTAGACTTTGCAGTATGTAGACATTGCAGTATGATTATAGATATTGTCCACATTGATTGATACAGTTTTGTGGTTCAGTTTTTAATTTGTGTCGTATTTTTATTTCAGGAACTGTCCATTTCAGCTAAAAAAATTAGTAAGATAGAAAATACAGAATTAACATCTTCCCAGGAATCGGCTACTTCAAGTCCTAAACCAACAAATCGTAGAGGTCGAAAAACGAGTTTAGAAGATGTAATCGAATCTCCTACAAGTCGAAATTCTCGAAAAACGAGCCCTCAAGAATCAGGTGACACACCTGCGACTAATCGTTGGGGGCGTCAGTCTTCTGGTAAAACAAAAGATGTTGATAATAATACGGATCTCACATCAAATCAGACCCCAAAAGCTAAAAAACGTCGGGGTCAGGGAGATGAAAGTCAGGAGAGGGTTAGTAGCTTTAATAAATTATTGTTGTAGTCAAAATGACAATACAAAAAAAAAAACAAAAAAAAACAGGAAAAAATTATTATTGCTTATTAGAAATCTCTTGGATTTAATTTGATACTAAATTGTATTAATTTGGCATATACAATTTTGATACTAGAGCATGTCTCAAACCATTTGTATGGAAGCTGGGTTGGATGACGGAGTGATTAGGTCCTGCACGTAGTATCATAAGGCCTGTCATTGTGTATATTTTATTTATTTACAAATTTTTGTGTATTTTTGATTTTTTACCAGATTTTGTGTGTTTTAGTATGGATTTATATATCAGGCTTTCTGTGGTTTTTTTATTTATTTACCATGCTGTGTGTATTTGTATGATTTATTTACCATGCTGTGTGTATTTGTATGATTTATTTACCATGCTGTGTGTATTTGTATGATTTATTTACCATGCTGTGTGTATTTGTATGATTTATTTACCATGCTGTGTGTATTTGTATGATTTATTTACCATGTTGTTTGTAATTTTATGATTTATTTACCAAGCTTTGTGTATTTGTATGATTTATTTACCATGTTGTGTGTATTTTAGGAATTATCAGCATCAGCAAGTAAAATCAGTAAAAGAGGAGATGGTGGAGGATTAACACCATCAAGAATACGATCAGATCTTGATGAAACGATATCGTCCCCTACATTACGGAAAAAAGAACCTAAACCACGAGTTATGTTTACAGGAGTCGTTGATGAACAGGGAGAAAAGGTTAGTTCCCTTTCGCTTTTATCCCTCTTCCTCAGTTATTCACCCCCCCTTCCAAAATACAGTAAAATCCCCACTCTAAGACCTTCTTCATTAGCTAAGTTGTTGCAGAAAAAGGGGGATGGCTGAATGGTTAGGTCTATCATGGAGTCAACTGGCGTGGTTTCGATTGTATGTGACAAGGAGTAGGGTCGCCTGTCCAACCTCGTGGGTTTTCTCCGGGTCCTTCGGTTTCCTCCCACTGCTGAAGACCCCTATGGGCTAGCGAATTATTGAAATAAAATTGAACCATGTGTTAGTCCCGAAATGACCTAGTTTGTGTCAAGTGGGTGTTAAACCCTATCTCTTCCTCTCCCTTGTTGCAGAAAAGTAGGTCGTTAAATCCAGTTTCATATAATTTCCCCTTGTCAGTGGTGTAGGAAGGAGGACTTGGCAAGGAACATTCGGATGGGACAAAAAACAGGTCCTTCCGTTTTGTACACATTGGGACACACATAAAAGAACCAATGACAGTTAGAATTTGACGAGTAGGTAGAAATACTGCTGTCCTGCCAAAATTATCCCAATAGCACACTGCATGGCGTTTGTCTGTCTTCGTTAGTCGGGTACGCGCAGAATAGTAGGACGTAAAAAAATTTCAATTTCTAACAGGGGTTGGATGGCCGAATGATTAGCACGTGTGCATTGCATCATAAGGTCTGCCATTGAGTCAACTGGCATGGTTTCGAGGAGTAGGGTCGCCTGTCCAATCTCCAGTTTCCTCCCACTGCTAAATACCCCGATGCACAAGCGAATTATTGAAATGTAATTGAACCATATTGTTAGTTCCAAAACGACCTAGTTTGTGTAGAGTGGATGTTAAACCCCATTTTTCTCTCTCTCTCTCTCTCCCTCTCTCTCTCTCTCTCTCTCTCTCTCTCTCTCTCTCTCTCTCTCTCTCTCTCTCTTTCAATTTCTAAGGAAATAGACTAGTTAGTTTGAAATTTGCATCATAAAAAAAAAAAAATCTACGCTAATTCAGAATAACAGACAACCAAACAATGTCTGTGACAGGTGCTTTATGTGTAGTTTAATGGTTGAGTGCGAGACATTAAAGATACATTATGGGGATACGATAATGCGTAGGCAGTTCTCACTATAATAGTTAAAAACTAGATAATGTAAAGGCAATTTGATGAAAATTTCAGTCAAATTGATTCACTCTGAACCGAGAACTAAGCGATTGAAATTTCCGCCTGGCCTCGATCATCATTACTAAAGTCAGTACGATAAACAGCATAGTCTCGATTATCCATTTAATCGTTAAATCATGAAGGAAAGTTATGCTGTAAATCGGCTCATAATCCAGTAAACATCGCAGGCTAGCGATGCCATCTAGAGTTGATTATGGTCTAGATAGGTAAAGAAAGACCTGCAATAAGTTGATATTGCAAGAGTGTGATAGCAGGAGGGCAATATCTATATATTACGCAATGTCTTCCACAAGACCATAAAACAACTTAAAATACAGACATTATCCAGTGTGTGCATTTCAATGAAATACGTCACACGGGTCCAACATTGCAACTAGTATAAATAATGTATGCTTGGCACACTGCCCGTACCATTATTTGAAATAATGGTACACCAACATCAAAGGATGAATTCACATCTGTATTTTAAGTACCTTTAATGATTGATGTTGACTATATATGTGTTGTATTTCAGACTGTGAAAGAACTGGGTGGTACATTAGCTGATTCTATACAAGAATGTTCTCATTTAGTCACAGATAAGGTAGTACTAATTCATTCTTTTTCATTTTACTCAATTCATTCTTTTTTATTTAACTTAAAATGTTGAGTTTGAGTAATCAAGGAGATCTGTACATCATACTGATGAGGCAATTCTAGTTCCATATGTGATCGGACAAGCTGTATACCATATTGATATGTGATGAGGCAAGCTGTATACCATATTGATATGTGATGAGGCAAGCTGTATACCATATTGATATGTGATGAGGCAAGCTGTATACCATATTGATATGTGATGAGGCAAGCTGTATACCATATTGATATGTGATGAGGCAAGCTGTATACCATATTGATATGTGATGAGGCAAGCTGTATACCATATTGATATGTGATGAGGCAAGCTGTATACCATATTGATATGTGATGAGGCAAGCTGTATACCATATTGATATGTGATGAGGCAAGCTGTATACCATATTGGTATATGATGAGGCAAGCTGTATACCATATTGATATGTGATGAGGCAAGCTGTATACCATATTGGTATATGATGAGGCAAGCTGTATACCATATTGATATGTGATGAGGCAAGCTGTATACCATATTGATATGTGATGAGGCAAACTGTATACCATATTGATATGTGATGAGGCAAGCTGTATACCATATTGATATGTGATGAGGCAAGCTGTATACCATATTGATATGTGATGAGGCAAGCTGTATACCATATTGGTATATGATGAGGCAAGCTGTATACCATATTGATATGGGATACTTATAGTATCTATAGATACTTATTCAATATGAGGCCTAAAATTTAAAAAACTAATTTAGTCAGCACATTTCCAGATTATTGTTGCAGAATACCAAAAGATGTCCATGATTTTAAGGTCTAAAGTGAGTTGAAAAGGTTTAAAGATTAATTATATTTTATAGATACGAAGAACAGTGAAGTTTTTAGGTGGTTTATGTCTCGGGGTACAGATTGTTAGCCCACAGTGGTTAGAACAGTGTAAAACAGCTGGAATGTTTCTTGGTAAGTTGCAACCTCATTAAAACACAGATCCTATTTCGTTTCGTTTTTTATAGTTCAAAATTTTCTTTTACTTGTCTTTACTACACTAAGATCTGGAAGAGTTGTTATATAACCCGCATTCTTGATGATATGAGGCATTAGCCTATGAATCGGTCTGTTAAAACAAAATTTTGAAATATAAAAAACGAAATGAAATGTGTTTTGATCAGATTGTCTCAGAATAAAGTAATTTGACTGAAATTTTGTCTTTATCTATTTTTAAACTATTATAGTAAATCTTACATAATGTATCTTTAATAAATAGTTATATTTTGTATATATAAATATGCGACAACCATTGACGACTGCCCCTTGTCATGTAAATTAGTTATTGGCAGGATTAAATGTATACGTTAAAGAATGGTTAAATGATAGAAGCAATGTTTTATATTTATATATGTTAAAGGAGCTTAAAGCGCTAAAACATTAGCGACCTAGAAATTGACACAAATGGGTCTTAACACATATAATAATGTAATATGAATGTATATAAACTAATTTACGTTCAATGTTAAAGGTGCTAAATCTATGTCGCAATGCATATAATAATGTAATGAATATTGTATTTATATAGACAGCAGTAAATATATAGTCAGTGATAAAACAACAGAGAAACAGTACAAGTTTTTATTACATCAGTCACTGGACATAGCTTCAACACATCCCATGTTACAAGGTTATAAAATACATGTTACTAAATCAGTTAAACCAGGCCCAGATACCATGAAAGGTACGTTATGTTTATATTACAAGGTTACGCTACACCTCAGGTATCATGTAGTTGTGCTGTTTTAACTGGTGTGGTTTCAATTCCCCGGTTGTACATGACATGGATTAGGGTCGCCTGTCCAATCTCATGGATTTTCTCTGGGTCATCCGGTTTCCTCCCACTGCTAAAGACCCCTACTTACACGCGAATTATTGAAATAGTTCTTATATTTTCTTGAAAATTTCATTCCAAATATGAAAAAACAGATTGAATTCCTTTAGTCCATTACTTTTAATTGACATTGAATATCTAATATTAAAAATCTGTTTTAGATGACCTTTACTATTATTTATGGCACATGAAAAGAAGTAGGGTCCTTCAGTTCCCCCCCCCCCCCCACATCTAAGGACCCGTACCCCCGCAAGCAAATTATTGAAATAAAACTGAACCATATGTTAGTCCCGAAATGACCTAGTTCGTGTCGACTGGACATTAATCTCTCTCTCTCTCTCTCTCTCTCTCTATAAAATCAGTTATATGGGACCAGATACCATGTACCATGAACCCTACGTTGTTAGGCCTTATAAAAAAAAATATCCTAGGGCAGTATTGAGTAATTAATTAGTTTTGAGAAACTAAACAGTTATAAAACCAACGCTCATTATCTATTCTAGACAGACCATTTAAACTACACAACAGTAGAAACCCAATGGTTTTCTATGATTCTTGGCGGATTCGAACAGAACAGTTTTCGAAAGTTGGGTTGGAAACTAAACATTAACTACAGAAACTCGTGCAAAAACAACACAACTAAATGATACCCAAATTGTAGTGAACAGCATCTTGTCGTTTAAATGGGATAAAACACTTTTCTGTTAATTATAAATTTCTCAATTGGATAATTTTTGTGTTTTTGATATACACGGACACAAGATGTTGATACCCTGAGTCATGTTGTTTGTTTTTGTTTTTCAGAAATATTAGAATGTGCTGGTGCTGAGGTATGTATTATTAGTTTTGAATCATGAAGATTATATTTTATAAATAAACTTAGTAGAATGTTTTAGCAGCTCTTAGCATGGGAGGGGGGTTGGATGACCGAATGGTTAGTGGGTGCGCGTTGTAACATAAGGTCTGTCTTTGAGTCGACTGGAGTGGTTTTGATTCCCCGGTTATAAGTGACAAGGAGTAGGGTCGCCTTTTGGAGACTCCCGCCTTGTGGGTTTTCTCTGGGTCCTCCCGTTTCCTCCCACTGATAAAGATCCCTACTCGCAAGCGAATTATTGAAATAAAATTGAACTATATGTTAGTCCCGAAATGACCTGGTTTGTGTCAAGTGGACATGAAACCCCATCTTTATCAGTGGGAGGAAACAGGAGCACCCGAAGAAAACCCATGAAGTTGGAAAGGCGACCTCATTCCTTGTCATGTACTTGTGGGGAATTGAAACCGTGCCATTTGACTTAATGACAGACCTCATGATGCACTGCTCACACATTAACCATTTGGCCACACAACCCTGCATAAGAATGTGTAGAATGTAGGACGTACAACCCCATTTGATTTCAATCCATCTTTTTATTTACAGTATATAAAAACATTACCGAAGAAGAAAGAAGGTAATATAATTGTTATATCCTGTGACGAGGATAAGAAATTATGTCAACCAGCAGTAACGGCAGGGATAGACGTTGTGTCATCAGAATTTATTTTAACAGGAGTTTTACGACAAACAGTCGAGATTGAATCATATCCTTTTAAAACAATTTTAAATCTACTTAGAAATACAGAGCCAAGGTGGCTACGTGAGTAAGACGCTGGCTCGCTAGCCTGGAGGTTGCGTGTTCGATCCCTGCATTGACCAAGAAAGTTCAACGTGGTTTCTCCTTGCCAGTGGTGTAGGAAGGGGAGCCTGTCTAGTCGTTCGGATGGGATGAAAAATCAAGGTTCTGTGTATACCCTTTGGCAGTTGGAATTCGATATTTCACTTAGAGATACATTATGTAAGAAATGAAGACGGGCATATGCCATACAGTGTGCTATGAGAGAAATTTTGCCCTGACAACGGCACTACGACCTACTGTTATATTGAATTCCAACTGTCAAGGGATCTTTTACTTGCACGCCAATGTATACACATGACCTCGGTTTTTCGTTTCATCCAAACAAATAGATAACTGTCCTTGGCAGGCCCGCTCACAAGGGGGAACACTGACAAGGGGAAACCATGTCAGAAAATCCTGACGAATTTTCTCGGCCAATGCAGGGATCGAACATGCAACCTCCCGGCTAGCGAGCCAGTGTCTTACCCACTTAGCCACTGTGGCTCCGCATTATATAAGAGCTAAACGTGTCTGTTGCAGTTCGTTCTTTTGGCTTAAAATGTTATATAAACTATTATTTAGACATTTATTCACATAACAAACATAAATTCAACTCTCTAGAACATCGTATGGCAAAGATTTTTAATGGATTGAAACATAATCGCCATTTAATAATTGTAGCAATGAAAATCAAGACTACGCTATTCATATCAAAACTTCAAACATTCATAACTTCACTCTGAATAAAGTAAATTGACTGCAATTTTCAATATATTCCTTTTTCATTATCTATTTTTAAACTATTATAAGGAGAACTGTCAGCTCTTTATCTAAACCTTACATAATGTATCTTTAACGGTCGTACTCAATTTTTATTTTATCAATTAGTCAATATTTTCACCAAATAATTGGTTACTTATATACCTTGATAAAAAAAATTGTGTACGACCCTTTTCACCAAACAAAGTGTACGTAAAACTCCAGGAATGTACGAACGAACCAAATAATTATCCATTATTTCCTTGACGTCAATACTTTTAGATTATTTACTACCCCAACTACAGCAGCAGCAACTAACAGTAAAACCGCTCCCAGATCCAAGGCTAGAAAAAGATGATTTGTGAAAAATGAATGAAACAGCTAACATCATCATTGTTGTAATTCATCATTTCCTCGCGGATAAAAGAAAGACTTTCATTTTTTGGTTATAACTCTCATATTGGTCATTCCTTCATGAATATTCATCTGAAGACACACATATTATTGGTCATTCCTTTATCGGAATCCATCCGTCTATCGGCACACATGTTATTGGTCATTCCTTCATCAGAGTCCATCCAAGATCCGTCTGTTGGCACACATGTTATTGAAGTCTTATTCAAGCGAATGGGAGCTTATCAGCAATTACCATATTTCAAACAGTTGACAATGACCTCTTATGACCCAATCCTGGCCTCTGGCCGGTTCGTTTCAAAATGGATTTGAAACCCTGCATGGTAACAAGGAATTTATTGAAGGGAGTTCAGAGCTGAAATGGATGAGTAGGAATGTTACTATTCGTAGTAAGTTCAAATATTTCGAGTTGTTGAAGTGGCATTTTAGCAATTGGTCACATGAAATAAAACACAAAACTAATGTAATAGGAGTGACATTCCTAGTATGATTCTTATTGTGGCTTGATAATGACTAGAGAATCATTGTTTATATATTGCACAGTAATTGTATTCCATAAAGTGTAGTGTTTTATTAAAATATTCTGATATTCACTTGCTCGTTACAAGCGTTACAACTTGTATTCATTTAACCCTTGTGGGTTCACGTTGTGAGAATCACACAGCAGGTATCATGGGGACCCCAGTTATAATTCAAAGTTTTTACGTACCGATATATTTGAATTAAAAGGCAGTGGTTTAGTTTTTATTTGCTTTCATATTTGACAACTGAAAAACAACTAAATTATTATACAAAAACATTTTAGTGACATTTGGAAAAGATTTAATAATTCTCACAAAATTGCTACTTTGTGTACTATGTGATAAAGAGGTTAAATGGCAATTCAAGCTTGATACACAAACCATTGAATATTTGGAATTCATCATTTAATTTTTGGTATTTGTAACATGCAGATGTTAAAAGAGAGAATACTCTGGCATACCCAATATGGTATCAGGCAGAAACACATTAGCAAAATCCCTTCAAGCGTTGGGTCTGATTTGCATGTAACATAACTCTGCATGTGGGAAGCAGATGGAAACCAAACTCTTCGCTACGTGTAAAAATGTATAGGAGACAAAGTCACTAAACTTATATTGTATTTAGGGGGGTTGGATGGCTGATTGGTTAGTGTGTGCACGCTATATTATAAGGTCTGTCATTGAGTCAACTTCCCCGGTTGTACGTGACAAGGAGTGGGGTAGCCTGTCCAACCTTGCAGGTTTTCTCTGGGTCCTCTGGTTTCCTCCAACTGCTAAAGCCCCCTAGATGCAAGCGAATTATTGAAATAAAATTGAACCATATGTTAGTCCCGAAATGACCTAGTTTGTGTCGAGTAGACATCAAACCCCATTTCTCTTTCTATATTTTAGTTGAATGATAGTTTTGTTTATTTTTAAAGATGTTTTTATAAACTGAATTATATATATCTAGATGTGATTGTACAATATTTGATTTTATACATTTTAACAGATGAATTTTAAATCTAGTTGGGGTGTAAATAAAGCTAGTACTTGGAACGTGGACACCAAGAATTTTCATAAAAATTGATGAAAATAGGTGGCCAGTCTTTAGATAGGTAATAATATCTCGATTCATATTTTATCAGTTTTCATCCTATATATTTTAGTTATTGTACTGTTGTAAAATACATCAAGTATATAAATTGTAAAATATACAAAGCTATTACCAGAAAATAAAAAGAACTGTGATAAAATATCCATACGATTAGTTGATAGACTGTGTTAGTCGAGGGGCTGTGTTAGTGGAGAGGCTGTGATAGTCATAGGCTGTGATAGTCATAGGGCTATGGGCTGTGTTAGTCGAAAGGCTATTGGCTGTGGTAGTCGATGGGCTATGATAGTCAAAGGGCTATGGGCTGTGGTAGTCGAGAGGCTGTGTTAGTCACGAGGCTGTGATAACGATGGGCTGTGGTAGTCGAGGGGCTGTGTTAATCCAGAGGCTGTGGTAGTCGAGGGGCTGTGCTAGTCAATGGGCTGTGGTAATCAAGGGGATGTGGTAGTCGAGGGGTTGTATTATTCAAGGGCTTTGGTAATCGAGGGGCTGTGTTAGTCGAGAGGCTGTGATAGTCATAGGGCTGTGGTAGTGGAGGGGCTGTATTATTCAAGGGCTTTGTTAGTCGAGAGGCTGGGATAGTCATAGGGTTATGGGCTGTGGTAGTCGAGGGGCTATGTTAGTCGAAGGGCTGTGTTAGTCGGGGGCTATGATAGTCAAAGGACTATGGCAGTCTAAGGGCTGTGGTAGTCAAGGGGCTGTGATAGTTGAAGGGCTATGATCTGTGGTAGTCAAGTGTCTGTGTTATTCAAGGATGATTGTCGAGAGGCTATTTGCTGTGGTAGTCGAGGGGCTGCTTTGGTAGTCAAGTGGGTTAAGGGAACTGAACACTAGACGAGTTTGTCCTGGGTTCAACACCCAGCATTGGCCTAGAAGAATATAAGGAGTTATCACTTGTTTGTCTAGTTATTTGTATGTAAAAATCAAGGTTTGGAAGTAACAGAACCCTTGACAGTTGTAATTCGATCAAGAGTAGGCTAAATGCCACTGTCTGGGCCAAATTCTCCTTGCATACATTTCACATGTGACTATAGAAATGAAATGCTATTGAATATAAATGGTTACCTTATTGCAGGAACCAGGCATTCGCCATGTCTACTCTACTAACAGTCAAGGATTCTTTTACGTACAAGGCCATGTTCCTGAAGCAACGACCGCAAGTTTTACGACATCTAACCATTGCTAGAGTAGTCAGAAATTCCCGAACTTAAAGCTACATTATATGACTTTACCGAAGACAAGTGAACAGCAGCGTCCAATCTGGGGTTGTGACACAAACAGACTCAAATCAAACTTAGCGACGTCCAAGGAAACCTTGACATTGATTGAACCTTCGACTTTGAAACTTGATTACCACGGGTAGACATTTTAGCTGGAAAGCGCAAGACTTGGTATTCGCCATGATCAAGGAATCTGATAGGTTCTCAACCTGGGCTTGTACCCAATCGAAATTAGTGCCTAATTATGCGGGGTATTATGTGAAGATCTTGATAAGATGTACAGAGTTAAAGGAAGATCAAGCCTTCTATTGAAGATGATGCAAGGTCAACATGCACATTAGACCTCAATTTTTGTCTCATCCGACTGACTGGACACTGTTCATTACCAGACTCTGTCATGCATCCTTGGTTGTACGTGACAAGGAGTAGGGTCACCTGTCCAGCCTTGTGGGTTTATTCCGGGTCCTCCAGTTTCCTCCCACTGCTAAAGACCCCTAAGCGTATGCGAATTACTGATATAAAATTAAACCATGTTATTCCCGAAATGACCTAATTTGTGTCAAGAGGACTTTAAACCCTATTTCTCTCTCTCTTCTCTCTGTCATGCACCACTGGAAAATCCTGAGAAGCCATCTCTTGTCAACACTGCGATGGAAATGCGGGTGCTACTGGGTTGAGAGCCAACACATACTCACTGAACCACTGTGGCTCCCTGGAACTGTAGAAATCAGTATGTTAGTCTAGATCTCTGAATAACTATTAATGTGGATGGGGGATGTTCGATTGGTCAAATATGTGTGTGTTAGATCATAAAGTCTGTCACTGAGTCAAGTGTCGGGCAAGGTTTCGATCCCACAGTTGTACATGTCAAGGAGTAGGGACACATGCTTAACCTTGTGGGTTTTCTTCGGGTCCTCTAGTTTCCTCCCACTGCTAAAGACCCCTACCCACAAGTGAAAAATTGAAATAAAACCGTACAATGTTACTGTTAGTCTGAAAATGACCTAGTTTGTGTCGAGTGAATATTAGACACTTTTCACTCCTTACCCCCTTCCCTTCCCCTCCTTACTCCCCTTCCCTCCCCCTTTCCCTTCCCTCCCCTCTCCCTTCTTACCGCCCTTTCCCTCTCTGGTTACTAATGAACTTGAAATGGAAAACATCAAAGGCAATTAGTTTTACAGGTAATTTTAATAAATCTCTGTATATATGTATGTATATATGTATTAATAATCTCTCCAGTGTAAATATATAAAAACAACCAACTCAAATTCTCCCTCATATTGAAGTTTAAAATAGATATTAAATGCATTCAGATACTTGTTTCAATATCATTTAGTAACTGAACTCAAAGCTCGCCCTTAACAAACCATTTCATTGGCTAAGCCCTCACACCATTTAGAACACATCAATAATAACAACTCTTCCAGATCCTAGTGTAGTAAAGACAAGTAAAACGAAATTTGAACCATAAAAAAGAAACGTAATAGGATCCGTGTTTTAACCAGATTGATTACCAACATATTTCTTCTAGATATATTCAGATCAAACAGTAACAAAATATTATAACACTTCATGTATATCATATAAAATTAGAAATAAAATAGAAAATAAGAATTGTTAGTAAGTAAAATATAAAATATGAACAAATATTCCTGATAACATAATAATTATAGAGAATTAATAGTTAGGCCTATATATAATAATAGCAAGCCAATAGTAGGCCTATATATAATAATAACAAGGCAAGAGTAGGCCTATATATAATAATAAGAAGCCAATAGTAGGCTTATATATAATAATAACAAGCAAATAGTAGGCCTATATATAATAATAGCAAGCCAATAGTAGGCCTATATATAATAATAACAAGGCAAGAGTAGGCCTATATATAATAATAAGAAGCCAATAGTAGGCTTATATATAATAATAACAAGCAAATAGTAGGCCTATATATAATAATAAAAAGCCAATAGTAGGCCTATATATAATAATAAAAAGCCAATAGTAGGCCTAATTGACCTGGCCTATATATAATAACAAACCAATAGTAGGCCTAATAGACCTGGCATATATAATAATAACAAGCCAATAGTAGGCCTATTAGACCTGGCATATATAATAATAACAAGCCAATAGTAGGCCTAGATTTAAAGTCTCTGGGCATCATTTTAGGAATCACTTGCAAACTGATGTGAAAGTTGAATCTAAAAGAAATACAGGGTGAGCCCCCTCCCCCCCAAAAAAACCCCATAAAAATTGTATTAAATCCTACACATTCCTCTTAGGGGATTTCCCTGATAATATGTACCAGAAAAACCCTCAAACAATGGTGAAATGGAAGCAGCGATCATAGCAAAAATCAGGGAAATCCCCAAACAGGAATGTGTTCAACTAATTGATAATTTTGTGCGACGTATCCAAGTTTGCCTCATTTGGAACATATGCAAGTTTGCTCCAATACCGCAGAGGCCACCTCGAGCATATTTTAGAAAGAACATGACTTTTATACAAAGCGACCAAGATAACTGAAACTTTAAGGAGCGATCTTACACAGACTAAAGTTTAAGTACTACAAATTTCAAGAAATTTACTGGACCTTTGTAGGATTTAATACATTTTTTATGGGTTCTGTTTTTTGGGGGTCACCCTGTATAATACTGGTTCAATTCCATTCAGTGCTTACAAAGTTATGATTAATTGAAAATCAGTCAAAACCAAGCATGGCCCTCTTTTAAATCCAATCTTAATTAACAGAACACAGTTTTTATGGTAAACAATCACTGGTTTATTCTAAAAGCACGACGTTTCGACAAGTATCCTCTTATCGTTGTCATTGTGCTTGATAACGATAAGAGGATACTTGTCGAAATGTCGTGCTTTTAGAATAAACCAGTGAATGTTTCCCATAAAAACTGTGTTCTGTTAATGTGTTTCCCAATCGCTAAATGCCAATTAAAGATCAATCTTAATTAAATGTTAAATCATCTCAATTTGAGTACATTTTTCATAGATTAAAATATAAATGACGCTAGAGACTTTAATAGCAAATTGAGCAAAATGAATTTTGAACAAATTCAGTTGAAAAAATACCTGATCGTAGAAAAAGTTAACACAATACAAGATACGATTATTATAAAAAAATATTATACTTTCACGTATAAGGCATGTACAATTCTACAATTTATAACCCCATTCAATGAGTATTCTATAATTGAGATTGGCCCTTTAACATACTCTTCAAAAAAAGTAGGGGATATTGAAATGCAAATACCTATGCAAGATGCGATATGATAAATAGTCATGGACATTTGACATGCTTTGAGACTATGTTCACAGATGAAGAACTTATCGCCCCAACAGAACCACTGAGCTGCACATGCGACACGCAATAGCGCCATACACGTGGGAGGGGTTCATTGTCAAATTTGACACTTCAAGGAAGAGTTGATGAAAACTGTCGCGTGCTGGTTTATCTATCCATGTTTGCTTTCCTATCAGTTCTTGCATAAGATTTACTGTTTAGCGTATCTTTGTTTTAGTGTGTTACATTTAATTTGATCGGGAGACGTGTTCGTCGACGTCAACGTCAACCAACAACACTGCAAGAATTGGCTGTGGCACTGCAAGAGGAGTGGGTCAGATTGTCACAAATCGTGATTGGATGACACGTCGAATTGCTGAATGTCTGAGGACTGGTGGAGCAATTACTCATTATATTGAGACAAAAATCAAAAACGTCCATTTTCACTTTTGACGGTATATCTCTTTGCGATTGAAATGTTGCCGTCAGATAAGCCGCCCATATGAACTGTTTATGTTCATGTGTAGGCAATTGGCCTGTTATTAACATACACTGGTTACCTCTAATAAAAACAGCAGTGCATTTCCGCAGTTTTGTATTGTTTCTGAATATCCCTTTTTTTTTTAAAGAGTATATATGAGATACAATTATTATAAAAAAAATATTATACTTTCATGATAAAGGTATGTACAATTCTACAATTCATAACCCTGTCCATTGAGTATTCTTCCATTATTTTCCGAAGGTTAGGTTGGATGGCGGAGTGGTTTTTATGTATACGACTTAGATCATGTCTATCATGTGGCATGAATTCGACCTCCGGGCTTGTATATGTGGAAATTGAATAGGGTTGGGTGACGGTGTGGTTGAAAGGGCGCATGACTCTATTGTTTGAAACCTTAAAAAAGACGAAAATTGGTCTATGAGCACATAATTATTAGTGTAATATGAATGTATATAAAGTGATTTATATTCAATTTAAAAAATAAACGATAGTAATTTCTAATCAATACGTTAACTGTCCAAATTGAACAGCAATCGTTTACGCTTGCTTAGTTCATCCTATATGTCAGTATTATTATTATACTGGCCTTTGTGAATCACCTATTACTAATTACTTCTGCATTGTCTTGTAGGATATGTTTCTTTGTTCATTACAAATGGCGCTCGAAACCACAGAATACACGACTCGTGTATTGATTTTTAAATACAATGTTCATTATGTCTTAAATATTTGATATTTCACGGCAAGATAACAACGTCAATATTGGTTGAAATGGACCAATATTGAATTTTAATTTCAAATTTTATGGAAAATATTCAGTTAGAGGTTTAGCTTCTTTACCATGTGTCATTGAGGCAAGTGGTGTGGCTTTGATCCCAAGCTCATAGTGGTTCAACGTTTGCACTTTATTGATGCAAGTGGCATGGTTTGGATCCCAGGCCTGTAAATGACAAGGAGTAGAGACACCTGCCTAATCACCTGGGTTTTTCTCAAGGTTAGGCCTATTCCCCTATTAAAGACCCCTGTACAGAAATAATTTATTGAAATATTATACCAGATTGGTCTCAAAATGACCTGGTTTGTGTTGTGGACATTAAAGGAGCTAAATCGCTAATATTTGGGACCTAGAAACTGTCACAAATGGGTCGCAACGCATTTAATAATGTAATATGAATGTTTATAAACTGATTTACATTCAATCGTTTCTGTTTTTACTATAATTTGTAATCAGTTATGTTCAATATGCCAGAAGTTTCAATCGAATGGCAGTCTCTAGTGTCTGTGGTTATTCCAGTCTACACCGATAGTATTTATTGCGCATGCTCTCCAGATAAGAATATGGCCTCATCGTTTGACATGACTTGTGGAATATGTCTAGCCTTGTTCTTTGAGTCCCTTGTTACAAATGGCGCTGAAACGCATTACGGTACACGATTCGTGTACCAATGGTAAAATGTTTATTTTATCTTAAATATTGGATATCATAAACCCATCTTTTCCGGGTGAGATCACAACATCAATGTTGATTTAACTTGACAAATAATTTGTGTTTTCAATGTGAAAGACTTTGGACGATATTCAGTTATAGACTTAGCTACTTTAAATCCCAATTCTCTATCTTGTTTGGAAAAAACCCTGACCTTTAGCATCTGGTATATGTTAATACTGACTACTCCTGTCCCATGCGAAATGGATCTTTTTCCATTGTGATTTTGTAGCTCTTTCTGTTAATTAAATAATATTAGGAGGCAATATTATGAGAATTAACAGATCTAGTTTCCACGCAATCCCCATTCAGACACCTTTCGTTGAGCCGTAACCATGACAACCATACTAGTTCCATTTGCTAAGAAACTTCTAATCGTTCCAGGCATCAGTCCACGATATAAAGCGAAGAATCCGCCTCTTTCACGAATAACGTTTCTCATTCTCTGTACAACAGACACTTTCCTGTAATAAAGGTAAAAAAACTCTTCAAGATTTATATTTTAGTAGGTTTGATAATAATTCTACTTTCATTTTTGATTAAAGGGAAATTGTGCCCAAACTAAGAATATGTTGTTTTTTGATAAAAGGAACATTGTGCCCAAACTAAGTGTATGATGTTTTTTGATTAAAGGGACATTATGCCCAAATTAAGAACATGATGATTTTGATTAAAGAGACATTGTGTCCAAACTAAGAGTATTATGGATTTTGATTAAAGGAACATTATGCCCAAACTAAGAATATTATGGATTTTGATTAAAGGGACATTGTGCCCAACCTAAGAATATTATGAGTTTTTGAATAAAAGAACATGTGCCAAATCGAAGAATAATGTGGTTCTAACAAATTTGCCTACATTATGAACAACCCCATGGTTTCCAGCAAGCTGGTTCCAATCATGAATTGTTGATTCCAGTGACAAACAAACTGTTCACAGAAAGAGAATGGAAACGATGTGGTGCTTGCACAGGGTAAAAATTACTAGATCTTGATAGAAAGTATTTACCCTTCAACAGATTATTGGAAATTTGCTTTGCTTGGAAATCATTTTTTTTTTTATTTCTGTAATTATCTCTACCAATCTGATTAAAATACAGATCCTATTTCATTTCGTTTTTTATAGTTCAAAATTTTGTTTTACTTGTCTCTATTACACTAGAATCTGGTGTTATATAACCTGCATTCTGGTTGAAGTGAGGGATTAGCCAATGAAACGGCCTGTTACGGTGCGGTGAATTCTTGTCATGCGATGCATGGAACTGTGGGTAAACCACTAGAAATGTCAACGCTGATTGATTAATCAATGTCTGGCGTCATAGGGCCAAAAGCTGCTCTTACAACCCCTGACAAGACCTTCCACTACAACCGCTCAGATCTTCATGTAGTGTGTAGGCCATTGAAAGTATAATAAAACAAAACGAAATATAAATCTGTATTTTAATCAGATTTTATCTCTAATTGCTGACCATAATCACATTAAAGTCGATCGTACAACCCCTGACACGACCTTCCACTACAACCGCTCAGATCTTCATGTAGTGTAGGCCATTGAAAGTATAAAAAAAACGAAAGGAAATACAGATCTGTATTTTAATCAGACTATCTCTACTTACCGCCCATAATCACACTGAACTTGACATTTCATATATTCTAACGGCCAAACAATCCACCAGGCCAATGTTGCAGCAATACCCGATGTTAAGAAAGGACCAAGAAGTGGACGCTTGAAATGTTCTGGAAAATGACGTCTGCCCGAGTCAACGAGTATAAAAAATGTACACATCAATCCCATAGTTCTACACCATGTTACTCCGAAACCCTGGAATAAACAACAAAACAATTAAAATGTAGGGGTATATTTGCTTGAACGTTTTGAAATTGAATTTTCCAAATCCTAAAAATAGTGACAATCGAGTGAAAAGGGGATTTCGGGCGACAATGCATTCACCAACTCCATGTGAAAATATCTCAACCAACCATGACAGCTGAAACATTGTAACATAATAAGAGCGACAGTGATAGGTAAAAGATTAGAATCATCATATGGCAGCTTGTGTGATACAATCTCCGATGTCCTTTAATTGACCATACTATTGTTTAATTTATCCAGAGGCTGGCATATCTATACTTAACAAGTTAGATAATATGCTGACCGCTGGCTGCGTTTACTACCATGTGTTCAGTGACAGAACTGAATTCTGTATCACTTGATTGCAATTCTGTCAATTCGGGAAATGAAATGAAATGAAATGGAGTTTAACGTCCTACTGTTCTGCTCCTAACCTGGGCTACTGAAGACGGGCATACGCCATACAGTGTGCTATGAGGGAAATTTTGCCCAGACAGCGGCACTACGGCCTACTCTTATATCGAATTCCAACTGCCAAGGGATCTTTTACGCGCACGCCAATGTGTACACGGCACCTCGGTTTTTCGTCCCATCCGAACGACTAGACAGCTTTCCTTGTCATCCCCTCCGTCCTGCATCACTGACAAGGGGAAACCACGTCGGAAAATCGGGATGAACTTTCTCGGCCAATGCAGGGATCGAACACCCGACCTCCAGGCTAGCGAGCTAGCGTCTTACCCACTTAGCCACGTGATCCCCATCAATTCGGGACGTTCTGGACTGTGAATCGAGCATCCCCTTTAATTTCAAGATCAATTGTCTCCCTTTAGTCCCCAAAAGCAAAGAGAGAAATGGGGTTTAATGTTCACTTGACACAAACTAGGTCATTTCGGGACTAACATATGGTTCAATTTTATTTCAATAATTCGCTTGCACGTAGGGGTCTTTTAGCAGTGGGAGGAAACTGGAAAACCGAACAACCGGCGAATCGAAACCACGCCAGTTGACTCAGTGGTAGACCTAATGATACAGCGCACGTTCTAACCATTCAGTCATCCATCATCCCTACATCACAAAGTGGCTTCTCCCTCAAATTCCTTCAATTGTTGATCAAATTGCTTTTAATTAATGAAGCATATTTACTGTGTAAACTTTTGATAGCTGCCATTTTTGACTGGTTTGACCCCTGACCTGTTAAAAGAAGAAATATTGAGATAGAATTTGAAAAAAATTAACTTACTGATGTATAAAAAATATTAATTATTTAAAATTAAATCAAGACAGTATTCATAAAATAATTACTTTACTGAGGTATCAAAAATATTGCATAGGGCTACTGTAATTTGTTTAAACTTGATAATTGTAAATAAAAAAAATGTGATTTTCCACTTCGGCTCTATATGGCGGACAAAAGATATTTCATTATGGGGAACAAGGGGGTGGGGCCTCCTCCGAGAAAATTGGAAAAATCAGGGTGTCAAATATAATGTACCTAAACCAAAATATAACATTCAATTTTCTCAGATACACCACCCCATCATCAACAAAAAATTCAAATTTACATGTTTCATAGAAACAGAATGATAAATGATTATTTCTTACTGTTATTTAGAGGGGGGGGGGGCTTAGTGTCAATACCGTGCATCTTGGTAAAATGCACCAGTATCGAAGGAGGGGGGGGGTCTTACTATACATACACTGACATATACGTACCTTGGCATATTCTAAGGGTGTTTCAATAATAGCTCGAACAGTTGACGCACATGCTCCAGCTGTTAATACTCGCCTACGATAAAATTTACAAAACATTTCAGAGAAAATTAACAATTCATCAGGATTTTCGGGCATGGTTCCTCCTTGTCATTGGTGCAGGACCGAGGGCCTGGCAAGGGACAACGTATAGTTGTTCTGATGGGACGAAAACACAGAGGTCCCGTGTACACACTGACGTGCATGTTAAAGATCCTCTGATACTTAGAATTTGATATAAGAGTAGGCCGTAGCACCGCTGTGCAGGCAAAATTTCTCTCATAGCACACTGTATGGTGAATGCCCGTCTTCATTAGCCCAGTCGGAGCAGAACAGTAGGACGTTAAACCTCATTTCATTTCATTTTCTGTCTTTTTGCCCGGCACAGATTGTTTTTATTTACATTATTTCCAGGCCTGTCTTTTAGCATCTATTTTTTTTTTTATTGATAACTATTTGGAATATGATGAGTCATTTTGATTATAACCCAATATTCATCTCAGTGCAATCTAATTAGAATTGGCTCTTTGTTGCCTCTATTTCACTCTTATTACAGGTTGGCCTAGGGGAGCCACAGTGGTTAAGTGGGTAAGACGCTGGCTCGCTAGTCTGGAAGTCGCATGTTCGATCCCTGCATTGGCCGAGAAAGTTCATCTGGATTTTCCGATGTGGTTTCCCCTTGTAAGTGGTGCTGGAAGGAGCCTGACAAGGAAAGCTGTCTAGTCGTTTGAATGGGATGGAAAAACGAGGTCTCGCGTATACATTGGCATGCACGTAAAAGATCCCTTGGCAGTTGGAATTTGATATGAGAGTAGGCCATAGTGCTGCTGCCCGGGCAAAATTTCCCACATAGCACACTGTATGGCTTATGCCCATCTTTATTAGCCCCACCGGAGTAGAACAGTAGGACGTTAAACCCCATTTCATTTCATTATGTTGGCCCACACCATACAGAGATCTAGTTGGCCAACAATCTTGCCTGTGAATGACCCATTAATTCTCTGTCATACACTTGCATTGATAACATAAGAGACGAAATTGGATTATGGGTATACATGCATGGGCCAACTCATTAATATTGATGAGCTTGTCATGGACCAACTTATGAATATTCATGAGCTTGTCTAATTCAGAGAAGACAAGAGATAACCCATCCTCGGTATCCGGAGGCAGACCACCATTTTTTTCCCCATTGATTCTGGTCTCTTTGCCCAAATTTTTGTTAGGCTGAAAGCTTTTCACCAAGGACAGAGAAACAAATGGTAATATTTTTGCACCAAAATTTGTATGAGGTTGACTACCAAAATTTTGAGATACACAACCTTGAAGTAGCATACTAAAAACATGTAACTATTCGCAGTACTTATCACCATAACCAACCTGTTAACTCTATTATCCTTCCACCTCTAAAACATAAATATTTACTAAACATAGCAGAAAATGTTCATTCAAACCCTTTTCATCCATTCTACATCAAAAAATCAACAAAAATGTGCATGCAAAAGGGGAGAAAAGAGAGAGAGAGAGTGAATTGCTACGAATAGACGAACTACAATATGTTGGTACCAAGAGGGTGAAATTTAATGGTTGTCTGCCTCTATCCCCAGTAGCATCGTTCTGTTCTACTCCACTAACCCCTGAGTCAATTCAAGGGGTAGACACATAATCTAATTAGATGCCCTTGATAATTGTGCTATTCTTAGCGATCAATCAAAACATTACTGAGCGAGCGAATGGAAGTAACTTGCATTATATTGCAACTAAGATCGGCGAATCAGTGTTGCAAACTTTGTCAAAATATTTTAGGACATTGTTCTGTGTGCATGTCACTTCTTTGATATTAGGGAGGGGTGGATGGTCGAATGGTTAGCACGTGCTAGCCTGTCATTGAGTCAAATGGCGTGGTTTCGATTCCCCGGTTGTATGTGACAAGGAGTGGGTCGCCTGTCCAACCTCGTGGGTTTTCTCCGGGTCCTCCGGTTTCCTCCCACTGTTAAAGACCCCTACGCGCAAGACCCCTACGAGTGGACGTTAAACCCTCCCCCTCTCTCTCTCCCTCTCTGTGACATCAAATTTCTTACAATAGAGCCTACAAACTGCTTTATTGTGGTAAACGTAAACAATAACGCTAAGACTGGTATGTAAACTGTTTTTTGATTGGTTCGTAAAATCAACCTACAATTAAGGGTAGATAATTTGAATTTATGAAAATCCTGTTAATGGATCCAGGGGTTAGTGGAGTAGAACGAAACGATATCAATGGGGATACCGAAGATGATTATCCCCCTACAAATGTTTTTCTCAAGGATATAAAAGATTTTATTATGCTACATGTATATCTCATGGATACTTTACTATTTTGAGATTGACTTATGGTAATTTTCAATTGAATGGCTACATGTGCAATAAGCGGATGATAATTTTGCTGGGGATACCGAGGATGGAGATAACCAGATTAAACTGATGGGCGATAATTGTAAAATAATCATAGTACTTACAGTTGGAGTCCTCCTGTTCCTGGTAGTTCATATTTTCCGATTCTATTGTCTTGTTGGGTATACCTAGAGAAAACATACCAAAATGCATTTGTTAGTAATATTAGGTGTAACGAATTGTACAATCTGATTAAAATACAGATCTATATTTCATTCATTTTTTTATACTTTCGATGGCCTCCACTACATGAAGATCTGACCGGTTGTAGTGGAAGATCTAAGAGTGGCTTTTGACCCTATGAAATCATACATTTGGTTAACCAATCAGCGTTGAAGTTTCTAGTGGGTTACACACAGGTCCGTGCACTGTTTCATTGGCTAACCCCTCACATCATCCAGATCGCAGGTTATATAACAACTCTTCCAGATCCTATGGAAAGACAAGTAAACTGAAATTTGGAACTATAAAAAACGAAATGAAATAGGATCTGTGGTTTAATTAGATTGCACCAAAATACGACACGTATAGGAGTAAGCATGTTTAATTTTAGGGCTTCCAGTTAAACTGCAAGATTGAAAAATGTGTATTTTAAAAAGAACCGAGAAATATATATTACAAACGTGACAACTTACAGTGCTTCAAAAACAGCAAACTGTGCTGATCTGTATATCCCTGATCCCCATAATGGTGGAATACAACCCCTACAAAATAAATACAACATTTTATATGACAACATCCCCTGTGTTTTAAAAAACAAACATCAGTCATTTCTTAATCGGATATTTCCAGATTGGGTTTTACTATTATTTAAAAAAAAATGAATGGTGACAAAGCGACAGGCATACGCTATTCAGGTGCTATGAAGGGAAATTTGTCAAGACTGCTGAGTTTCTGCCTGCTTTTTACGTCGAATTCCAAATGCCAAAGGATCTTTTATGTGCATGCCAAGGTGTACACAGGAGCTTGTTTTTTGCCCCATCCAAACAACTAGGCACTATTTCATGCCAAATCTTCCATATTGCATCATTGACAAGGGAGGCAATGTTGACAAATAATGAAGAACTTTCTTGACCAATGGTAGGATCAAACCTGAGACCTCTGGGTCAGTGAGCCAGTGCCTTTCCCGCTGAGCCACCATGGTTTCTGACACTCTAAGGATGTTGTCAGCAATGGTATTGGCAGATGTATCACACATGTCGTATTAAAAATACATTATGTAAGATTTGCTATAATAGTTCAAACATAGATAATGCAAAATGAATATATTGAAAATTCCATTCAAATTACTCTATTGTGAGTGAAGATATTAGCCTTTGAAGGTTTGACAAGATGTGTGCATTAATTCTAGACATTGTACTGCTTGTTCAAAGCTAAGCCACGCTTCAACATTTTTAAATTAAATCAAAATATGGCTGAACCGTTCTAAATAATTTACTTAATATCAAAGATATCCGATGGCATCAAGAGTTGATTATGGTCTTATGTTAATAAAAGTCTAATTAATAATTTAGATACCATTTCAGGCCTAAAGAAAGACCTGCAATAGGCAGATTTAGCTCTTGCATATATAATGTATGTTTAATTAAGTTAGTAAAAAAATCACGTCAATATTATTAGATAACATTATATGATTGCTGGTTAAATGAAGGCTACTAACTTGTGAATGATTGTTCAATACTAGAGAGAGAGAGAAATAGGGATTGACGTCCACTCGACACAAACTAGGTCATTTCGGGACTAACATATGGTTTAATTTTATTTCAATAATTCGCTTGCGCTTAGAGGGCTTTAGCAGTGGGAGGAAACCGGAGGACCCGGAGAAAACCCACAAGGTTGGACAGGCGACTTGTTCAATACTTATAAGATTGTTGATAACACCTTGACCATTATAAATGATCTCAGGTAGAAGCATAACTCAGACCAAGAGACTGTAGACGGGAGACCGCTCTTCAAGGCTGAGCGAGGGCATGTGACAATAGAGGCAGATGTGAATTACGACGATGGCCGTAATGACTACAATCTGTTATGATATCTTATGTTCCCGTGTGATGTATTGGTTGTTAGAATTATAGATGTAATGAATTCTAATATTTGTTCCTGAATTTTTAAAATAAGTCAAATCCACAGCCATTTTTAATGTTAGATCCTATATGTTACTGTGACCTATACAATCCTGTGATCCTATGTTACAATTACCTATGGGGATCACGTGGCTAAGTGGGTAAGACACTGGCTCGCTAGCCTGGAGGTCGGGTGTTCGATCCCTGCATTGGCCGAGAAAGTTCATCCAGATTTTCCAGCGTGGTTTACCCTTGTCAGTGATGCAGGGCAGAGGGCCTTACAAGGACAGCTGTCTAGTCGTTCGGATGGGATAAAAAACCGAGGTCCCTAGTACATATTGGCGTGCACGTAAAAGATCGCTTGGCAGTTGGAATTCGATATAAGAGTAGGCCGTAGCTCCGCTGCCTGGGCAAAATTTCCCTCATAGCACACTGTATGGCGTATGCCCGTCTTCATTAGCCCAGTTTAGGAGCAGAACAGTAGGACGTTAAACCCCATTTCATTTCATTTCATTTACAATTACCTATACAATCCTTTGATCCTACAGTTACCTACTCAATCCTTTGATCCTATGTTATTGTTACCTATACAATCCTTTGATCCTATGTTACAGTTACCTATACAATCCTTTGATCGTATATTACAGTCACCTACACAATCCTTTGATCCTATATTATAGTTACCTATACAATCCTTTGATCCTATATTACAGTTACCTATACAATCCTTTGATCCTATGTTATTGTTACCTATACAATCCTTTGATCCTATGTTACAGTTACCTATACAATCCTTTGATCGTATATTACAGTCACCTACACAATCCTTTGATCCTATATTACAGTTACCTATACAATCCTTTGATCCTATGTTATTGTTACCTATACAATCCTTTGATCCTATATTACAGTTACCTATACAATCCTTTTAATCCCTGTTGTTTTAATGTTTTCACGAATGTCTGCACCATATTGGTTTTCTCGAATCCAGCCTCTGCCTGCATCTTCGTTTTAAGTGTATCGAATGGATGGCCGATGCAGACATTGGTGACACCATACAGAACTCCAACTAAAATTTAAATTACATATTTTAAAAATTGCCATTAGGTTGAACTTTACAATTCTTTTTTATCAGAATATATAAGCATAGGCTATCTTTACTCAGGCACAAAACCTCACAATTGGAGAGAGAGAGAAAGAGAGAGAGAGAGAGAGGGGGGGTAAGTGCACTTGACACAAACTAGGTCAATTTGGGACTAACATATGGTTCAATTTTATTTCAATTTGCTTGAGCATAGAGGTCTTTAGCAGTGGGAGGAAACCGGAGGACCCGTAGAAAACCTATGAGGTTGGACAGACGACCCTAATCCTTGTCATGCACAACCGGGGAATCGAAACCACGGCAGTTGACTCAATGACAGACATTATGATACAACGCGCACGTGTTAACCATTCAGTCATCCAACCGCCCTCACAATTGGAACTTGAATTGGCTAAGTGAGTAAGACATTGGCTCGCTAACCTTGAGGTCCTGTGTTGGATCCTGGTGTTGGTCGAAAAAGATCATTCGAATTTTGCGGCGTCGTTCACCCTTGTGAAGTACACAGTATAGCAATTTGAGGGACGAAAAATCGTGATATCGTGTACACATTGACGTGCACGTAAAAGAACCCTTGGCAGTTGGAAATCGATATTAGATTAGAGCAGGCCATAGCAGCGCTGTACGGGAAGTGTGCCCGTCTTCGTAGGTCGTTCAACCCTATTTCATCTCTGAGCCACCAATTACAGTTTAAAGTTTAAAGTTTAAGAGTGGACATACATCGAATGTCTTGACAAATTACAAAACCCTGCCAGCAGAAAATACGCGGAGAGAAAGCATCACGAAGCTTCAAAGATTTGAAAGACCAGAAAGAAAGGGGGTAGTTGCTTTCCAATTTTTCATTTTCAGGCAAGTTTAGTTCTAAAAAATAATCAAAAGATACAAATGAAATTGAAAGTAGATAACTGTCAAAAATAAACACCTCCAAGACCTATGACTCCTTCTTTAATCCAGTGAGTTCTTTCTTCATTATGGGTCATTTTTGTTCAACAAACCACCTAAAACTTCTAGAGTACGATATTTTGTTTATTCCAATTTTAAAAAGAAGCATGTCCTCGCTGTCACCTCAAACTCGTCTCAATTGACAGCTACCTCAACCAACCGTAACGGTAACGTTACTGCACTCGGCACACTTCGGCAGATTCTACGAATCTCCTGTAGGGTACCGGAGTTTGCCGAGGTTTGCCGAATGGCTTTACTATTGTCTAAAAGGGGCGAGATCTATTTGTTAAGGCCACCTCAATTTTCGTCAAGGTCGCTGAGATGTAAATAAGGCTAGGGTACGTACGTGATTGTTGGCGAGAATGTAGGTTAGGGTTAGGGTAAGCGTATGGGCTAGGTCCAGGGTTAGGGTTAGGTTTAAGAATTCGGGGGAGAGGTTAAGTCTCCACATAAGCACTGACCTAGTCAGATTGATCCACTCTGAACTGAGAATTTAGCGACTGAATTTTGGGCCTGGCCTCGATCATCATTACTAAAGTCGGTACGATAAAAAAAAACATAGTCTCGATTATCCAGTTTTTGATTAAATCATGAATGAGCATTGAGCAGCAGATCGGATTATAATCCAGTAAGTATAGCAAGCTAGCGATGACATCGAGAGTTGATTATGATCTGGATAAGTTAATTAGTGTCTAATTAATAATTTGGATAACATTTTAGGCCTAAAGAAAAACCTGTAATTGTCAGATTTAGCTCTTGCATAGTGTATGTTTAAGTTATCCAGTGCAAATATTTTATTTAACTCGTGCACATTATAAACTTTTTCCGAGACACGAGAATCCTAAAGGCGGATAAGTAAATGAGAATAGCGATATTGCAAGTTTTTACAAAGTTCACAATTATTAAGAAAAATCTAATGATTGCAAACAGTGTTAATCCATGTGGGGGGTTGGGTGGCTGAATGGTTAGCACGTGCGCACTGTACCATAAAGTCTGTCATTGAGTCAACTGCCGTGGTTTCGAATCCCCGGTTGTAAGTGGCAAGGAGTAGGGTCGCCTGTCCAACCTCGTGGGTTTTCTCCGGGTCCTCAGGTTTCATCCCACTGCTAAAGACCCCTACGTGCAAGCCAATTATTGAAATAAAATTTAACCATGTGTTAGTCCCGAAATGACCTAGTTTGTGTCGAGTGGACGTTAAACCCCATTCCTCTCTCACTCTCTCTCTCTCTCGTTAATCCATGTATATAATCGGAGCCCCGATGGCTCAGTGCGTAAGTCGTTGGCTCTCTAGGAGGTTCGGTCCCGGTGTTAGTCAAGAAAGTTCACCGGGCGTGGTTCCTCCATGGCAATAGTGCAGGACCGAGGGCCGGGTAAGGTACAACGTATATATAAACGTTTGGAAGGGACGAAAAACGTACCGAGGTCGAGTGTACAGTTGGAATTCAATACAAGAGTGTAGGCCATAGCGCTTCTGGGCAAAATTCCCCTCAAAGCACACTCTATGGCGTACCCGTCTTCATTTGGAGCAGAATAGTAGGGAGTTCAACCCCACGTATATAATCCGGAGAGGCGTACCCATTTGCCGTGACAACATGTCTCCAACCATTATTTATGTATAGTTAAAGGGACAATAACACTCTTGCTGGCTTGAAAGCTCCAGAAAATAAATAATATCTCTATCTAAGTACTAGATGTTTAAGTGTCCTACCTGTTGTGTAAATTATCCATTACATCCTATTTTACTTGTCCAGAGGGTTCGAAAATATTTTTAAATCGAAGTTTCATTTGAAAAGGTTTACGTTAGATGTTTCAAACCATTATTTTGAATTTTTCAAAATTTTTAAATAAGGTGTGTTAAGATGAAATTTGTATCATCAATTAATTGAAATATTCTAAAATAGTACAATTTGTTGACCAGAATAAAGATTGGGACATATTATTCAGTTACAACAAGAGTGGTATTGAGCCTTTAAACAACTTAAAATACAGACACTATCCAGCGCGTGCATTTCAATGAAATACAGATGTGAGGTCATCCTTTGATGTTGGCGTATCATTATTTCAAATAATGGAACGGGCAATGTGCCAAGCGTACATTATCTATACTAGTTGAAATATTTGACCCGCGTGACGTATTTAATTGAAATGCACGTGCTGGATAGTGTCTGTATTTTAAGTTGTTTAATGGTCTCGTGCAAGACATTGCGTAATATATAGATATAGCACTTAATGTCCCGCACTCGACCATTAAAGTACACATATATAATTTGCGTATTATGTTCATCTGTCTCTGTAGTTGGTTTTGTATTTCATGTTGCTATGTATTTTTTGTCTAAGTACAAAGGGCAAATGGTAAGAATGGCCTTTGTTGTCCTAATTTTCTACCCTTTTTAAATAAAGTTATTGTTATTATCACCCCACCCCCACCCCCCCACAACCCCCCCACCCCCACACACACATACACACACACGCGCGCGATCACATGTATCCGTGTCTGCAAATATATGTACTGCCAGATGATTTGATTGAAATGGATTTTAAAATATTACGTTAATTCCCAAATTTCTTTTATATGGGATTTTAAAACACGCTTTAATTTTAACTAAACTTGAGTTGACCTAACTTGAATTGGGTTAAAACCAATAAAAATAGAATAAAACCATACAAGCCGATTAAATTTTCTTTTTGAGCTCGATTTAGTACATCAGGTGTTGTGTTCTTTCCGGCACGTAGTCGCCATTCTGAACTAAACGTACTAAGTTCATTAAACGTTTCCTCGTTCACAAACAACAGATTAAAGAAACCACGTGTATCTACGGTTTACCGAAGTTTTGATAGATAGTTGTAAAACGATTTTAGCCGACTGAGATAGCAGTATAGGATATTTAACGTGTCATGAAATTTATAGCTTGGAGATATAATATTATCAAGAAGATAATCTAAGGAGTTAGCATACGCTGCCTCGTTTACGACTATCGTGACAACATAGGCTACAACCATCCGAAACAGCAGTAGTATTCTAGTTCAGACTTCATAACTATACGGCCCGGTTCGTGCAGAAACAAGTAGGTAATTGTTAAACGCATTTTCATTTTAGTTTTCTAGCCTGTTGAGTTCAGGAGATTGGGTGGTCTAGTGGTTCAACGCGAGCGCGTGAAATCACAAGGTCTGCCATTGAGTCAAGTGACGTGGTTTCGATTCGCCTGTCCAACCTCGTGGGGTTTCTCCGGGTCCTCCGGTTTTCCCCCCACTGCAGCTAAAGACTCATATGCGCAAGCGAACTATTGAAATAAAATTGCACCATTTGTTAGCCCCGAAATGACCTAGCTTGTGTCGAGTGGACGCTCTCTCTCTCTCTCTCTCTCTCTCTCCTTGTTGAGTTCGACAGAATAGTGTGTAACCCATTACTGTTGTGATTAAACGGTTGTATGGATATCTTTAACAAATATACCTGGAGTTGTGTGTGTGTGGATATCTTCAACAAATGGATGGTCGTTTCCGAAAACGTGCGCGTTTAATGAGTGTCGCCATATTTGAATTTGAAATTTATTTTAACTTTATGTTCCTTGCACAGGTCGAAGGAAGTCAAAATTGTAATCTGATCGGTGCTGTGTCTCGACTTTTGGTGAAACAATAATTGTTTTGGTTGGTTAAACAATTGTCTCCGTGTCGGAGAAAAAATTGTCCGTGGAAATGAAAATAAACAGGATAACTTGGAGGATTTACCACAAGATTCGGATGTTCTTGGTGCGATGTCGTGATATTCTGGAATATTAGACAATGTTGATGATAACTGGGCAACAGAACTCTGACAGAAATAATAATACAGTAGACAATTAAATACACAATCCTTACGATACAAAACTGAACAAAGGACAAAACCGAACAATTTTAAACTGCTAATCGTCATGTCAGGGAGTTTGAATCGCTTGTAAACAACAATATTGCGAATGTCCTTGCAAACAACCATATTGCGAATTTCTTTGCAAACAACCAAATTGCGAATGTCCTTGCAAACAACAATATTACGAATGTCGAACCTTTAAAAGAAATATCAGCCCCAAAATGTCCCAGTTCCGATCAGTATTGACAAAGATATGATGTTTTGAAAAATACTTAATATTCGACAACTTCTCTAGACGTTATAAACAAACCAGCGCCGTCTATAAGTGTTGTGTACAAATTGTTGATGGACCTCTTGGTAATTCGATTGAATCCAAACCGGGGGATTATCCAATGCTGATATTTTTGTTTTATTTATTGAATTAAATATTCAATTGGCGAACAATCTGGCGTGTTTTAAGCTGTGAAACAATTAAATACTGGTTGCAAATTTCGCTAAAGGGAGACAAACAAATATCGGAGTGATTATAGAGCTGTTAGCTACGTGAACATCCAACCCAGTGAAAAGTGGCAGCAAGAGCACTGAAAAAAAAAACATACACTGCTTCGTGCACAACACCACCATAGTGTGCTGTGGCTGTTAATTTTAAAATGGATCCAGTATAAAGGAACTTAAATAATAAAAATGACTTTAACCAAGGAAATGAATGACGGAAATGTGAAAACCAACTCTCAGTTAAGAGCTAATCCACTGTAAGTTATTTATTGAAAAATATTCGAAAACAATAAAGAAATAAAATATGTTGTTATATTTTAGAAGGTAGACCGAGGTTTCGGCCACAGAAGTTAATATGTGTTAATTGGTACTAAAGGTATATCTAACTGGTTAGGATTAGAGTTTCAAAAAAGCTATGCGGCACAAACGTCGGATATTCGATAAGAATGCTGAAGTCAGTGTCGAAACTTAAATTCAACATTTTGTGTTGATAAAGAACCCCACATTATGAAAAGGTTTATCGTATAATCGTCAGGAGGGGTCAAAAAATCGAGGTCACGTGTACATATTGAAGTGCACGTAAAAGCCCCCTTGGCAGTTGGAATTCAATATAAGAGTAGGCCATAGCGCCGCTGTCCGGACAAAATTTCCCTTATAGTACAGTGTAAGTATGCCCGCCCTCATTAGTCCAGTCGGAGCACAGCCGTAGGACGCTAAACCCCAATTTTGCCCGGGATCTTTTACGTGCATGCCAATGTATACATGGGATCTCGGTTTTTCGTCCCATCCGAAGGACTAGACAGCTGTCCTTGTCAGCCCCTCCGCCCTGCACCATTGACAAGGGGAAACCACGTCGGAAAATCCTGATGAGCTTTGTCGGTCAACGCCGGTATGAAACACGCAACCTCCATGCTATAGCGAGCCAGAGTCTTACTCACTTAGCCACCGTGCCCCCCCCCCCCCTGTTCTCGATGGAGTCAAACTAAAACATTATTTTTTGCTTTTACAGGAACCCCGAGTTAACGGGTGAAACATTAAGACTGTGTTTATGGGAAGCTCTTGATGAATACCGAGTAACGTCTGGTGTATTTAAATGTGCACAAAAATTAAGTTGGTATGAATCATTATCGTTTATATCAATCAATAAATAAACAAAGTATTGTTTGTGGATAAAGTGGAACGGGGGGAGGGGAGGGGGTGGGGTGGCCGAATTGTTACCACGTGAGCGCGGTATCAAAAGGTCTGTCATTGAGTCAACTGGCGTAGTTTCGATTCCCCGGTTGTACGTGACAAGGAGTAGGGTTGCCTGTCCAACCTGGTGGGTTTTATCCGGGTCTTCCGGTTTCCTCCCACTGCTAAAGACCCTTATACGCGCAAGCGAATTATTGAAATAAAATTGAACCAAGTGTTAGTCCCGAAATGACCTAGTTTGTGACGAGTGGACGTTAAACCCCATTTCTCTCTCTCTTTTTAAGTGAAAAATCGAAATTGCGATTTGTTACTCAGCAGCTGTGACAGTGGATTTTGGGATCCCAAGCGCCCATTGATCTTTTTCCTCTTCCCGAGGGCGACGCTTGATCCTTTGATACACTTCAATTTTTTGATATGACGTCACAATTACAATATGGCTCCGATGACGTCATAATCAGTACCCGGGCCCTTATTCACGAAAACTTAAACTAAGTTACAACCGAAATTTTAAGAAATACTGCAACTTCATTGGATATATGCAAATTGATTTTATTGGTCAGCCAATCGAATTGCAGTATTTCTTAAAATTTCGATTGTATCTTAGCTTAAGTTTTCGTGAATAAGGGCCCTGGTCCGTAATACGGTGGTACTTGTTTTCCTGGCATATTAAGCCAGTGTTTTTCATTATTTTATTTCGATCTATTTCAGTAATCCTGAAGACGTAATGTTTTGTGTTTTACCAGAAACTGAAAGTGAGAACATAGCTATACATATTCAACATACGTTAATAAACGCCATCTGTTTAGAAAACGACATAAGGATAGTAAAGGTGGGTTGTAAAAGTAGTGAGCGGGGTACTTCCACACATACTATGACGTCATTGGACAATGGCGTTAAATAATAATTATCATGGGAGTATTTTGAAGGGTGGTATTTGTCAAATGTCTCTATAAAGTATTTTTGTCTCACAACAATAAAAATTTTTAGGACAAAAAGTACAAAGATGGAATTTCACAAATCTGAATTAAAGGAGCTAAATCGCTAAGATTTGGGACCTAGAAATTCACAAAAGTGGGTCGCAACGCATATAATACTGTAATACTGTAATAAACTGATTTACATTTAATGGTTTCCGTTTTTACTCCAATTTCAAATCAGTTATGTTCGGCGAAATAAGTCAGCAATCTCAATCGAGTGCAAATTTCTAGCGTATAGTTATTCTAGTCTACATAACTCCATTTGATTTGGTGCAATGTGTCTAGCCTCGTCCCTCGAGTCTCTCAATACAACTGGGGCTGAAGCGCATTATGGTACACGATTCGTGTACCAATGTTAAAAAAATTATTTTATCTTAAATATCGGATATCAGAAGCTCATCTTTTCCCGGTAAGTTTACATCATCAATGTTGATTTAAATTGACCAATAATTCGTGTTTTCGATGTCGAAGATTTTGGAGGATTTTGTGTTACGGACTTAGGTCCTTTAAGTGATTGCTACGGTTATTCTTGTTTTTGCTCGACACAAAACACTTTTCTGGCCAACTTACACATATGACATATATAGCAAATTTTCGATATAAACAGCTACTTTTCACCCAACCCGATTCACAACTATCAGACAACAGCAGCGAATTCTTTAGATTTTATTATTTAATTTGGTCCTTAAGAATCATCTCCAATTCTGGACATCAGAAAACGTTAAAACACCTCAGCAGTGAAATAAACCTAATTTACTATTCTAGGTGTTAAGCCAAGTCTTATTAAAATAGTGCTTCCATATAACAAACAAAGGGGATGGTGTCTTTTCTAGGTTGGTAACTTATTACTTTTTACCATAGGAAAATGTTGTCCAGCGTGTCCGTGATGATTAAGCTCCTCCGTAACCTTAATCGTAAACCTCGGGCGTTAGCTTTCATTCTATAATTAAATACTGTTGTTTTTATTCCTAGGTTAAAAGTGCCAAAATCCTTCACAGAAGTCTTTGTGGATTCCAACTCAAGATGAAATGCCGCTGTCATATAACCAAACGTGCTATTCCTGCTGATGTCAGTTGTTTATTAGTGGAATTCCCGCCACACCAATTGAGTAATGCTGATAACGCATTTCTCATGTTTTATGATGACATCATAGAAGAATCAACAGTTATTCCACGTATTGATTTTCCCCCGAATGATGTTTGTCCCTAATGTATGTAAGACTTTAGTCTCTGATCGTCACTTGAGGGATTTTTAATCCCTTGCAAAAAATCTTTTCTGTTGGTTGAAACCTTTATTAGAATAGAAGTCCAAAAATGATTAATTCCGTTCATGTTTTAAAGAAGAAACCCTCTGTCGACGATATAAACATATGGCGAAAAGTCGGCGCCACCTATAAAATATTAAATCTTTTGGTGGGCCACTGTTTAAACTGCTTGAATCCAAGCCGGGAGATTATCTACCGTTGATTTTTTGACTTTTTTCCTTAAATATATGTTAAATAAACGATCTGAGTACAATTAAACAATATAAAATTATACTTTGTCCGAAAAATGTAAAATAACAATCAGCGGCTTTAAGATGGTAGATTGTAACATAGTCGGTCGAATATGGAAAGCGAAACCACCATAGCTTACCTCATCCGATGGTGAAATCGCAGACAAGTTGTCTTTATTTTATTATGACGTAAGAATTAGCAAAATATGGATATGTAACTCTATCTCATATCTGGTAAATTTCCATTAAATTTTTAAAAAACAATTACGATATCAGTTTGAAAACATATACAGATATGATACTGTTAAACATATCTGTAATGGTTGTGTCACGAAACATTTGATAGCTTGCAAACAAATTAGAACATTATTTACCCTTCGATTCCACAGTGCAGCCAAACTATTTCAGCTTTCCACAGAAATAGACACTCTGTAATTCAGAGAATAAAACAAGTGTTTTATGGACGTTTTGTCTTTGATTTTGTCTTCGGATTTATTACCTGTGTTTGGAGATACGTCAACAAAAACAGAAATCTATGCACTTAGCTGACCATATCAGTGAACCCTGGTTATCTCATCACAACAGTCAATTGATTTCCATAAACTTGAAACTTTTCTTTGCTATGACATCTGCCCTGCCCTGACCTGCAGGGGAAACAAGGCTTTGTCCTGCACCGCGGGAAAATCCCGACAATTGTTTGGACTAACAACGGAATCGAACCCAGAACCTTGCGGTTAGTGGGCCGAGTGCTCACGCCATACTAAAGTGAACCAACACCATACCCACCCAACAACGTGGCTGTCCAAATAAAACTGGGTATAAAATTTTCAGATGCAACAAACTGATTGATATAATTAAAACAGATTTTATTGTACAATGTCTTTATTTATTTACACATAAATATTTTAAAATACAATGATAACAGTAACAATATACATAAAACAATAATAAATACAGTAAAACCTGGAGAATCTGACCACATCAGTCAACCTGGCTTATTTGACCACACCAGTCAAACCTGACTTATCTGACCATATCAGTGAACCCTGGTTATCTGATCACAACAGTCAAACCTGGAGAATCTGACCATAGCAGTGAAACCTGGCTTATCTGACCATATCAGTGAAACCTGGATAATCTGACCACATCAGTCAACCTGGCTTATTTGACCACACCAGTCAAACCTGACTTAGCTGACAATATGAGTGAACCCTGGTTATCTGATCACAACAGTCAAACCTGAAGAATCTGACCATATCAGTGAAACCTGGCTTATCTGACCATATCAGTGAAACCTGGATAATCTGACCACATCAATGACATCTGACCACATCCATTAAAACCAACAACCTGTCTGAACAAACATGATCAAAATTACCTTCTGCAATCAAATTTACATTATTTAGTCTAATAAAGAAATATTCGATTTGTGCTCTCTTGAGACCGTTGTGCGTCCTACAACTGTTGTGCTGTCATGTGACTGTTGTGATGTATTGCTTGTTCTGTCCTTGACTGTTGTGCTGTCGTGAGTTTAAATATATTTCACGCTAATTTGGCCTCACTCAGTAGAGGTGTGTGGATTCTAAGGTTGTTGGTTGGATTTCCAAAAATCAGCATTCTGTCACATTTATATGAACCTAATATTTTTTTTTTTTTTAGAATTTTACGTTATAAAGAAATTTGAAGTTAGAATCCACAAATACTAAATTAAATCAGCTCCTCCAGGTTTCACTGTCTTAGAAAATAATTAACAATAATTACTTAATTCATTTCTTTAACATAATAATAATTTACATAACATAGAATATACAGTTTCAGAGGTGGATCTAATCGTGGCTAACAACTGGTCAACTTTTCACATATTTTGCTTTGGTATTATCCCAAATCTTTAAAAATATATTTCTTAGTGTTTTTACACAAAAAAATCTATAAATTTATGTATTATTTATGTAAATTATTTGGCATTAAAATTGATTGACAGTTAACACTGTAACATGGGTATCGTTTAATCTTGTGTATCTAGCACCAATTTCTTTCACATTCTTTCAATTTCAAATATTTGTTTAAAAATTTGTAAAAATCGTTTAAAATCACCAAAAATCATCCAATTTGTACTTGTGTCCAGTTTAAAGCTGACCATTTAATTTTGATAATAAGTGTCCAATTTACAAGAGTTTAATTTTTTGATCGCTGTTACAAAATAAACAAGCCAATTGATTATTGATGTATAATGATTAATTTTTTGAACAGTGATCAGGAAATTAAATACTTGTAAATTGGACACTCATTATCAAAATTTATCAGTCAGCTTTAAACTGGACACAAGTACAAATTAAATGATTTTGGGTGTTTTAAATGATTTTTACGAATTTATAAACAAAGATTTGATACCAAACGAAAGTGGAAGAAACTAGTGCTAAATACACAAGATTAAATGACACCCAGGTTACAGTTAACCTCTCCAGCTAGTCCATTCACTGCCACCAGTTAAGATTAAACCCTTCTTCTCCACCATGCTATATTTCAACCCAAACCAATGAAGAAGTGCAACTTATAACCATTTCCAAAACTTCAGTAACAGACTAAACCGATGACTTCACCTCTTTTTGCATTTCCTAAATCCACTTCTGATACATATATAATCATGCCTAGGTTTATTCGCATCTCAATATACAGTTCTATAACTTACAAACTGTGCTCTGAATTCCCGCATATAACGTAATTACTATTTAAGATTATTAATGTTATAATAATATATCCTGCTCAGAGCTGGATTAACAATAAGCAAAATAAGTGGATGCTCATGGGAATGGGGCACAGCAGAATGTTTGCATTGTTATATGCCAAATTTAAAATATTCAATTTAAAAATTAAGAACTTTTAATAAGTTTTTAATTTTTTTTTGTTGTCTTTTCTTACTGTTACCAGCTTTGATAACTTAAATGTTTAGGCAGGCAATAGTGTCGAAATACATTCAGTTTAATGTGCTTTCTACGTGCTTAATCTTGCATACACTTTCAACAACACAGCCCTTTCTTTGAATATATATTTAAATATATTTTCCCCTGATAATAATATACAGTAAATAAAATACGCTAACAAAAGTGTCAATGGCTAGAACGAATATATAACAGAATCTGTAAAGAAGACTAGAATTGATTAATGACAATAAAATGAAAGTGTCCCAGTTTCCCCCATACTAGGTATCCCCAGTGGTATCGTTCCGTTCTACTCCATTAAGCCCTGGGTCCATTCACAGGGTTTTCACGAATTCAAATTATCTGCCCTTGATACTTGTGCTATTTTTATCGACCAATCGAGTGGCCGAAGGGAAGTAACTCACATTTTTTTGCAACTAAAATAGACGAATCAGTGTGGTGAATGTAAACAATGACGCTAAAACAGGTATGTAAACTGTTTTTTGATTGGTTCGTAGAATCAACCGACAATCAAGGGTAGATAATTTGATTCGTGAAAACCCTGTTAATGGACCCAGGGGTTAGTGGAGTAGAATGGAACGATATCACTGGAGATACCGAGGATGATTTTCCCCTTACAAATGTTTTTCTCAAGCATATAAAAGATTTTATTATTATACTATATTTCACAGATACTTTATTATTTTGAGACTTAAAGATACATTATGGGAGATAAGATAAAGAGATGGCAGTTCTCGCTATAATAGTTAAAAACTAGATAGTGTAAAGGTAATTTGCTGAAAATTTCAGTCAAATTGATCCACTATGAGCCGAGAAAGAAGCGGGTGAAATTTTTGCATAGTCTCGGTCATCATTACTAAAATCATTAATATAAACAGCATAGTCTCGATTATCCAATTTTTCTGATTTAATTATCAACGGCTGTTAGCGGCATATAGGAATCTAATCCAGCCAACATCGAAGGCTAGCCTTGACATCGAGAGTTTATTATGGTCTGGATAAGTTAATTAATGTCTAATTGATAATTTAGATAACATTTCAGGCCTAAAGAAAGACTTGTAATAAGAAGATTTTGCTCTTGCATAATGCATGTTTAACTCATGGTAATTTTAACTGAATGGCTACATATGTGCAATAAGCGGATGATAATTTTACATGGGCAGCAGCGTTTCCACCTACTTTTTCTCAAATTCCGACGACCAAGAATTCTTTTACATTATCGTCAATGCGTACACGGGTGCATGCTTCAGTTACATTTTCCATGACAGCCATACAAACCCCACATCTGACAAGCCAGATAAGACCTTGAATCCCAATGATTGTTCTCAGTAAATGCAAGGATTTGAACCAGGGATATTCTGGCCAAAAGGTCCTCGATTCCTGCCAGACTGCCTCTATCCCTTCAAGGACACCTGTGAAAATTGCTTCAAGAGGGCTAGAGCTTTGACTTTTAATAATTAGAAGAGACTAGGATTTTTTAAATATCATATTGTCTAAAAATATTTAAGAATGTAGCACTTTCATTAGCCAAGAGCTCAAACTTTAAACTCTCAGCCAATGAAAAGACTGTATCCTTATAACATTTAGTCTAAGTTGTCATGAAAGAGGCTCCAACTCTTTAATGGTTTCATCTGTGGGGCAAAATATTAAGCTGAGTTAGTAGGCAAGATATTAAAATGCTGAGTATTAGTGCTAAATAAATACATGAATTAAAGGTTTGGAAATAGCCGATTTCGAATCCATTGCTTTGGCTTATGTTTTATTCATCAGCCATATCTTTAAATGAAACTAGAGTCTGTCCCCCATATGATGGTATTTTCCATATTGAAATTACCATTAATGAGAAATCAGGGACGAATAAAATATATCTTACATGCATTTATAAAAATATTTCTTAAACTAAGAGAATCATTTTATGGCAATGTAAAATAAGAAAATGAATCTCCCTAAACAAGTAGGTCCTCATAATTTCATAACGTGTTAACACAAGCTTAGACATTATGGAAAGCAATCCTTCACGTTAAAGGTGCACTTTCGCTCCTGGTCCTCTCGATTTTTCTTCGTGGGAGTCTTTAAAGACTCCTGCAAATTAGCTAAATCACTCTCCTAAATATTGAGATTAATAAACTACTTCAGTTTTTCTTTATTTTTAAAATTGCATACGTTCGAGATATCAGTTTCCATGATGATAATTCTGATGCTACCATATTCACCAATATTAAACAAGACTCAAGCATAAATACAATTTGGCTCTCCTTAATTCAAGAAAATTTAGAATTACTCTTGCAATATAATTAAGAAGAGTTTTTTACAGGAGCTTTTTTTCTCAGTTTTGAAATAGGCAGGAGCTTTTTTTATGGTTCACGCACATTTTTATAAACGTGGAGGACTGGGAAAGCAATTTTTGTATCTTAACAATTCTTGAAAACGACAATAGAATTATTGTAGAGGTATAGCTCTAAATGAAAAACAGTAACTGCTTATCATAGAACCGTTATGACTATTTTCTGTACCGTTTAAACAGTTCAATTGACATATACTTCCAAAAACTTTAACAGCCAAGCCAAATTTAGTACAGCTTTGATACTGTAGAACCAATTCTAACAAATCATGAAAACTTAAGCTCTTACATTTACTCTGATTGAATATATTAGTAACTGCCTCTCATTTGATAAGAAAACAACTCAATGATACAGTTTAAAATATAGTTCTGTGGGTAGCATTGCAAGGGAGAAAGAATTGCAAATGAGTTTAGAATTTTGATGCGTAATGAAATAAGATCTGGCAAGCCGAATATTAGACAAGCTTATCTGCCCATAGATTAAAATTGTTCTTCTTGATGAAAATTTAATTATGGTCATATAAATACCAGTTTGATTTTATGTTCTTCAGGAACACCTTTAAAAACTTTACTTCTTATTTCTTCGGGAAAAATACTAATTTAAAAAAGAAAAGTACTTGGTTCTGCTTTCCAAGAACTTTTAGTTCCAAATTTTAAAGTTTTGAAATTATAACCAAAACTTCTTCCACATGATCGATTTAAGTGGCTATTTATTTATCAAAACCTGATATATTAAAACAACTTGAGAAAAACCAGGCCCCAAACTCACAAAGCATTCTCAGATTTAAGTTAAAGTTACAATTTCATATTTTTAATTTATATTTTTAAAATGTATTAAAATAAAGCCCTTGTTAAAGAATAATCCTATTAATCCTATAATTCACTATTGCCAGTTGAGAAATTGGCAAAAATATCATTTTCAAACGTTTGAAGTTAGCTTTTCCATGGTGGGGAATAGGAAAACAAGGGAGGTAATTGTGTTATTATTTCCGGTGTGAAGATTTTTAAGTGTGAGAAAGATAACCTATGATCGTATAATAGTGAGTTGACAACCTATTGAGCAAAAGACATAGAAATAATTATGTTTTGACTTTCTTAGAAAATATGAAATTGTAACTTTAAGAATTTACTCAACTGTCAATCATTATTAACGAGAAATATCTTTAATCCAGAAACACAAAACTTTGTATATAGCTTCTTATTGATGTATTTGATGCATTAAAACAACAAAATCTTTATAAATGGCTATAATTTAGTTAAAATAAGGTGAAAAAGTTTGAGTTAATCTTTAACTTAAATCTGAGAATGCTTTGTGAACTCAGGGCCTAGTCTATATGAATTAGACTGAATCAGCAGCACTTTCCACTATGTATGCATATGTTCGATTGTTTAATGCAGAACGCCCAGAATTGACAGAATTGCAAGCAAGTGTAGTGGAATTCATCACCATTACAGTTCTGTTAATCCTGACAACGTATAATTGTGACATATTTAAACACAACCAATATGTTTGAACTTAGATAGAGAGAGAGAGAGAAATGGGGTTTAATGTCCACTCGACACAAACTAGGTCATTTCGGGACTAACATATGGTTTAATTTTATTTTAATTTCGGAGAAAACCCATGAGGTTGGACAGGCGACCCTACTCCTTGTCACGTACAACTGGGGATTCGAAACCACGCCAGTCGACTCAATGACAGACTTTATGATACAGCGCACGCACGCTAACCATTCAGCCATCCAACCCCCCATGTTTGAACTGGCATGGTTGCTTGAAATATTTTCTTATGATAAATGCATATGCGTTATAACCCAAAAATCACCTTTTCATTCGATTGTCACTATTTTTAGGTACCCGGTATGAGAAAATTCAATTTCGGAACTTTCATTCGACTATCTCCTAAGAGAATAGAAGGTAAGAGCAGGTAACTCTGTTTGACAATAGAAGCTATGAGCAGGTAACTCTGTCTAGTTTAGTCTATATGTTGACTGTATTAATTAACTATTAGACCAATGTTGTATGGAACCATCAGTAAATAATAAATTAATAGTTGGATACAGTGATGAATGTTCTTCTTTATCTTGTGGCACACCAGAATTCTCTATTTCACTAATAACACTATCATCCTAAAAGACAAAAACAAAAAAATTTATTATACAATAACAAAATCATTCTAAAACACAAAAACAAAAAAATTTATTATACAATAACACAATCATCCTAAAACCTAAAAAACAAAACAATTTATTATACAATAACACAATCATCCTAAAACACAAAAACTAAAAAATGTATTATACAATAACACAATCATCCTAAAACACAAAAACAAAATAATTTATTATACAATAACACAATCATACTAAAACACAAAAACAAAATAATTTATTATGCAATAACAACACAATCACCCTAAAATACAAAAACAAAACATTTTATTAAAAACATCCAACAACAACAAGCGGTTGCCATCCATGATACACCCATATTTTGCAAGAGATGGACAGAGAACAAAAACAGTTCACTACATTTTTTAATGAAGATAGACAAACACCAAGTGGTGTGCTATTAGGAAAATTTCTTCTTGACAGTAGCATCAATAATCCACTTGCGTGTAAGGGGGACCCAGAGAAAACCCACAAGGTTGTGCAGCGACCATTTGCCTTATCACACACAAGCTTAGAATCAAAACAATGAAAGACCATATGAATTAAAGTGTATGTGTTAGTTAGACCGCTCGACTCTCAACACTCACTTTCAGGTGTATTTAAGACACTGAATCCACAATCTGTAGGTTGTTTTGTTTAGCTTAAAGGAGCTAAATCGCTAATATTTGGGACCTAGAAATTGACCCAAATGGGTTGCAACGCATATAATAATGTAATCTGATTGTATATAAACTGATTTACATTCAATTGTTTCCGTTTTGACTCTAATTTCAAATCAGTTAGGCCCAGCGAAATATGGCATGAGTCTCAACCAAATAGAAATTTCTAGCATCTGGTTATTCCATTCTATTGCGCCATGATCTCCACTTAAGTTATGGCGTCGCCGTATGACATGAGTTGTGGAATATGTCTAGCCTCGCTCTTTCTGGTCACTTGTTACAAATGACGATGAAACGCACTATGGTACACGATTCGTGTACCAATGGTAAAAGGTTTATTTTGTCTTAAATATTGATTATCAGAAGCCAACCTTTTTCCGGTAAGATAACAACATCAATGTTGATTTGAATTGACGAATAATTCGTATTTTCAACGTGTATGACTTTGGATGATATTGAGTTAGAGACTTAGCTACTTTAATCTGACTCTGAAGCCAGTGGCAACTTGTATAATTGGTTGTATATCCAGGAAGAAATATAATTTAACTTCTGTAAGTTGTCTTCCTTGGCAAACAGATTAAAATAAAGATCTAGATTTTGTTTCGTTTTTTATACTTTCGATGGTCTCTACTACATATCTGACCGGTTTTAGTGGAAAGTCGCATCAGAGGTCATATGAGCGACTTTTGACCCTATGGTGTCAGACATTGATTAATCAATCAACGAGTACGTTTCTAGTGGTTCCCCAACAGTTCCGTGCACAACTCGCCAAGAACTCTCTGTAACAGACCGTTTCATTGGCTAATTCCTCACATCAAGCAGAACGCCTGTTACATAACAACTCTTCCAGATCCTAGTGTTGTGAAGACAAGTAAAACGAAATTTTGAATTATAAAAAACGGAACGAAATAAGGATCTGTGCTTTAATCACAAAATTGGCTTTTGCCTAAATCCTGCTCTGCTCCCACTGTTCTTTTGAACAATAGGATGTTTATCCAGAAATCAGTAGCCTTTTCCTAATCTGGCTCTGAAACCACAAGCAACTGGTATAATTGGTTGAATATCCAGCAGAAAGAAATATAATTTAACGTCTACCTACCTGCCATTGTGTTATAAATTCTAACAGTTGAAGGGACAGCAGTCGACTGGATTCTAATAAATTGTGTAAACTGAAATATGAAAATTAAAGATGCATTTAGGGATTGGTCTGCAACATCACTTCTGTGGAAGCAGACGCTAAATAAAGCTAAATAAGGGTTCAAATGTTATAAAAATTATTATTTAGACCTTTATTCACATAACAAGCCTATAGTCAACTCTTTAGAGCATCAGTTGGCAGAGATTTAAATGGTTTAAAACACTTGCACGATTTTAAAATTTATTGATAAAATGGATAATGGAGACTTAGCTGTTGCTACGATAATAAACAATCTATACTACATCTTCCAACACAGTAATATGAATAAAATTTTCAATATATTCATTTTTCATTATCTATTTTTGAATTATCATGGCACGAACGTCAAACGACCAACTCTTTATCTAAATCTTACATAATGCATCCTTAATGTCAAGTTTGTCTTATCAATATTTAACAAGACCCAGTCATCAAAACCCCTCATCCATAACTTAAGAAATTTTTGATTTGAAAAAGGCACAAGTACTATAAAAGGTTGAGGCATGTATAAATTTTCTTAAAGGTATCTTGAAGAATAATTTATTGTAAAAATGGGATTGGGTGGGCCTGAAAATGAAATGAAGTTAAACATCCTACTGTTCTGCACCGACTGGGCTAATGAAGATGGGCATATGCCATACACCATACAGTGTGTTATGGACAGTGGAGCTTTGACCTACTCTTATATCGAATTCCAACTGTCAAGTTTTCTTTTAATGTACGCCAACGTGTAAATGGAAGCTATGTTTTCTGTCCCAACAAAACAAATATACACTGTCCCTTGCCAGGCCCTGCATCACTGACGATTGGGATTCTCGCCAGAAAATCCGGATGAACTTTTTTGTTCAACACAGGGCCTCCAGATTTGCGAGCCAATGTCTCATTAACACTGAGCCACTGAATAATTTGTTTACAATCTGAAAATTCAGCTATTTAATATTTTACTGATTTGAGAATTTAGTTATCATGTACTTGTTTTTGCTTTATATCCGTGTAAATGGAAATAAAGAGATAGAAATAGGTTTAACACCCATTCAACACAAACTAGGTCATTTTGGGATTAACATATGGTTCAATTTTGTTTCAATAATTCGCATGTGCTTAGGGGTCTTTAATAGAGGGAGGCAACTGGAGGACTCGGAGAAAACCCACAAGGTTGAACAGGCGACCCAACTCCTTGTCACGTACAACCACACCAGTTGACTCAATGACAGACCTTATGATACAATGTGCACGCCCTAACCATATGGCTACCCAAACCTCCCAAATGGAAATAAAATGAGGTTTAACGTCCTACTTTTCTGCACTGACTCGGCTAATGAAGACGGACAAACAAATAGAAGAAGATATACCCCCGAGTTCCTGATAATATCCGATATTGTACCTACCTTTCTTTGTTAAATAATCCCATTGTCGAAACTCTTTGACAAACTGTCTTATTTAACACAGTATCGAATAACGGAACACCGAAAAAACAGTCTAATATCACCCAATCATCTTCCACTAATTGATCCTGAGATCTAGGTTCATGACTTAAATCTAACGTAAATCTGTCCTTGGTCGTTTGATCGTGACAAATATCTGCGTCTAAATCTAAGGAGTCGAGTTCCGTCGCTAACATGTGCGCTGACTCTGCATTTTTTATGCCGTTAGCAGGCTTATCCAGTTCTGTCGTATCTATGGTTATGGAAGGAGTGTCAGTGCTGTCAGTGCTGGCTGTGCTGTTGGTATTGGATGAACTTTGACCTTTTGAACTCTGACCTGTTGTAAGTAAGGTGATATAACCACATGTATGAAGTAAATCTAAGCTCGATTCAAGCTTCTGTACTGCTTTATGTGATCGGTAATGACCTCGGCTAAATGCACCTGAAATACAAAAATGAAATTAAATTCCGCACACACTGGGATAATGAAGGCGAGCATACTCCCTGACACCACAAATTGTCATTGGTTCTCTTACATGCATGCCAATGTGTACAAGGGAAATATAATGAAATGGGGTTTAGAGTCCTACTGTTCTGCTCCGACTGGGTTAATGAAGACGGGCATACGCCATACAGTTTGGTATGAGGGGAAAGTTTGACCAGACAGCTGCGCTACGGCCTACTTTTATATCTGCCAATATGTACATGTATATGGGACCTCGGTTTTACGTCCCATCCGAACAATTAATGTACAAGGGACCTCTATTTTTGGGACCATCGAAAAGACTAGACGCCTTCTGTCCAGCATCACCAGGATGAAAAATTCTGTGGCCATATCACCCATATGTTTACAAGAATTCATTTAAATAATTATACATCTAAAATTTAATTTTGTTACCGATTCATGACTGTAAGTAACATTTAGCAGGTAGAATCTACTGGACGCTCTCAAATTAACCCAAACTGTTCTATGCAGTTTTGTCCCTTTGTTTTATTAACGCTCCATAATCAATGAGGATTGTTTCTTTTTTTAAATAATTGAGCCTACCCCCACACTCCAATACAAAATTTTAAAATAAATTACTTCCCTTTGACATGGGAAATATGAATGCGCACTAATTAATAGGAACTTTTTTATTTTCTGTAGGTCATGCAGTTCTTTTTATATACGCTCACATTGAAATGCAGTCATATATTGTCATCACCTCCGTACATCTGACGTCCAAAAGCTATGGAGGCTAAAGTTATTAAATGAGTGACTTTAAATTTATACATAGTGTTTATGCTCATGAGATGAAGAAGCCTTTTGATTTTCAGCGATTTTCGATAATTACTGTCTGAGTTATGGCCCTTGATAACCTACCTGAAACCTCAGATTGAAATGGGAAGGGTATCTGTACAGTTTCTCCATCAGTATGATGTCCATGTCCCTATAAATACATAACCATGTGAAAATCTATGGGAACAATTCCACTAGTCACAAATACATAACCATGTGAAATATCTATAGGAACAATTCCACTAGTCACAAATACATAACCATGGGGATACTCGATTGAACGTTCCGGAATTGAATTCTCTCAATCCCAAAAATAGTGACAATCAAGTGAAAAGGTGGATTTCGGGCTACAACGCATGTGTCGACTGAATAAGTAAATATCTCAACCAACCATGCAGTCAAAACATATTCGTTGTGTTTAATTACGTCACGATTCTACTCACACCACCTCCGTTGTCGGGACTGACAGAACTGTGACAGAACTGATTTCTGCATTACCCAATGTGAATATCTATAGGAACAATTCCACTAGTCATAAATAACAAATGTGAAGCGAGAGAGAGAGAAAAATGGGGTTTAACGTCCACTGACACAAACTAGGTCACTTCGGGACTAACATATGGTTCAAATTTATTTCAATAATTCGTTTGCACGTAGGGGTCTATAGCAGTGGAAGAACCCAGAGAAATTCCACGAGGTTGGACAGATTTATCAAAAATCGTTGATATTTTTGTAGCCTCTACATGACAGTGGGAACCCAATAGTTTTCGATGATTCTCAATGCCAACAATGGTTCGAAACTAAACATTAAATACAGAAACTCTCGATAAAACAGCACAACTACACGATACCCAGGTTGTAGTGTATTCAGCAAAAACTCAACGGGGTGCAAAAACTCTTTATTCAGTGGGTTGTGCAAGATTTTTATCTGATAAAATTGAAAACCTTTTAACAAACATTAATATGGTATGTATAAAATTTGTGATAATCAACAAAAAGATAATAAAATATTCTTGTCTTACTTGAACGAAAACTGGTGAATGTGAAAGAGCATCGTTTAACGTGAGTAGAATATTGGAAGTAGCTATCACACCAGGATCATGACCCCATGTTGTTACCAATAGTCTCTCATAACCCTACAAATAATATACAATATATTACACACAGAGAGAGAGAGAGAGAGAGAGAGAGAGAGTTTAACTCCACTCAACACAAACTAGGTCATTTCGGGACTAACACACGGTTAAATTTCACTTCAATAATTTGCTTGTGCGTAGGGTCCTTTAGCCATGTGAATAAACCGGAGCACCCGGAGCAAACCCATGAGGTTGGACAGGCGACCCTACTCCTTGTCAAGTACAACCAGTGAATCAAAACCACGCCAGTTGGTTCTATGACAGACCTTATTATACATTCGGCCATCCAAGCACCACAATATATTATAGATCTCACAGCAAAATATTGATACTCATATTCCCTTCTGCTTCTTGTCATGCTTTATATCATTCATCATTCAAGGGTTAGGTTTTTGATGGTGTGATGACCGAGAAACACACACAAGTTTACTTTAAACTCTACTTCTTGTCTGGCAGTGTCATGGTTTCTAACTCGTGATAGTATGGATAGCATTTTAAAATTATCTTGCAGCATGGATGACATCGTCAAACTATTTTCTTGACCAGCAATGTCATGAGATTTGAACTCATGATAGTAGGGATGTCATGCTCTTGTTCCGCACTGTCATGAGGTTTGAGCTCATGAAAGCAGGGATGTTATGGTCTTGTCTTGCACTGTTACGAGGTTTGAACCCATGAGAGCAGGGACGACAGGCAAAACTACCTATTTTGTGACCAGCAAATTCACAAGAGCAGGGATGACAAACGGTATTCTCGTGGCCTTAAACTCACAAGAGCAGGAATACCACGATAAAACTACCTACTTCATGTCCGGTATACTCAAAAGACCAGGGATGACAAATGTTACTCTCATGGCCCTGAACTCACAGAAGTAGGGATGACATACAGTAAAAACCTACCTGGAAGACTTGTGGTAAACGTCTAAGTTTTGTTCCCTTAACCAATAATAAAGATGGTGGTCCACAACCGGTTAGCGAATACAGATATAATTTAAACCATACAGAGTTAACCTGAAATATTGATGTACAGATATAGTTTAAACCATACAGAGTTAACCTGAAATATGTCAACTAGGGGATCTTGCTTGGTCATATACTCTGTTACTAAACCAACTTATTCGAATTATTAAGAAATAGTGGTCTGAAGTCTACTTGAGTTCTATGTGCTAAAATGAGTTACTTTCCTTTATTAATAAAAGGCTTTGATACTCGTGAAATTCTGGGATGGAGTGAAATTAAATATGGTTCTTTGAGCTTTAGCCCTTCTGATTGTCTTACAATTCTGGCCATCTTTTGCCCGTGCGCCCCAATACCACAGTATGGACACAGGTTAAAACTCGATCTGATTAAAATACAGATCTATATTTCGCTTCGGTTTTTTATACTTTCAATGGCCTACACTACATGAAGATCTGACTGGTTGTAGTGGACGTCTAACATTTGATTAACCAATCAGCGTTGATATTTCTAGTGGGTTACCCACAATTTCGTGCACCTCATGCCACCTCATTGGCTTATCCCTAGCATCATCCAGAACACGGGTTATATAACAACTCTTCCAGATCCTATTGAAGTAAAGACAAGTAAAACGAAACTTTGAACTATAAAAAAAAAAAAACGAAATAGGATCTGTGTTTTAATCGGATTGGTTGAAACTCTGACATGGTGGTAGAGTAAGAAGCCGGACACTTACCTCTGGTATGGCCGGTCCTATATGTGGTGGTATTGAACTACTCACAGGGCGTATTTCATTACTTAATGGTGCCATAGATACAAGCAAACTACAAATACATAAATAGAATACATACATTATATATAAATTATATACCATCACACAAGTTAACTACAAATACAACAATTTGTACTGTTCTGCTCTTAAACTGGGCTAATGAAGACGGGCATACGCCATACACTGTGCTATGAGGGAAATTTTGCCCGGGCAGCGGTATGGCCTACTCTTATATCGAATTCCAACTGCCAAGGGATCTTTTACTTGCACGCCAATGTATACACAGGACCTCGGTTTTTTTCATCCCATCCTAATGACTAGACAGCTGTCCTTGACTCCTTGCCAAGCCCTCCGTCCTACACCACTGACAAGGGGAAACCACGTCATAAAATCCCGATGAACTTCCTCAGCCAATGCAGGGATCGACCACGTGACCTCCGGGCTAACCAGTCAGCATCTTACCCACTTGGCCACCGTGACTCCCCAAATACAACAACAGAATACTGTACATGTTGATTAAATGTTAAATAATCAATAAGCGAAAATGCAAATGAAGGAATAAATATCTACCCACCTGTAATTTTTATTAAAAACCCTGGCTCTTGTTGCTGGATCTAAACTAAGCATACTCTCACATCGTATTAAATCTAATCCTAATCCATTTGTCGTCTGATCCAGATCTGCACATAGATTCTTATTGTGACGTAAAAATTGTATTGTGTCTCGTAATGTGAGGGCGTGGTCAAAATATCTTCTAGCTTCTCCTTCTGCATCAGAACCAACCTAAAATAATTTAGAAGATAAAAAATTTGTTTAATTAAAAATTATTTAATTCGATGATACCGATAAGCTGCCATATGATTAAACATCATTTCATGTCATTTCCTGATATGTGATAAATGTACTTAAAATGTATACAAATAAGTGGGTTGGGGACTTTAAAATGTCTGCAAATGGTTTGGTACTTTAAAGGTATGCAAATGGGCTGGTACTTTAAAATGTGTGCAAGTGGTTGGGTTTGGTACTTTAAAATGTATACAAATGGTTGGGTACTTTAAAATGTATGATGATGAGAACTTACTTTTTCTAACTCTGAAAGAAAACTGTCCATAGATTCATCACTTAGTTTTCCTACTTCAAACATGGTTACAGCGTGACTTTTTAAACCCTAGAAAACAATTATATGTTATGAACTAAATTTGTACAAATTTATTTATATGAAATGCCTTTCCTTAAGGATTTGATTCAACTGAATTAAAAAGAGACCTGTCAAAAGGTGAGAGAGAGAGAGAGAAATGGGGTTTAACGTCCACTCAACACAAACTAGGTTATTTCGGGACTAATATATGGTTTAATTTTATTTCAATAATTCGCTTGTGCGTAGGGGTCTTTAGCAGTGGGAGGAAACCAGAGGACCCAGAGAAATCCCACGAGGTTCGACAGGCGACCCTACTCCTTGTCACATACAACCGGGGAATCGAAACCACGCCAGTTGACTCAATGACAGACCTTATGACACAGTGCGCACAGCAGATACTGAATGTTTCAAGGGATTCAGAATACCTCAATGAAGACCACCTAGTGAAGTAATCTGACTAAAATTTTCAGCATATTCTCTTTACATTATCTATTTTTTAACTATTATAGCAAGAACTGTCAGCTCTTTATCTAATCTTCCATAATGCCTCTTTAATAATAGGAATAAATTGGATTAGTAACGGAGTACATGATCAAACCAAGCGAGATCCCCTAGTTGACATACACCTAAAAAATAAAAATATATGTACCATGCTTGCGAATAGTAAGATATATCTATTGCTTCTCTTGGTGTATAATAGAACTTTTTCCAGTTCCCTGGACGAACCATATTTTCAGAAAGATTAATTGAGGGGGTGGAAATTATCTTTCAGTAATAGTAATATTATAATTACCGGAGATAGATTTCCCATCATGAGAAATGCTGTTAAAGTTGAATCAAACAAAAAGGCGATTCTTTTACTTCCACCACCAGCTTGACCAACAGCATCTGTAAAGATATTATAGCATGTGTAGTCAGGTATCTTTATAGGTAAAGGCTACAGGTGCATGGAAAATAGAAGATATCATTTTATGTGCACGTCAACCATTTGACCGACTAGAGGTTATCCTTGTCAGGCCCTTCGTCCAGCAACACTGACAAGGGCCTGGTTAGCGAGTCACCGTGGTTCTCCAATATAAAGTGCAAGACCTACCTATGTTAATATCAGGTGTATAACCTACCTATGTTAATACCAGGTGTATGACCTACCTATGTTTATACCAGGTGTATGACCTACCTATGTTAATATCAGGTGTATAACCTACCTATGTTAATATCAGGTGTATAACTTACCTATGTTAATATCAGGTGTATAACCTATGTTAATACCAGGTGTATGACCTACCTATGTTTATACCAGGTGTATGACCTACCTATGTTAATATCAGGTGTATAACCTACCTATGGTAATATCAGGTGTATAACTTACCTATGTTAATATCAGGTGTATAACCTATCTATGACTACTAATATCAGGTGTATAACCTACCTATGACTACTAATATCAGGTGTTCAACTTACCTATGTTAATATCAGGCGTATGACCTACCTATGACTATCAGGCGTATGACCTACCTATGTTAATATCAGGTGTATAACTTACCTATGTTAATATCTATATCAGTATTAAGATCTGTATTATTATTACTAATATCAGGTACAGGATCAATTTGTTCTCCTATATCAACATTCAAGGCACTATTTAAATCTATTAATAACATCTCCTCATGACGTCTGAAATAACAAAACAAATATTCATTCACATGCAGATAAGTTCGGAAACTTACCTCAATAGACATGTATGATAAGACCTGATAGGATCATCACGATTAACCCACGATTAAAGCCAAGATTCCAATCGCAGCCCGAATCATGATAGTGGGAACCCAGCATTAGGTGCAGTTCATTACACCAAGAATTACTTCACAACAATAACAAATCAAATTGCGACAGGTTTCAAGATCACAATTTTGTTTTCCGTATGCCTGGATGACCAAGCGGCTTTGATTATATAAAATAATTACTGGTTGAGCAATATGATATAACAAAGATTAAAATCTGAACATAAAAGAACTCCAGGGAGACATAAAAACTCACAGGGGCGCAAAAACCATGACACAAATCGCTACACTGACTCCCAATCTGATTATTTCGTTTCATTTTTTATACTTTCGATGGCCTACACTACATGAAGATCTGACGGGTTGTAGCGATAGGTCACGTCAGAGGTCAAAGAAGCAGCTTTTGACCCTATGACGTCAGACATTTGCTTAACCAATCAGTGTTGATGTTTCTAGTGGGTTACCTACAGTTTCAGGCACCTCACGCATAAAAACTTGCCGTAACCGACTGTTTCATTGGCTAACCCCACACATCATCCAGAAGGCAGGTAATATAACAACTATTCCAGATCCTAGAGTAGTAAAGTAAAACGAAATTTTGAACTAAAAAAAATGAAACGAAATAGGATCAGATTGATTGACTCCCATTCACTTAGTCCCTTGTAGCGCATAACAAGACAGTATTGAGAGTTATGGAAAGCTGGGAGAACAAATGATATGGCAATGTGATTAATTTCACTTACTTTTTCACATTAATAATCTCTGTGTGTTTAGGTGAATGACCTTGAAGCCAGGATGGATGAAGGTCGTTTGTATCCACCCCTTTCTTTTTGGCGAAACCCAGGCGACAATACATAGAAACAGCATTCTGTTGATAAAATAATATATAAAATATAACACAGTGTCGTAGTAATACTGGATTTTAGAGACAGTAGTTTCTTTTAGAGAGAGACTAGGTCATTTTGGGACTAACACAAGGTTCAATTTTACTTCATTAATTTGCTTGTGCATAGGGGGTCTTTATTAGTCGGAGGGAATCTGATCTTGACAGCCCGACTGACATTGGTGATGACATAATGCACCGATACTGAAATGTGGCGGTATAAAAAGCAAATTTTTTATACTTTATAAATCGACCAATGGATTTCTAGAGAGAGAGAGAGAGAGAGAGAGAGAGAGGGGTTTAACGCCACTCGACACAAAGTAGGTCATTTCGGGACTAACACATGGTTCAATTTTATTTCAATAATTTGCTTGCACGTAGGGTCTTTTAGCAATGGAAGGAAACCAGAGAACCCAGAGAAAACCCACAATTTGGAGAGACGACCCTACTCCTTGTCACATACAACCGAGGAATCAAAACCACGCCAGTTGACTCAATGACAGACCTTATGATACAGAGCACATGTGATAATAATTCGGCCATCCACCCCCCTACAGTATTTCATATCAACAAGTTCTCTTATTTACCTTGACTAGTTGTAAATCTATCTGTAAAACTGAAGATAGCTAAAAACAAAAATAACAAGAAAACTCAGTCACCATTATCCTGCAACTTGTATATCAAAAACTACCTGTAAGTCAAAATTGTTTCCATGTAACCTACTATAATTTATATGAGAAATTTCTCTATTTAGTAAAAGGCGCAACTACTGTTCTGTTTGTATAAAGTTTCACAAAGATGTCTTGATGGGTTTATGAGATGAAATGATAGGAGTTTTATTGGTTATAAAATGAAATGAAATGGGGTTTAACATCCTACTGTTCTGCTCTGACTGGGCTAATGAAGATGGGCATACACCATACAGTGTGCTATGAGGGAAATTTTGCTAGGAAAACGACCTACTCTTGTATTGAATTCCAACCGCCAAGAGATCTTTTACATGCTTGCCAGGCCCCCTTGATGAGTTTTCACGGCCAGCACTGGGATCGAACACCATGTGTTCACAGTAGATATTTTACTTGTAAATAATAATTATATTTTTACCTCTGTAACTGAAGTATGTTCATCTATAGAAACAAATATTTTATATAACAACGTCTCTATGTAATCTCCGAGTACACGATTCATCACAAAACCTTCTAATGGTGGTACAACAATACAATCTTCATCTCCCAACTGAACATCCAGATATATCAAACCTTTACGATATAAACCTAAAAATAAAATCATTTAATATTTATTACTGTTTACAGTGCCATTGCATGATAACTTTAGTCGTTAGAATGTTCACAAGGTTCAACAAAGTGAAACAAGGGCCATAACTCTAGAAGTATAATCATTTAAAGTTTATTAGTCTAAAGTGCCATTACTGCCACTGCATCCAAATATATCAAACCTTACGATATAAACCTAAAAATAAAATCATTTAATATTTATTACTGTTTACGGTGCCATTGCATGATAACTTTAGTCATTAGAGTGTTCACAAGGTTCAACAAAGTGAAACAAGGGCCATATGGTACAATATTCACTTTGTCTTAAATATTGGATATCAGAAGCCCATTATTTCCCGGTAAGATCACAACATCAATGTTGATTTAAATTCACAAATAATTCGTGTTTTCAATGTCGAAGACTTTGGATGATACTGAGTTCGAGACTTAGTTACGTTAATGAATTCTTAACCAAGATATTCACCACCCAAAGCCTGCTTGTATTGTATGATCAATAAAGCCTTCAAACGATGACGACGGTCAATGGATTTAAGTAATTTTTAACATGTTCTTCTCATTGGATACATATCGAATAAATTAATTTTTAACCAAGATATTGACCACCCACTTAAAGCCTTGTAATATATATTGACCTGTCGACGGTTTGCTTGTTACATATAATCAATACACAACAATATAATGAGAGTAAAATTCCTATTTACCAAGGACTAAATCTTTATCGAGATCACCAGCTGGTTGTGGTCCACTATCTATTATAGTATCAATAAGGTTCTTCTCCACTTGCGAACACATCTATACAAAACACAAAATATACCATCACTCTCCATCAATTATAATCAAAATTATTTATACCAAGTTTAATCACTCCCATTCAATTATAATCAAAGTTATCATGTCTACACAAAACAGAAACTCATAATTATCCATCACATTATGAAACAAGACAAGGATGGGTCAAGGTCTCCCTTGTCAGAGCTGTGGTAGGTCCCATGTTCAATCCTTGTGTACATGTAGGAAGAGAAAGTTCCTGTCAGTTTCCAACTTGGTTTCCCTTTGTCAATGACCTGACAAGGAGGGAGAGAAATTGGGTTTAACATCCACTCGACACAATTAGCTCATTTCAGGACTAACATATGGTTCAATTTTATTTCAATAATTTGCTTGCGCATAGGGTTCTTTAGCAATGGGAGGAAACCGGAGAATCTGGAGAAAACCCATGAGGTTGGACAGGCGACCCTACATCCTTGTCACATACAACCAGGGAATCAAAACCACGCCAGTTGACTCAATGACAGACCTTATGATACAACGCGTACGCACTAACCCTTAAGCCATCACATCCCCCCCCCCACTTGACAAAGAACGGTGTCTAGTCCTTTGTATGGGACAAATAATGAGGTCCCATTGGCAGTTGGAAACTGGAATAAGAATAATCTATGGCACCAGGTACCCTGGCAATTTTTCCCTCATGATGCACTGCATGACATATGTTAAACCTCATTTCATTTCAGGCCCACCTCCTCAAAACCACTCATAAAAATCAAGGTCATATTTTAGGCAAAAGTTTCACAAATAAAGTTACCCAAGCCATAAATAAATTTTAAAATTCAGGTATTTTGGTGGTCACTCTCCTTATCAATAAATAAACAAGCCTGACAACCCCACTTAAACATACATTATGCAAGAGCTAAATCTGCCACTTGCAGGTCTTTCTTTATGTCTGAATTGTTATATAAACTATTAATAAGACATTAATTAACTTATCCAGACCATAATCAACTCTCGATGTCATCACTAGCCTGCGATATTTATTGGATTAGGTTCCGATTTGCTGTTTCACTTCCATTCATGATTTAATCATGAAATGGATAATCGTGATTATGTTTTTATCAAACCGACTTTAGTAATGATGATCAAGGCTAGGCCGAAAATTCAATCGCTAAAATCTTGGTTCCGAGTGGATCAATTTGACTGAAGTGAAATGTTCAGCAAATTCCCTTTACATTATCTAGTTTTTAACTATTATAGCGAGAACTGTCAGCTCTTTATCTAATCTCCCATAATGTATTCATAACATATCAAGGAACATCCCATAATGTATCTTTAAATTAAACTGCTGGTGGATACCAACCTTAATATCATCCTCTGTTATATAACCGACGTTTACAATCCACCAACTCTCTATACAAGCTCCCTCTACTGGTTGCATGGGTAATAAATCTCGTACTGGCTTCTTGCGAAAAAATTTCTATGATTAAAAATAAAACAGAAATACAAAACATGTGATATAGAAATACAAGTAGAATAAGAAATAGCTGAATGTGAAATATTTCAATCCTAAAATTATCTACAATAAATCAAGAAGCGCTAAGATTAAGAAATTAAAAATAACTAAAAAGTCTACCCTCAGAAATAATTTTCTCTTTTCGTTATCAAAATTAAATATTGACTTCATTTTGTTGCGCTATATAAATGTATACCGGTATTACCATTTTGAATTAGATAATGTCTGGAGAGAATTTGGGTTTAACGTTCACCCGACACAAACTGGTTCAATTTTATTTCAATAATTCGCTTGCAGTTAGGAGTCTTTAGCAGTGGGAGGAAACCGGAGGACATGGAGAAAACCCACAAGGTTGGAAAGGCGACCCTACTCCTTGTCACGTGTACAACTGGGGAATCAAAACCATGCCAGTTGACTCAATGACAGACCTTATGATACAATGCGTACATGCAAACCATTCGGCCATCCAACACCTGATAATGTCTAGAAAATGCATATTGGCTTCAGCGTCATTCAGTTCTCTCTGTTTGCCAATACCCTGGGTTAATTAATTTGATGAGGCATGGTGCCACATATCGTCGCTTTTCTGGCGAACCGACGAATCTGAAATATTGAAGTATTGAGAATTATGTGTTTGAAATTTGCGTTCTGTTGTTATCTCTGTTGCCATCAAATATTAACATTTATTTATGATTTAATATTTCATAAATATACATAAACGTTATTATTTGATGGACATACAGATAACAAAAGAGCGCAAATTTCAAATGCATAATTCTCAATACTTAAATATTTCAGATTCGTCGGTTCACCAGAAAAGCGACTCTCAAAGGGACATGAAAATATCATTTATAAACATTATTTGAAGATTGACATGGTTTATATGGTTTATTGTTTATCAAATATTTAACAAAGACTGGCTCTAGGTATTTGTTTTATAAATATTATTTAATGAAGATTACCTTTGAAGATCTGCATTGATTCATTAAATCTATATACTGGTTTCTACCAATTCCTAATAAACGTAAACCTGCATATAAAACAAACACAAAACATTAAACATGCCTATTGCAGGTCTTTCTTTAGGTCTTAAATGTTATATAAATTATTAATTAGACATTAATCAACATGACAAGACCATAATCAATTATCGATGCCATCTGATGCTTCCGATTTTCATTGGATTTGAATCCGATCTGCTGTTCAAAGTCTGGTGATAATCAAAAGCAAAAATGGATAATCGAGGCTTTGTTAATTTTCTCGGTTTAGAGTGAAGCAATTTGACTGAAATTTTCAGCATATTCCCTTTACATCATCTATTTTTTAACTATTATAGTGCAAACTGCAAGCTTTATATCTAATCTCCCAAAATGTATCTTTAATTACTAGAAAAATAACCAATTCAACCTTTTCATATAAAGACCATTTGTATCCGATTTGCGACAGATAATTTATAGACAAACATTTGACTCAAAGCGTGATTTGTTGAAGACAAATGGCTGACTCAATCTGTTAATTAGTTAATAAATTAATGCATGATTTGTTGAAAAGTAATTTAGCTACATGTAGCTAACATTTAGTTTTCGAACATTTGTTACGTATGGACAAACGGTTGACTCAATCTATTAATTAGTTAATAAATTAATTTACAACTGCTGACTCGATAACCAGTGGTTTTTCCGATGTGCCTTCCCCATGTCAATAGCGCAAGATGAAAGGCCTGGCAAAGAACAATGTCTAGTGTACACAATGAGGTCCTGTGTACACAATGGCGTGCACATAAAAGAACCCTTGACAGTTGGAATTCTAAATAAGAGTAGGCTACTATCCACGCAAATTTTCCCTCATAACACATTGCATGGAATATATATGCCTAGTCTCTATCATCCAGAAAAATATTCTATGAATATTAGTCTGGATGCGTTGTCATCATTTGAGAATAATAGGTCATTGGCTAGATTATCCGATCTTTTAAATTATTATAAACATAGTCTAAGGGAAGCAACTAGTTCTAAAATTTCGATACCCATGAAATTAATTTAAGAATGACTTTTCAGAAAATCCATTGGATTACATTGCCATTTCAATATCCAAGTTTCATTTATTTTTTTTTGTTAAATTTTTCTCTTCAAGGGCCATAAATATCCATGTTTTTTAAATTAATCCTAATTCGTTGTCACGATTCATGTTTGTTTATAATAATGCAAGAATTATGGGATTTATTACAGGAGGAGGTGCAACTCTTACTTGACTTGGCCAAAGATACTGGATAATCAACCACATAAAAAATCAAGCTCACGGTTACGCATGGGCAATGGAACTTTTCGTCAGATATTGACAACGGTCCCAGACCCTCCGTACATTGAAGACAAGGAGGTTCTGGGTGATCGAGACTAATATATGCCTGTCTTCATTACCCCAGAAAAGTTTGAAATTAAACCCCATTTTATTTCATTATTTTAGATGTCAATACTCACAATCAGCAGCAGTAAAGTTTGGTAAAGAATCGTAGGATTTCTCCTGTGACATAATATCCTGCATCATATTGATGTAATAAGCAAAGGGAGTTAATCTTAATCCTTTAACAATAACATCTGCTAAATGGTAGGGATATAACATCAAATGTTCTCGACTATAATTTATCACTTGTTCGTAGTATTTTCTTTCATCTTTCATTATCTGTCGAACTACAAATACAAAAATAAATACTTATTAAACTTTTTTTTTTACCATTAAAATGAGCTTGATTGAAAATACATAACACGTGGAATGCAAGTTACTTTAGGATTTTACTTCCAGTGATGTTTCGACGAGGTTTCTCTCATCTTTATCTAGAAAATCCTTGTTGAAACCTTTATTCTTTAAATTAAAATCACAATTATTTTACCTAAATTGCCTTTAAATCGAAGCTGATTTTTAACACTGAAGCTAGAAATTGCCTTTTCATATTCTCGCTGAGTATTGCCCAAGCTCTGAAAATAAATAAGGAAATTGGTATACAAATGTCCATAATTATGAAAAAGCATTCCTTTATACAATTCTTGTAAATATATCAACAGGAAAGGTTAGTACACAGTAAAATTAATGTAGCACAAAAACATATTCTGGGTATGATTTCAGACAACTGTCCACTGTACTGATTCTTTCTTACAACACAAATTTTCCTCGACTTAATTCTGGCTAAAATGTACTCATCTACTCTTACTTTGTATATTGAATTTCAACTGCCAAGGATTCTTTTACGTAATGGTACAAGGGACCTCAGTTTTTTGTCTCACTGATCCCCCTGAAAAGGGGAGACCACACCAGAAAATCCAGATGAACTTTCTTTTATTAGTGAACATTACAAGAGTTTAATCTTTGAGTGGCATTTAGCGATCGGGAAACACATTAACAGAACACAGTTTTTATGGGATACAATCACTAGTTTTATTCTAAAAGTATGATGTTTCGACAAGTATCCGCTCATCGTCAAGCCTGGAAATAAGGCACCTGTCACTGACAATGTCAGGCACAGATTCAGGCTTTGTCAGACACTAAACCTCTGGTGCCTGTCATTCTGTCCGGCACTGGTTTGTCTTTTTTATTGATATTATTAATACATGTCCGGCACTAAGTTGAAAATGTCAGGTACTATTTCATTAGTGCCTGACATTTTGTCAGGTACATGTAAAACAGTTATTTCCAGGCCTGCTTATCGTTATCAACCACAATTATGACAGTTAGTAAACTTGAGGTCATTATATATGAAATTCATAGTACAATAGTTAGGTTTCAAATTAAAGTACCTCACTGTTATATAAAGGATTAAAGGATCCATTTCAAACTAGGATACATGTCTTTTGTAAGTTGAATTATTGAAATAAAATTGAACCGAATGTTAGTCCTGAAATGACCTAGTTTGTGTTGAGTGGACGTTAAACCCGATTTCTCTCTCAGGGCTAATGAAAAAGGACATACACCATGCTGTGTTCTATGAGGGAAATTCTGCACGGAGAGCGGTGCTAAAGCCTCCTCTTTTATGGAATTCCAACTGTCAAGGGTTCTTTTAAGTGCATGCCAATGTGTACACAGGACCTCCGTGTTTCATCCCAATCAAACAACTATACAAGTACATAGTCTTTTGCCAGGGGGGGGGGGGGGGGGGGGTTCTAAGAATATTCCCACGTCTGACTAAAATGAAATTTTATAATTTATCTGTAATAATATGACACAAATTTTTATATAACCCTTTTTCTTCAGTATGACAGTAACTTGTTTCAAATATATAGTTATATACTGTTAAAAAATTATGCCCTAAATTTGAATTATACTTGATGTCACATTGCAAAAATGTGATAAAACCTGTCATTTAAAGTTTTCAAGCCATTTTGAAGAAAATGGAGTATTAAAATCTGTCAACATCAATCAATTAGGACTTCTTTGAGGTATATTATATCCCATGAAGCAGATAAATCTGTCAATTTATGTTATGTCAATAGGGGGAAATGGCTGGATAACAATGACTACACACTACCTGTTTTACATTTGCTGGCAGAATTGACCATTGATGGTTCTGCCTTATGTGTTTTTCGACGTCAGCATTCATTTTCAGCTTTCAGTGAATGACATATTCCAAAGCAAAACAGAGAAATTAAAAACATGCAATACAGTTATAATTTGGCTTTAGTATTTAATATTCTAAAATTTCCTCCCTAATCAAAACATTATTCTTCCAGTCACAACATTGTCATTTCCGGTTTTGTGAATATAACGGTATTTCTCATTCGTCAAAGTTTAACTAATCCTTGCTCGTGTGACAGGTGCGCGTTGGAGATGATTTGTTTCAAAATGGCGACGATTTTTTTTCACCGTGTCAAATTATTTTGATTGATTTGATTATTTTGTGTAAGTTTTTCTTATTAAATATACATTTAGGAGAAAATCTTTAAGTATTGAACTTTCTATTTATAACACATTCTTGTTTGGTAAAAAAAGACATAAAACAATGAAAAACTTATTAAATATTAGATCTAAATGTTCTTAATTAAACTTTTTAAAGGAGCTAAATCGCTAATATTTGGGACCTAGAAATTGACCCAAATGGGTCGCAACGCATATAATAATGTAATCTGATTGTATATAAACTGATTTACATTCAATTGTTTCCGTTTTGACTCTTAATTTCAAATCAGTTATGTCCAGCGAAATAAGGCATGTGTCTCAACCCCATAGCAATTTCTAGCGTCTGGTTAGTCCAGTCTATTGAGCAGGTTCTTCAGTTGAATATGTCTAGCCTCGTTCTTTCTGGTCACCTGTTGCAAATGACGCTAAAACGCACTATGGTACGCGATTCGTGTACCAATGGTAAAATGTTTATTTTGTCTTAAATATTGGATATCAGAAGCCTGACTTTTCCTGGTAAGATCACAACATCAATGTTGATTTGAATTGACAAATAATTCATATTTTCAACGTGTAAGACTTTTTAGATGATATTGAGTTAGAGACTTAGCTACTTTAAAGGAGCTAAGTCGCTAATATTTGGGACCTAGAAATTGACACAAATGGGTCGCAACGCATACAATAATGTAATATGAATGTATATAAATTGATTTACATTCAATCGTTTCTGTTTTTACTGTAATTTCTAATCAGTTAGGTTCGGCGACATACGCCAGTATTCTCAATCGAATTTCAATCTCTAGCTTCTGGTTATTCCAGTCTACGCCGCTAGTATTTATTGGGCATGCTCTCAAGATAAGAATATAGCCTCACCGTTTGACATGACTTGTGGATTATGCCTAACCTCGTTTTTCGAGTCCCTTATTACACATAGCGCCGAAACGCATTATGGTACACGATTCGTGTACCAATTGTAAAATGTTTATTTTGTCTTAAATATTGGATATATCACAAGGCCATCTTTTCCCGGTAAGTTCACAACACAATGTTGATTTAAACCGACAAATAAATCGTGTTTTCAATGTCGAAGATTTTGGATGATACTGAGTTAGAGACTTAGCTACTTTAATTTTTAATTTTAAATTTTGAGAGAGAGAAATGGGGTTTAACGTCTACGCGACACAAACTAGGTCATTTCGTGACTAACATATGGTTCAATTTTATTTCCATAATTCGCTTGCGTGTAGGGGTCTTTAGCAGTGGGAGGAAACCCACAAGGTTGGACAGGCATCTAACGAAGCAGATATGCTGTGGTGCCCCCCTTCTCATGATGCCCTTAGTACCTGCTTATTTTTCTTAATGGTTAATCCAGCTCTGATTAGCCTATATACTATTTTCATTATTTTCGCAAATTGAAAGTAGACAATTTATGGGGATTAGAAATCAAATAATTATAATTGTAAAGTTATTTAATTTCAGTAATTGGTCCTTTAGAATAAATAAATGAAAAAAAAATTAAAACAAACCCCAAAACGCCGCACAGGACTGCTATCACTGGGTTAAAGAGTTAGAAAAGTTTTTTAACAAAAAAGAAAACTTCTACTCTATAAAATTTAACTGTATTTATTGTGTTTGAAAGTTTGAAGGCAAAATTAATTGAAATTTTAATTTTATAACATGTAAATTTACTCACTAAACCAGAAGCACCATGGTCCCCTGATGTCTTGATGTTTCTTTTTCACAAAAAAGTAGATTTTTTTACACCTTTATATTTGCAGATATCTAAAACTTAAAACATTAAAGATGGGGGAAGTTGGTGTTGAGAAACGTCAAGGTGTTGTTAAAGATGTGTTTGATCAATATCTCACAGATGATTCAGGGGAATTAACTCTTGAACAACTACAGATTCTTCATGGTGATTTGAGGATAGGAGGAATCAGTTTACCACAGGTAATAGCAGGGGGTGTACAAAACTGATCTACTGCATATCGAGGAGTTGGGTGGCCGAATGAGTTAATGCATCCGCGTTAGATCATATTCATAAGGTCTGTCATTTAGTCAAGTGACATGGTTTCGATTCCCCGATTGTATGTGACAAGGAGTAGGGTTGCCTGTCCAACCTCGTTGGTTTTCTCCGGTTCCTCTAGTTTTCTCCCACTGCTAAAGACCTCTACGCGCATGCAAATTATTGATATAAAATTGAGCCATGTTAGTCCCAAAATGATCTAGTTTGTGTCGAGTGTACTTTAAACCTCTCTCTCTCTCTTTTTTTCTCTCTCTCTCTCTCTCCCCTCTCTCTCTCTCTCTCTGAAATACTGCAGGTACTGTTTACTAACTGAAATTTGATTCGTTTTTATATGCCCACATTGAAATGTGGACGTATATTGCCGTCGCCCCCGTCTGTCCGTCCGTCCGTCCGTCCATTGTCCACAATTTCTTGTGAACGCTCTAACGCCAAAAGTTATCATCCAATTGTTTTAAAATTGATATGTTGTTTACATTAGTGAGATGAAGAATCCTATTTAATTACAATAATTTCCGTTTATTACGTATAGAGTTATGGCCCTTGTTTCACTTTATTGATCCTTGTGAACGCTCTCACGTCAAAAGTTATCATCCGATCTTTCTGAAATTTATATGCCTTATTTAGATTGCTGAAATGAAGAAGCCTATTGAATTTCAGCAATTCCCGTTTATTATGTCTAGAGTTATGGCCCTTGTTTCACTTTATTGATCCTTGTGAACGCTCTAACGTCAAAAGTTATCATTCGATCTTTCTGAAATTTATATGCATTATTTAGGTTACTGCAACGAAAAAGCCTATTGAATTTCAGCAATTTCCGTTTATTATGTCTAGAGTTATGGCCCTTGTTTCATTTTATTGATCCTTGTGAACCCTCTAATGTCAAAAATTATCATTCGATCTTTCTGAAAATTATATGCATTATTTAAATTAGTGAGACGAAGAATCCTATTGAATTTCAGCAATTTCCGTTTATTACGTTTAGAGTTATGGCCCTTGTTTCACTTTATTGAACCTTGTGAACGCTGTAACTCCAAAAGTTACCATCCGATCTTTCTGAAATTTACATGCATTATTTAAATTGGTGAAACGAAGAAGCCTATTGAATTTCAGCAATTTCCGTTTATTACGTCTAGAGTTATGGCCCTTGTTTCACGTTATTGAACCTTGTGAACGCTCCTACGCCAAAAGTTATCATTCGATCTTTGTGAAATTTATATGCATTATTTAGATTAGTGAAACAGAGAAGCCTATTGAATTTCATCAATTTCCGTTTATTACGTCTAGAGTTATGGCCCTTGTTTCACTTTATTGATCCTTGTGAACGCTCTAATGCAAAAAGTTATCACCCAATCTTTGTGAAATTTAATGATTTAAATAAGTGAAACGAAAAAGTCTATTGAATTTTTAGCAATTTACAATAATTACTTCTAGAGTTATTGCCCTTGTTTCACTTTGTTAAATGTTAAACCTTGTTAATGCTCGATTGATGATAGTTATCATCCGATATGTATGAAATTTATATGCATCATTTAAATTTGTGAAACAGGTCTATTGAATTTCAGCAATTTCCGTCAATAATTTCTAGAGTTATGGCGATTGTGAACGCTTGAATGACAAAAGTCATCATGTGATCTGTATGAAATTTATATGCATTAGGCTGGCCTTAAAAATATCTTTGTTTCGCCTAACGCGACCGACTAACTAAAACCACCCCCGACTTAAATTATTTTATTGCACTTTTCCCCGATCTTTTTATTTTATTTTGTGTGTCAACCTGAAATATATCACGAGAGTTATTTCCCTTTACTATGGCTATGGTTTGATTCATTATTGAAACTGGTTGATCAAGACGAAAGCATCATAGGTGTCGCTTCTCAACAAAATGGTTGCAGACGAAAGCACGTCCATTCCCACGAAATGATTCTGCCTCTATTTTTCTCGAAAACGGATATTTTCAATATCCGTTTTCGAGAAAAATGAAGGCACAACCCACACGATCGTTATAAAACGTGTTGAGGGAGTTTCAAACGTCAGTTTGTGGCAATTCGTGTGCGAGTCGTGCATCACGAAAAATCCCGATGTCATTGATTTGTTTGCCAATAAAAGAAGACGAATGTTTGCACCCGGAAAATTATCAAGCTGTCAAATTAGCTCTTAAAAAAAAATCTGAAAAAAAAAACGACCTACCGACCCTTCTCCTCGATTGTGGGTCGGGTTTGGTGAAACAAAGATATTTTTAAGGTCAGCCTTATTTAAATTAGTAAAACGAAAAAGCCTGTCAAATTTCAACAATTTCTGTAGATTACTTCCAGAGTTGAGACCCTTGTTTCAGTTTGTAGAACCTTGTAAACCCTCAAACGACAAAATTTATAATCTGATCTGTATGGAACTGTCTTGTAAAGGCCCCCAATTACCTGCAAAAGAATAAATATGCGACAACCCTTGACGAATGCTCGGACGATTTAGCTGCTGTGGGCGTATGTTTTGTTGCCTGACAACCTATCTTTATAACAGGTAAAAGCCTCCATTAAATATGTTTGTGCGACAGAGACATGTGATTTACCAGAGTTGTATGATTTACTTCGTGAAATGGATAGACGATATTTCCTCGTTCAAGACTTACGCTGGGAATTTTCGTTTTTAGACAGAGACAAGACTGACACAATCAGTGAAGAGCAAGCAAAGTAAGTAGATAGGTCATTCCGTGTAAAGTGGACTAGTGGTAGGGTGCCCCACACAGTCAAATTTATACCATGTCACATGGACCAGCTGTAGGGTGCCCCACACAGCCAAATTTATACCATGCCACATGGACCAGCTGTAAGGTGCCCCATACAGCCACATTTAAGCTCAATTAAAAGTTGATCCAACCTACTTCAGCAGATATTAACAGTCAAATGAGAGTTACCATATGTTAATTTTAAAATGACTGAAATATTCTGTTGGAAGAGGCATAAAACCTGATTCCATTCTGGGGAGTGGATGGCCGAATGGTTAGCATGTGCGCACTGTATCATAAGGCCTGCCATTGAGTCAACATGCGTGGTTTCAAATCCCTGGTTGTACATGACAAGGAGTAGGGTCACCTGTCCAACCTCATGGGATTTTCTCCAGGTCCTCTGGTTTCCTCCCACTGCTAAAGACCCCTAGACACAAGCGAATTATTGAAATAAAAAAAATAAACCATATGTTAGTCCCGAAATGACCTGGTTTGTGTGGACGATAAAACCCCATTTCTCTCTCTCTCTCTGATTCCATTATATTCCATACTTTTGTTCAGACAAATTTGTTTTCGTTACTTTTCAAGATGGTTAACGCAATCTGTACATCGTGATTATTTCTCAGAGAAGAAATGGGAGTATTTTGTACGAAGTCGTCTGGTACCTGGCAGCGGTGTTAGTTTCCCGGAGATCGAAGTGATGTTGTGTGATATCCCCAACCGACTCGAAGTGGAAGAAGAAATGATGGAACAAAATAGACTCAGACAAGGTGAATGGAACATCAAGTATTTCCCCAGACTAATTAACAAGTGTAGCTGTAGACTATCATGTATTGTAAAACTGATACTGTTCACTTATCAACCACAGATTTTCATGTGGACATATTATGCTGTCGCACCTCTAATTTCACATTTTGTTTTCTGGTTACCAAAACAAGTCACATTTCTTTTATCTGATTTTAATTAAACATGCATTATGCAAGAGCAAAATCTGCTTATTACAAGTCTTTCTTTAGGCCCGAAATGTTATCTAAATTTTTAATTAGACATTAATTAACTGATCCAGGCCTTAATCAACTCTCGATGGCATCAGATATCTCTGATATTAAATAGATTAGAATGGTTCAGCGATACTTTGATTTAATCAAATATGGAGGACCGAGACTTAGCTTCGATCAACCAGTACGGTGGTTGAAATTATTGCACACGTCTGTCAAACCTTCAAAGGCTAATATCTTCGCTTGCAATAGAGTAATTTGAATGAAATTTTCAAATTATTCATTTTACATCATCTACTTTCGAACTATTATAGCAAGAATGGCTAGTTCTTTATCTAAATCTTACATAATGCATCTCTAAATATAAGATTATATCCAAAAAATCTTGGTTCCTTTCTATATTGGCATGTATTGGATCTTAATTTTAATGATTATTGCCCTTGATTATACAAAAAATGCTGTGTCTGTTCTCAAGTGGAGTGAACTGTGTTTTGGTAATGGAGATCGAACGCGTTTTGCTTGTCCCCAGTGTAGAATGTGAAAGAGTCTTTTCTAGACAAAATTTGATTAAAACTATGGTAAGGATCAAAAGACATCGGATAATTTTGGTGCAGATCAGACTGCCTATTACTCTTATCTTAATGTGAAATATGTACAAAGTTTGTGGACCCTACATACAGAGGCTACAATTTTTGTCTAATTGAAAGGAAACTTAAAATATATATGTTAATGATCAAAAGGTCTCGATTTTGACGTGCACCAGACCTGGTCTTCTTGGGTTATAGATACATGTATAGTCCCTACTTTTTTACCCAAAATGAGTAACAAAGTTTGTAGGCTCACTAGTGTTGTGAATTGAGAACATTTGAGCATGAAACCTGTCATTCTCTGTCAGGGACGAACCCTGTGATCTTTTTGACCCAAAACCTTGTGAGAACAGTAGGGGCTACAGCTTTTAACCAATTGCAGTCAATAGGACAAACTCTATTGATAATCAGCATTCTGCAACATTTTGGACCCTAGTTATATGCCTCCTTAGCTGAAAACCTTGTAAATACAATAAGAGGCTATGTTTTTCTTTCTCAAATTTGGTGTGAGAGAACAAACTCAATCAATAATCGGCCGAAAACCACGTGAATGCAATAGAGGCTACTGATGTGAAGTATTGGATTTATGCTAGGATGAAACCTATTGATATTCAACATTCTGCAACCTTCTATTCTGGAGTTACCCCCCTTTTGCTGAACACGATCTGAACGCAATAGAGGCTACAGATTTTAACTATTGAACCATGAGATTATAGGACCTATTGATTTTCCTTTTTCGCTGCGCGCATCTCTTGCCAAACTTTTGGTTATCGTTCGTTTGAAGTAGCTACTACTAGAAGGTGGAGTTCATTACCTATTAACCTACACCTATGCAGCTCATTATCGTCATTTAAGAAACTTTTAAAAACTCATCTGTTTCAAATAAGTTATAACTGAGAGCTAAAGACTTTTTGTTAAAGATACATTAGTTAAGAGTTTTATAAATAGTTGGCCATTTTTGCTATTATAAATCAAAAATAGATGATTAAAAAAGAAAATGTTGAAAATTTCAGTCAAATCACTTTGTTCTGAACGGAATTGTTACTTTTGGAAGTTTGGACTAGAAATAGGCATCAATTGTGTCTGCACCGTCTATGAGAATTGACAATCATGTGATTGACAGACGATAGCTTAACCCACATATTCTCAATTATCAAGTAACTTGCTCAATGGCTATGGTAGCCTCGCTTGGCAGGCCTTTCATCACCAGTTTCTGGTAGTGACATCAGCGACTAACGGTAAACATTAACTTGGTCCACCATTAATTGATTTAATTTTAAATGGACGACTGTTTAAATCCAAACTGTATCCATGCCATCTGTGGGCCTACAGAGTTGATTTTAAATGGACGACTGTTTAAATCCAAACTGTATCCAAGCCATCTGTGGGTCTACAGAGTTGATTTTGAGCTTGTCGTGTAAATAAAGGTCTAATTAATAATTTCTATAACATCTGAAGCCTAAAGAAAGACTTGCAATAGGCAGATTTAGCTCTTGCATAATGTATGTTTAAGCGCTATCAACACAATGTATATGAAATGAAGTGGGGTTTAACATCCTACTGTTTTGCTCCACAATATTTGTGACGTTTTGGTACTATAGAAATGGACATTTATTATCAAATGTGAGCATATTTTGCATGGCAACCGTTTGTTGAGGAATACAATTGACATGAACTTAAAGTTACAATTTCATATTTTTAAGTTATATTTTAAAAATGTATTAAAATAAAGCCCTACAATAGATGGTCTATATTATCCTATAATTCACTATTGCAAGTTGAGAAATTGGCAAAAATATCTTTTTCAACTTCAAATTCAAACTTTTGAAGATAGCTATTCCATGGGGGGGGGGGGGGAATAGAAAACAAGGGAGGTAATTGTGTTATTATCTCTGGGGTCAAGGATTTTTAAGTGTGAGAAAGATAACCTATGATCGTATAATAGTGAGTTGACAACCTATTGAGCAAAAGACATAGAAATGATTATGTTTTGACTTTCTTAGAAAATATGAAATTGTAACTTTAATAAAACAAGTATGTGAATTAGATATGGTAAAAGTGCACAATTTACATGACCTGTGTTTTATGTTTGGCCCAAAAAGCGTAGACATTTGTTTATTTATACATTTGCCTACAGCTGAATTGGATCATTAGATAAATGGCATTACTTTGCAATTTAATGCAAAGGTTGAAAAATTTCTATTTGTGTTGTTGTTCTAGTTTGTTTTGTTTTTTTCATCAGAAAAACTGGAGAAGCAGAAGAAGTTAGAAGAAGCTGCATATCTTCATGCCAAAAATTTGGCCCGATTACGAGATTTAGAAAAGGAAAAAGAAGAACAAGTGAGTGTTTTATTTATACAAGAATTTATGTATTTTATAAAACCTGACTTACTTAATGGAATATATTTGTATTTTATCGAGATATTGTTGGTTCAGGATTATTTGGGTTTTTAATTTTATTATCTAAACAAGAATTATTATTTTATTAATATTTCTGTTTTAGCAAGAATTTATGTATATTTTGGCTTATATGGGACATTAAGTATGTTATTAGGCCAAACAAGTAACACTGTAACCTGGGTATCATTTAATCTTGTGTATCTAGCACTAATTTCTTTCACATTCATTTAATATCAAATCTTTCAAAATCACCCCAAATCATCTAATTTTGTACTTGTGTCCAGTTTAAAGCTGACTGATTAATTTTGATAAATGAGTGTCCAATTAAAAAGTATTTAGTTTCCTGACAACTGTTCAAAAATTAATCATTATACATCAATAATCAATTGGGTTGGGTTTTTTTTAACAGTGGTCGAGAAATTAAACACTAAATTAAAAGCATCTGTAATGTCTTATTTCATTTTATTTCATTTCATTTCATTTTAGTTCACTTCACTTCACCATCAGTTAAAAGCATCTGTAATGTCTTATTTTATTTCACTTCACTTCACTTCACTTCACTTCACTTCACATTTATTTTTTATTTTTTATTTTTTATTTTTATTTGTTAGGAAAGAGAGAGACAAGAAGAAGAAAGAAGAAGAAAACAAAGAGAAATTGATGGTGAGAAAGATTCATTTTTAGATTTCTATATTATTTTATGATGCTGACTCACTAACCAGGAGATTTTGGGTTCGATCCTGATGTGAGTAGAAAAAGTTCCTCTTGTTGCCCCATTTGGGAGCCTGGAGGTGTAGGACTGAGGGCAAGGAGAATCATCTAGTTGATCAGACTTGACGATAAAACCCAGAGTTCCTGTTTATTCCATTGGTTGCATGTTCAACATCTCCACTGTCAACTGTCAGGGCAAAATGTCCTTCATAGAGGGGAGTTGGGTGGCCGAATGGTTGTACTCCTTGTCACATACAACCGGGAAATCGAAACCACGGCAGTTGTCTAAATGACAGACCTAATGATAGCGTGCACATGCTAACCATTCGGCCATCCAACCCCCCGCTGCAGTATGGAGTGCCTTAGTTATTGTATTGAGGATTTTTTTTTCCAGAAAGAGAGAAACAGGCCGAGGAGGAAAGACGGAGGACGGAAGAAGAGGTCAGTATTTTGGATGAGTCTCTGTTTAAAGGATCCTTGTTGTCAGTAAATAAATACATGTTTGTGGATGAGGGGGCCCATGTCTGATGTTCCAAATTCAATGTGATTTGTGATTTTTTTTTCCAAGCCCGTCCATCATTTGTCAGGGGTGGCCCTTGCAAGGCTGACAAGGAAGGTGTGAGTTGTTGCTCGAATGGGATAGAAAACAGAATCAACCATGTACACATCAAAGAAGATTCGACTTAATACCACTGTCTTGGATAAATTCTCTTTCATATAACAATAGAAATAAACATTACCATAATGTTTGTCTGGAGTATTGTGTTGACCAGACATTAACATTAACCCCCCACCCCTTCCATTTTATTTCAGGAAGAAATGGAGAGAGTGAAGAAATTAGAGGAAGAAAATGAAAGAAAGAGGAAAGAAGAAGAGGAGAAATATAAAGATGCTGATAAATGGAAAGAGGTAAAAAATCATTTTCATGCCCTGTAACATTTTTCTCTGAACTCGGAAGTGTAACACTGGTCGGAACTAGGGGCTGTAACACTGATTAGAACTGAGGGCTGTAATACTGATCAGAACTAGGGGCTGTAACACAGATCGGAACTCTGAGCTGGAACACTGATCAGGACTCAGGGCTGTAACACTGATCAGAACTCGGGGCTGTAACACTGATCGGAACTCGAGCTGTAACACTGATCGGAACTCCGAGCTGGAACACTGATCGGAACTAAGGGCTGTAACACTGATCAGAACTAAGGGCTGTAACACTGATCAGAACTAAGGGCTGGAACCCTGATCGGAACTCCGAGCTGGAACACTGATCAGAACTAAGGGCTGTAACAATAATCAGAACTCGGGGCTGTAACACTGATCTGAACTCTGGGTTGGAACAATGATCAGAAATCAGGACAGTAACACTGATTAGAACTCAGGTTTTAAACATTGATAAGAACTTGGGACTGATGGATTGAATGTTTTTTTAGTTGTCTGGCAATCCATTTTTCTGTTGTTTTATCTGTAGATTGCCGAAAAGGAAGAAAAAGATGCTGAAGAAGAGTTAAAGAAACTACAGAAACAGAAGAAATCAGAAAATGATGACAAAAAGAAGAAAGATTTGGAAGAAGCGGAGAAAAAAGCAAAAATATTACATAAAGGTGAACAAAAAATTATCTCCTGAAGCCTTACATTTGACATTCCAGCGATAAAGAATTGCTGGTCATTCTGAGATCGTACATCAATCGCTGTGTGTGTGTGGAAGCAGGCCATCTCTCAATGTTTAGACAGACAAATTCTGATGGAATTTTTATTACAATATATACTGTTATTTTGTATAGTATTTTTTTGTACGCAAGTCACTTGCGTAAATTTGTCATGGCAAACTAGGCGGGTTGGATGGCAGAATGGTTAGCGCATGGGCGTTGTATCATAGGGTCTGTCATTGAGTCAACTGCTAAAGAGCCCTATGCACAATTATTCAAATAAAATTGAACCATGTTAGTCCTGAAATAACCTGGTTTGTGTTGAGTGGACCTTAAAGTAGCTAAGTCTCTAACTCAAAATCACCCAAAGTCTTCGACATTGAAATCACGAATTATTTATCAATTTAAATCAACATTGATAATGCTATCTTACGGGGAAAAGATGGGCTTCTGATATCCAATATCTAAGACAAAAGAAACATTTTACCATTGGTACACGAATCGTGTACCATAATGCGTTTCAGCGCCATTTGTAACAAGGGACCCGAAGAAAGAGGCTAGTTATTTTCCTCAAGTAATGTAAAACGGTGCGTAATATTCTTATCTGGAGAGCATGCGCAATAAATACTATCGATGTAGACTGGAATAACCAGATGCTAGAGATTGTCATTCAATTGAGACTTCTGGCGTATTTCACCGAACATAACTGAATAGAAATTACAGTAAAAACTGAAACAATTGAATGTAAATCAGTTTATATCAACATTGATAATGCTATCTTACGGGGAAAAGATGGGCTTCTGATATCCAATATCTAAGACAAAAGAAACATTTTACCATTGGTACACGAATCGTGTACCATAATGCGTTTCAGCGCCATTTGTAACAAGGGACCCGAAGAAAGAGGCTAGTTATTTTCCTCAAGTAATGTAAAACGGTGCGTAATATTCTTATCTGGAGAGCATGCGCAATAAATACTATCGATGTAGACTGGAATAACCAGATGCTAGAGATTGTCATTCAATTGAGACTTCTGGCGTATTTCACCGAACATAACTGAATAGAAATTACAGTAAAAACTGAAACAATTGAATGTAAATCAGTTTATATACATTCATATAACATTATTATATGCGTTGCGGCTAATTTGTGTCAATTGCTTGGTTCCAAATATTAGATTTAGCTCCTCTCTCTCTCTCTCTCTCTCTCTATCTCACTTTCTCTATCTCTCTCTCATGAACATGAATAAATAACCAAATATTGTTTTATAATTACCAGATGTTGTATATTGTGTATTTCAGAGAGTAAGAATAAACGAATACGATATCAATTGAAGGTAGCCATTAAATCTCGTGACAAATATCAACTCGAGTACTCTGTTACAGAATTTAAAAAAGCCGATCTGAGTGATAACGAGATGGATTTAGCCAAGGCAGAACGATTATTGAAAGAATTAACTGCTGGAGACAGTAAGTTTTGATTACAGCATGTCTTAAAGTTATCGGGTGGGGGGGGGGGTGGATGGCCAAATGGTTAGCGTATGCGTGCTGCATCATAAAGTCCGTCATTAAGTCAACTGGCATATTTCTATTCCCTGGTTGTACGTGACAAGGGTTAGGGTTGTCTGTCCAACCTCGTGGGTTTTCTCCGGATCCTCCGTTTTCCTCCCACAGCTAAAGACCCCTACATGCAAGCGAATTATTGAAATAAAATTGAACCATATGTTTGTCCCGGAATGACCTAGTTTGTGTCGAGTGGACGCTAAATCCCATTTCTATCTGTCTCTTAAAGTTGTTTTAAAGGGGCATTATGTAAGATTTAGATAAAGAGCTGGCAGTTCTCACTATAATATTTCAAAAATATATAATGCACAATGAATATGTTAAAAATTTCATTCAAATTACTTTTTTTTCAACAAAGTTATTAATTGTTGTAGTTTTGACAAGATACGTGCTTTGATCGTAACTACTAGTCATTTAAGTCTTAGCCTCGCTTCTTCATTTTTAAATTAAATCATTAAATGGCCGAACTGTGCTAATCTACACAATCTGGTTAAAACACAGATCCTATTTCGTTTTGTTTTTATAGTTCAAAATTTCGACTTTACTTGTCTTTACTACACTTGGATCTGGAAGTGTTGTTATTTAACTCGTGTTCTGCTTGAAATGAGGGGTCAGCCAATCATATGTTCTGTCGAATCGAGCGTTTGACCTTTTTTGCACGGAACTGTGGGTAGACATTAGAAGCAATAGAAATCAAAACAAAGCAAAAGTAGATAAAAAATACATGGCGGTCGCTAATTGGTTAATCGAATGACTGACGTAATCGGGTCAAATGTCACTTGCTTGGTACCTGACGTCATAGAACGTGAACTCCCACTATAACTTGTTAGATCTACATGTAGTGTAGGCCATCAAAAGTATAAAAGATGAAACGAAATATAGATCTATATTTTAATTAGATTGCTAATCTACATAAATTGGAACCCTCCGATGGTATCAAGAGTTCATTATGGGCTTGTCATGTTAAATAATATCTAATTAATCATTTATATAACATTTAAGGTGCAAATAAATAAGCAAGAATTGTTTTACATACATAAAATTTTTGTTGATTTTGTCATGTCTATAAATATACCTCCACCACCTTTGTGTTCTTATGATGAGCCTAGATTCTTTCTTTTTTTCTACTTTGTTTATGTTACTAGTTAATGAAACAGCTGATTCAAGTTGGTGTTTCCAAGAATAATATTTGTTTGCCAAACTGGGCTGTCTTCCAAGTAGTTTGCTTGAATTTATTTATTTTATATTGTCATGTTAAGTTTAAAGAATGTGCTGAAAGTTTAATATTGTTTATAATGTAAAGTGATGTTACTTTCTACAGCAGTAGGCTGCACCTCACCATAGGGTGGGGGATCACGTGGCTAAGTGGGTAAGACACTGGCTCGCTAGTCTGGAGGTCGGGTGTTCGATCCCTGCATTGGCAGAGAAAGTTCATCCCGATTTTTCGACGTGGTTTCCCCTTGTCAGTGATGCAGGACGGAGGGCCTGACAAGGACAGTTGTCTAGTCCTTCGGATGAGACGAAAAACCGAGGTCCTGTGTATACATTGGAATGCACGTAAAAGATCCCTTGGCAGTTGGAATTCAATACAAGAGTAGGCGATAGTGCCGCTGCCTGGGCAAAATTTCCCTCATAGCACACTGTATGGCGTATGCCCGTTTTCATTAGCCCATCATAGGAGCAGAACAGTAGGACGTTAAACCCCATTTCATTTCATTTTTCACCATAGGGTGGTTGAATGATCTGAGGTATACACTTTAGAGCATAAGGTTTGTCATTGAGTCGGGGGGGTGGGGGTGAATGGCCGAATGGTTAGTGCGTGTGCATTGTATCATAAGGTCTGTCATTGAGTCAGGGGGGTTGGATGGTTGAATAGTTAGTGCGTGTGCATTGTATCATAAGGGATGTCATTGAATCATCTGGCCTGGTTTCGATTCACTGGTTGTACGTGACAAGGAGTAGGATCACCTGTCCAACCTCGTGGGTTTTCTCCGGGTCCTCCCATCTGGTTTCCTCCCACTGCTAAAGATCCCTATGCACAAGCAAATTATTAAAATAAAATTGAACCATATGTTAGTCCTGAAATGACCTGGTTGGTGTCAAGTGGACTTAAACTCTCTCTCTCCCTCTCTCTCTCTCTCTCTCTCTCTCCTTGAGCCAAGTCTGAGATCACAGGGGCATTATGGGAGGTTAGATAAAGAGTTGACAGTTCTCGCTACAATAGTTAAAAATAAGATAACATAAATAGAATATACTGAAAATTACTATCAAATTGCTCCACTTTGAACCGAGATATTAGCGATTGAATTTTAGGCTAGCCTCGATCATCATTACTAAAGTCGGTATGATAAAAAACATAGTCTTGATTATCTAGTTTTATGTTTAATCACCCTTCACAAAATTTCAATCCCTGCATTGGCCGAGAAAGTTCATCCTGATTTTCCAACGCGTGGTTTCCCCTTGTCAGTGGTGCAGAACGGAGGGCCTGACAAGGACAGCTGTCTAGTCCTGTCTAGTCCCATTTGTTGGGGGGGGGGGGGTCCATCCAAATGACTAGACATTAACAAATTGTTGAAGAATGAGACTTGGGTCTTTAAGAATTACTGATCCAGCCCAATTCCTAAGCGATTGTTACATGGCAGTTTAAACCTTCCATACATGAAATTGATTAAAACATCCTTATCATATTAATAACACACAGATGAGCGACATTGGCACTGGTTTGACACGGCCAACGGCTACGTGGAAGTCATTGATTACTACCCCTGGCCTGAGTTATGATGCAATAAAGCCAGCTCCATAATCTCTTTGATAATCCTTTGTCTAGAAGGGGGATTATAAGTAGGGATCCAAAGGAGATTATGGAGACGAAGGCGAGGGCGTCTAGGAGTTTAGGCTGGAGAGGTTCGTCAAAGGATGGGGGGTTGGATGGCTGAATGGTTAGCACGTGCGCGCTGTATCATAAAGTCTGTCATTGAGTCAACTGGCAGGGTTTTGATTCCCCGGTTGTACGTGACAAGGAGTAGGGTCGCCTGTCCAACCTCGTGGGTTTTCTCCGGGTCCTCCAGTTTCCTCCCACTGCTAAAGACCCCTACACGCAAGCGAATTATGGAAATAAAATTGAACCATATGTTAATCCCGAAATTACCTAGTTTGTGTCGAGTGGACGTTAAACCCCATATCTCTCTCTCTCTCTCTCTCTCTCTCTCTCTCGTCAAAGGATTATAGCGAAGTTTACAGATTACTCAAAAGATTATTCTCTGATTTAATTTATAATAATTTCAGATTTACGAAAGGCCATGACGAAAAGAGAACTAGAAGAACTTGAAAAGGCCATGAACTTTGTGAAGAAGAATGGCTTTGAACAACAGCTGGTCAGTGAAATGATGGAAGCCAATAAAATGTTGGCGAGGTTAAAACGACTGGAGAGGATCCGCCACGAGATTTTAGAGTTAAAACAGTCGACGGTAGCGGAGATACGGAGTTATCAAAACCCACCATTGGTGGTGCATACGGTCATGACCGCAACTTTCTTAATTTTAGGACACAAAGAGAAAGAAACAAAGGTAGGTTGATGATAACTAATTAAAAAATTTGTTTAAAGATACATCATGGGAGATTAGATAAAGAGCTGGCAGTTCTCACTAAAAGTTAAAAACTATATAATGTAAAGGGAATATTCTGAAATTTTCTGTCAAATTGCTCCACTCTGAACCGATATATTGGCGTTTGAATTTTAGGCCTAGCCACGATCATCTTTACTAAAGTCGGTAGGATAAAAAACAGTATTGATTATCCATTTTTGGATTTAATCATCAATCAGCAAATTGGTTTCAAATCCAGTGAAAATCCGATACATAAGATGGCATCAAGAGTTAATTGTGTTTTTTTCATGTTAATAAATGTCTAATTATTAGTTTAAATAACATTTCTGGTCCAAAGAAATACCTGCAATAGGCAGAATTAGCTCTTGCGTAATGTATGTTTAATATTGCGGCTCAAGTTAGGCACAGTCTCTCTGGCTCACTAATATAACAAGGTTCAATAATGGTGTTCGAAAAAATTTCTCTGCATTTTCCAGCGTGATATCCCCTTTTCCGTGGTTGCAGGAAGGAGGGTCTGGCAAAGAATAGCATATAATCATTTGAATGGGACAAAAAACATAAGAAATGAAATGAAATGAATGAAATAGGGTTTAACGTCCTACTGTTCTGCTCCTATGCTGGGCTAATGAAGACGGGCATACGCCATACAGTGTGCTATGAGGGAAATTTTGCCCGGGCAGCGGCACTATCGCCTACTCTTATATCGAATTCCAACTGCCAAGGGATCTTTTACGTGCATTCCAATGTATACACGGGACCTCGGTTTTTCGTTTCATCCAAAGGACTAGACAGCTGTCCTTGTCAGGCCCTACATCCTGCATCACTAGAAAATCTGGATGAACTTTCTCGGCCAATGCAGGGATCGAACACCCGACCTCCAGGCTAGCGAGCCAGCGTCTTGTCCACTTAGCCACGTGATCCCCCCCAAAAAACAAAACAAAAAACCAAAAAAACTTATGCCCTGTGTACACATTGGTGAGCACGTAAAAGAACCATAACAATTCGCTCGGGGCCAAAATTCGCCTAGGACCCAACTAAAACATTTGCGGGGTAATACTGGTTAATTTTATTCCACATGTGTGGGATTGGAGCGTAGTGACGAAGCATTATTTGATCGTGGCCTAGGCCCAGTTTTCCCGGAGCCCAAATTCGATGACCTAATATATTCACAGGATTATGCTGGGTAATTTGATACCACATATGTCGGGGTGGAGCGCAGCAACGAAGTGTGATGTGGGAACATAATATACACACATACATACAATACACACTTTCCTATACACATATACATACAATACACACTTTCCTATACACATACATACAATACACACTTTCCTATACACATATACACATACATACAATACACACTTTCGTATACACATACATACAATACACACTTTCCTATGTTGGACTATTTTCTATGAAATAAACTTCCCAACTCAATGAAACGATTAACGTCTGTGGGCCATTTTAAATCTCAACTCAAAACATTCTTGTTTCAAAACCCTGATCTGTGAATAATCAGTGAATAATGTAGCAATATTGTCGTTGCGACATTGTTTTCAATTTATACGCAAGGAATAGAGAAATAAAATGGCATTATATTTCATTAATTAATATCTTTGGTGGCAAGTTATTAAATTCACATATATGTAGAATTGTACTAAAGTCAACTTAGTCTGTAATTGACAGTTGACACATAAAAAGAGTTATTTAGCCAAAACATGTGTCTATAAAATACCACGAGATATCACGGGCATGGAAATTTACCATTGCATCATTTGGCTTAATTTAACCAATCATATCGTTAATTGCACAGGTTCAGGGCCATGATCACACTTGATTGTGCATGATATCCATAAGTCTTATAAAAGAAATCATAGTAAACTTTTAAGTCAGACTTCCATTAGATTCCAGAGAGGTTCCATCTGAGTTCCTAGACAGCCGCAAGGCTGGCTATGGTGGAGAAATGGGTTTAGCTAGTATTGTTATCTATATTGCTTGTATACATGTATTCGGCTATATATATATATAAAATGTAGAAGCGAACTTTTGCATTGTTATTCCTGGTAAGACAAACGTCTTAAGAAAACTGTAAGAAGTAAATTCACAACGTGAAGCAGAAGTAAAGAGAGCTAGAGACAAATTCTAGACGATCACAAGGCTACAGAAATATGTTGTAAGAAAAGATGCATGGGTCGTATGTAAGATGTGGCGACCGGTTTTCCCACCCCGCTCTCCATGTCAGACAGAAAGGCCCATGGTGCTACAATATAACAATCAACAGTGCCTTAGAAACTGTTCTTCAGTATCAAGGCGCTTCATAAATGACGATATTATTATTATTATTATCTATTAAAGGATTGGAAAGCCGTACAAGCGTTGGTGGGTAAGACTGGTAAAGAGA